CTCCGTTTGAACACAAAAAAAGCAACTCTTGAAAATAAAAAGTTGCCAATATACATCGTGCAAGCGGGACACGACAGCAATGTGTCAAGCATATTTGCCATAAAACATCTTGAAAATCAAATAGTAAAATGGGAAAAATTAAAAAAGAAACCAATCGCTCAGTGCACTAGATGTCAGCGTTTTAACCATTCAGCCTACAATTGTAATATGGAGCCTAGATGTGTTAAATGTGGGCAAAATCACTTGGCAGTTAATTGCAGTTTATCTAAGAATAGTCCAGCTGATAAATTATTCTGCATTTTATGTAATAAATATGGTCACCCTGCTTCTTATCGTCAATGTCAAAACTATGTTCAAAGAGAGGAGAGAATGCAAACACAACATAAAAACAAAATTACAAAAGCTGTAAATAAGGTAAATAATATACAGAACTATGTTAACTCAAATTTATCATTTGCTAATGTAGTTGCTGCAAATAATAAAAATAATATTAATAATCTAGGTAATAATAATACGAATAGCAATTTATTTACAAATGTTGCCTCTACTACTGGAATGAACCCAGAAATTACATTACAGAGTGTTATGTTAATTTTAACAGGTTTAAATCAAAATTTCACCACTTTTTGTGAACGCTTTAATCAATTAGATAAAAAGGTTAATGGAATTTCTGAGAGAGTAGATTTTCTTATGGAGAATATCCATGACTAAAACAACTCCAAATAAACATAATATTAAGTTAAATTCTATTAACGTAAATTCATGTCGATCGCTTGCAAAACAATTTTCGTTGATTGACTTTCTTTCTAAAAATAATCCAGATGTTGTTGCTTTATGTGAAACCAAACTTGATGCCAATATACGTTTATCTTTAAGAAATTACGAAATAGTTAGACATGATAGACCAACAGTTAATATAGGAGGTGGTACTGCTTTACTTGTTAAAAAAAACATAAGATTTGAGCAAATTGATAATTCTAATTTTACGTCGTTTCAATGTCTGGAGGTTTGTGCAATAAAAATACCTATACAAAACAATAATTTTCTATTTATTGTATCAGTTTATGCATCTCTTAGAAATACCGAAACTTTTCAAAATGAATTTTGCAGAATGCTTGAAATTTTAGGTTTTGACAAATATAATAATTATTATGTGATTTGTGGAGATATTAATGCAAAACATCAAGATTGGGGTAATTTACAACATAATGCCCGTGGAAAATTCTTAAAAAAATTTCTCGACGAAAAAAAAATTTTATATAGAATGGCTTTATATGCTTCAGATTTACCTTCTTTTCCTAAAAGTAATTCATTTTTGGACTTGATACTGGCTGATGCTAGACTTAACTTAAAAACATCTACTATGGGGAAATTAGAAACGCTAATTTATGACAGCGACCACTTGGCTATAAACACTGAAATCTCCTACGAGGATTTTGAGAAATTCTTGTTTGAACCTCCAGAAGTTCATAATCATTATCTATACAATAGGGTGAATTGGCACAAATTCAAAAAAAATATAGATAAACAAGTACTACTAAACAATGATATTAAGGAATTACCTAATAACAAAAATTTAACAAAATCCGAAATAAATATGTTTTTAAACAAAATAGAGCAAATAATTCAAAATGCCATTCGAATTGAGATTCCTGTTTTCAATCCGGGAAATAACGGTACAGATTTGTACTCCAATGCCATTTTGTGTAGATTAGGAAAATATAAAAGTCAATTGCTATCTGCAAAATATGCCTTACTTAAAAATCTTCCAGATAGAAATCATCAAGCAATTATAAGAACTAGAGCACTTCTTAAAAATGTTAGTATTTTGATTAAAGAAAATTTGAAAATTTCGATTAATAATTACTGGAAAAACAGAATAAAAAATATTAAAAGCAGTAACAGTAAAAGTATGTTTCCTGAAATTAGAAAAATTTATAAAAAATATAATTGTGAAAACTTAAAAAAATTAATTATCCCTAACGATAATACTAATATATTAGTTAATGCTGGTGTTAATCTGAATTTATTGGAAAAACATAGTGGTAATTTTATAATTGAAAATACTGATGATTTATTAAATACTATGGCATCACATTTGTCATTAGTACATCGCGAAACTGCCTATAGAAATTCTGCGATTGCTAATAAAGTTGACTCTGCGATTTCTAATTTCAATACAATAACGCAGGAGTACGAATGCAATGAAATATCACTAGTCGAATTCAATAACGAATTAAAATCAAATGAAATTTCCAGTTTGCAAAACAAAGACAATTATTTCACAACTTTAGAGGACTTAAAATCAATATTTTCTGGTCTGAAAGGCAAAATCTCTTCGGGAATTGACGGAATACCTAATTTGGTATTAAAAAACCTGCCTGATTCAATAATTGAGAAATATTGTATTATTTTTAACAACTGTCTGAATCTCAGTTATTTCCCTGAAATATGGAAAAAAGCAAAGGTTGTAACAATAAAGAAACCGGGTAAAATTTCTACCGATCCTAGTAGTTTCAGACCAATAAGTCTCTTACCTAATATAAGTAAGGTTTTTGAAGTAATAATAAATAAATACCTAACTGAGGAATCTGAAAGAAGGAATGTAATACCTATGAATCAATTCGGCTTCAGAAACAGACATAGTACAATCCATGCAATGACTAAATTGTCTTCTGATATTTGTTGGCATATTAACGATCAGAAATGCGTGGCGGCATGTTTCGTGGACCTGGAAAAAGCCTTCGACACGGTTTGGTTGGATGGCCTAATATATAAATTAATAAGATATGGTTTTCCCTTATACCTGATCATATTAATAAACAATATGATTCGCAATAAAACTTTTAGAGTAGTTTCCAGTAGAGGAAAGTACTCAAAAGAGTTTGCAGTTTTAAGCGGTCTCCAGCAGGGCACTGTAAACTCACCCATTTTATTTAATATATTTTCATGCGGACTACTGGATTCCCTAAACAACAGTTTAGGGCTAAATCACAGTATAGCTTTCGCGGATGACCTAGCAATTTACTCAGTGAATCACGATCCAAATATTGCACGATATATGCTGCAAAAACTGTTTGACAAAGTTGTCTCATACTGCAATGACTGGAAATTAAAAATCAATTACAATAAGTGTGTAACTGTTCTTTTTAGAAATACTACAAACAAGGCAAACTCCAAAATTAGAAGGAATTGGAAAAACGTTTTCTTAAAGGCTCCAGATAATACTTATATAAAAAATTGTAAATCCTTCAAATACTTAGGGGTTAATTACCACTATTTATACAAGTTTAATACGCATTGTCAGAATCAATTATCTAAAGCTAGTAAGGCATTTATGAGTTTAGCTAAGTTGTTCTATTCGAAGGTTCTCTGTAATAGAGTGAAAATTATTTGCTACATGAGCTTTATTAGACCTATTCTTACATATGGTTGCCCAATTTGGTTTAACATAAGTGCTTCAACAATGGAAAAATTTAGATTGTTTGAGCGTAACTGTTTAAGAGCTTGCACGGGTCTGAACAGAACGCCTGAGTCAAATTATATTCAATACTACTCCAACAAAACTCTTTATGATAGTGCAAATATTATGAGAATAGATAATTTTATCTTACAACTGATACGTAACCACATTCTAAGAAGTACTCAGATAACAAACAACTCACTAATAAACCATGCATGGTTTCCTGACGTGGATTACATAAGATCTACATTGGGTTCTGGTTTCATTCCACCAGAGGCTTTCTTGTTTTTAGATGAAAATAATTATTTAGAAAATTGCTCTAATTATATTCCAATACTTTACCATTACATTAGAAATGCAGCAAATAAAAAAATACCTTTAGATTTAAATAACCTTAGCTTAGAAAATAATGAATATTTTAAATATGACAAATATATTCCAAATTTAAACAAACTTATTAATTATAATAAAACATATTTTTGGAGAAATTAGAGTAAGTTAGGTATAAGATAATTTTATTCTAGTATATGTAAGTTTAGGGTAAGTTTATTTTAGTTATTAAACATTATATTATAAAAGTTGCTTTTTTATAAAAACTTTTTAGCAACACTAAATAAATAATATCTGAATTCAATGAATTCTAACATTTTGTACATAAAATTTGTAAATTAAATATATTAACAAAAAATGAATTATTAGCTTTTAAAAACATATTTTTATAAATGGGAGAGCCTCTTGGGCCATTGCACATTTAAATTAATAATTATAAAAAAAATATTCTTTAGTTTTGTTTTGAATTGTACTATTATAAAAAAAAGAAAGAAATAAATAAAACATTAAAAAAAAAAAAAAAAAAGGGCGGAATTATAAAATTTTCTTCTACAAAAATAAGTCTTAACTAAAGATTCATTTACGTAAAAATTTCAGTTTTCTATAGCAAAAGGTTTAGAAGTTTTGTAAACAGACACACGGACAAACAAACCCACAAAATTAAACTATTTATTAAGTTTCAAAAATTTTTTGGAAAAAAACTAAACATATATTTAAAAGAGGCATTGTTTTATAATAATGAAAACCATAAAACCTTCGTATATATAGTACATTTATAATATAGTAATGTAGTTGATGCATATTATAAATAAATATATAAGAACAAATTGATGAAAAATTGAAGTATACAATATATAAGTTACATATTTGATTTAATTGCTAGAAATTTAAAAATAGTGGTCACCTAATACATTTTAAATCATTGTTTAATTATACCATTGCAATATTACTTCAACTGTAATTCTCATATCAAACTTACTCATAGAGCTCAATATTTTTATTTAGTTTATTAAATGTATACAAATCTACATTGATGAATAAAGTCAGTTTGCAACATTCTAGACATATATATTCAATTTTATGACAGTAAATGTTTAAAAAAAATGACAACCATAAATGATATGAACATTAAAGGTTATGGATCAAATAATTTGTCAATAACATATATATATAATGTTTTTTTTAATATAATTTTAAAGTCACTTACTTTATATTTTTCAAAGCCTTTTAAATGGGCTTCAGTTAAATATTTGATTCCAAACATAATTAATCTGTTTCTGTATAGTTTTAAATATTATAATTAAAATATGATAGTTATATTAATATATAACTTATTATATAACTTATGTTTAAATTATTAAGTTAGCAAAAATATAACAATATTTTTTTCCTTCTATTTTTTTTTTTGTTCTGGATTTTGTTTTTTTTTTTATTCTGGATTTTGTTCTACTTGGGAGTATATTAACCCTCCATTTTTTCCCATATATTTAAATTTATTTACACTTTTTTATAATTTAATTATATTATATTATACATATATATACTAGTATAAAAATATACTAATAAATATAATATTATATAGTATATACTATTAAAATTGTAATATGAATTAATTTTTCAATTGATATAGGAACCGGATTTCATTGACTTTTTTCTTAAATTAAATTTAATCACTATATGCATATTATATACGTAAATATGTTTAGTTATATGTAGGTATATTATACTATTAAACCTTTTTGTTGCTATTATTCTTCTTTGAAACAAAAGGTTATCTTATTTAAAAATAAAAAAATACTTATTTGAAGCTAAGCACAATGTTTTTATGTTATAACGTTCTTAGGTTCATTATTTTTAAATTTGATTTTTGCTTTTTTCTTAATTTTTATTAATTTTTTTAATTTTTTTCCATATTTTTCTTTTCTGTGTATTTAATAATATTTAACTATCTGTTCATAAAATAATATAATAAATTTTAATAATAGTATTAAGTTACATTTATTTTTGAATATATAGAGCACAAATTTTATATTTTTTTAATCATATACGTATAATATTTAAGAATAAAAATTTATTGGTATACACATGTATTTGCACATACAACATTGTATTTTAAAAATGATTAACTTTCACACATTGTATTTAGTAGTATAAAAAAATTTTTAAATAAAAATTCATCTCAACTCTGTAATCATTTCTTCTTTTATTTTTTTATTTAAGTATAAATAAATTTGTTGTCTCAGACACTTTTGTAAAATTGAATGTATGGAGGTTGGAAAAGAATAAAAAAGTAAAGCACAATAAAAATATGACAATAAATTTAGAACTGTGCAAATAATACTAAAATTTGAAAAAAAAAAATAAAATTTCCATATATACGAATGTTATCATAATTGGATTTAAAATGCGATTTTGAACACATATTAACATACATATTATAAGTATATTATATAGTCGTATTTTATACATATGTTCATATTCTGTTCATATTTTTTTCTTGTTTTTGTACAGTATAGGTGCTTTGTTATTGTATTTTTCAGAAATTTTTAATAGCCTAAGTGTGTATAGTATAAAATGAATGTTATACGGATTCATTTCAGATTTCCAATATACAGAATGCAAATTTTTTTTTTATATACAATAGTATAAAATAAGGAATTTATATGAATGGAACTGTGAATCTAAATATACTACTAAAAAATTATTTCTTTTAATTGGAATTTTAACAGAAATTTATAGGAAGAGTAAATTGGTTAAAACTGCTTGATATGAAATGGTCATTCAGCAAAAAAGTGCTTATTATATAGGCTGTTTATATAATTTATGACTTTTTGGCATTGAGCATGCCAAATCGGGCTTTTAAATATTATAATGAGTGTATAATAATTTTCAAATCCTCATTTCTCATAAATCTTTCAGATATCAACTTGGACTATATATGTATATAAGTATGAACAACAACTTCGTTAAAAAAAAAAAATTGAAAATTTATGTTACTTGTTGTCGCACATGCTTCGTAAAATATCGAATGTTTTACTTAAACCTCTGTTCATATACATACATATGTATATAAGAGTTGACGACAAGAAATATTAAAAAAATCTACTTTTACTACTATGCATTATCAATATATTTAATGATGATAGAAAAATTATATTTTATTTTGTTATATTTAGTATTATTATCATCTTTATATTGTTAAAATAAAGGTCAATAAATAAAATAAATAAACAATAATTGACTTTACAGTATAACTTTAAAGTTTTATATTTTTTTTTAAACCGAATATGTATTCTAATACTGAATAACTATTTATAGTAACTAAAATTTACTTTTTGCAATTATTGAAATATATACATAACGTACATATATATATATATGTAGCTTTAATTATAGATTCATATACGTATTAATGATATTTATAATTTCATTCAAGATATTTTAAACTCTTAATTGGCAAAGAAAACAAAATTATCACTCATTTGTGTGTATTTAAACATACATATACACATACATATATACATTATTGTTATATTATTTAAATAATTGAAATGGGTGTATATTATTATAATCTCTAAGTATATATAATAATAATCATATAATAATTTTATATATACATTATTAGTAGTAGAGTAATACAAAAATTCAAAATTTATTTTAAATACATATTTTATATATTGAACACGCACTTTTAGAATGAATCAAGTTTTTTTTAAACTGATAATTTTTTCTTTTAATAAAATATTAATCAAATCATAAAATTGACATACTGTATAATTATTTAATTTTAACTTTCAGTTTAGAAGTGTACATGCTATTCTATTTGATACAATACAGCGAAGTTGAGATAAAACTAATAATATTATTCAGATTCACTTGATAGAAAATTAATTGAATTACAATGATCGTTATTTTACCAAAAATATTATTATTTTATGCACAAGTTGAATTTTATTTGCATATGTATTCATGTACCATAAGAGTTATCACTAAATAAAATTTAGACCTTTTCAACTATAAATTTATTGAAATCGAATTTAAGAAGAACTTTGAATATCAAAATTTTCTAAAAATTTCAATTGTCCCTTTATTTACTCAAATCACAACTTAATAAATGTTTAGTAGGGTATTTCATTAACACTACTTTTTTGAAATGTCGCTATTGAGTAACAAGTTTTAATTTAGAATAGTGCCACTCAAGAAAAGTTTTTGTAATTAAAGAAATTATCTTCTGTATATCAATATAAACTATATACACAATGATATTACAAAATTATGTACGTATATACACACATTTATGAAAGATTTCAAACATTAAATAAAAATTTTTTTACACTTTTTCTTTAAGTGCTTAATTCCTAACCCTGTGTTAAAATTCCACAAAAATAATTTACATTTAATATTTTGTTAGTGACATAAAGCCGTTGTCTTATATTTTATGCAAACTGTATTCGTACACGTACGTACATTTATATACACTCATAAATAAATGATGTTTATAAACTAAATCTAATATTATAAAATTATAAATAATAAATTTTTCTAATTTTATTATTATTAAAATTATTTATTTTTATCACAAATTTTTAAAATGTATACATTTTGCTTATAACGTGATTTTATTTATTGCCTATATAAAGGCGCTTATTGCCCTTAAAATTTTTTAATAAAAAAAATAAATAATAAAATCAATGCTACTATTTTTAATTATTTAAAATTACACTTAATAAAATATTATGAAGTTACTAGTAAGAAACCGAAAGAAATTAAATAAAGTAGATTTATTTATTTTTCTTTAACGAATATTTCGAATTCAACGAAGCTTAAAGTTCAACGTTGTCTTTTAGACTGTGTCTGAAAGAATTTTATGTTTTTTTTTATTTTTTTTTTGTTGAATGAAAAACAAAAATAATATAAATTTTTATTCTTCTAATATCTGCTGACTATTTTCAGCTCAGCGACCTTCTTACGACTAAAAACGAATGATACGTTGCGTTTTTAATGAATTTTGTTTTTTTTTTTTGTAAATTTATTATATACGAACGGAACAAATATATACTAATATATGTATTTTTATTTATATACATGTACATATATAAATATTAAGTGAATTAAAATAAAATTATAGTGATGAAAAATAATGATAAGAAAACATTCGACTGAGTAAATTTTAATAGATATGTAGCAGTCTTATAAACTTTGTTATAAATGATGTACTAGTTTTTTTGATAATGCTAAAAGAGTAAAAAAAAATCAGAAATGGCAGAAGACAAAATTTTGCCAAACCGTAAGGTCTTCATAATTATTAATTAAAGGAGCATTTAAAATATTTTAAATAATGCATTAATTTTTTGCATAGACTATTGTAGGTCTGGCCTCCAAAATACAATGCAAAAACCTAGAACAAATGCAGAGACTCTTGTGCGTCTGCAACGAAGAAGCTTTGAGGACGTGTCAAATTGACACACTGTCGTCCGTCAATACAGAACAGGTGCGGGTTGTTTGGGCCAAGAACCTAATTCATTGAACCTATGAAAACGTTTCCGAACGTGTTTCAAGACGGGATGCACGTCACTGAATTGTTCGGTTCAACCTTGATATTGGGGGTATTGGCGACAGAAAATAATGGTTATGTCAGATAGTTGGCCTCCCATCGGAGCGCTGAATTCGTTTTCAGTATGGATCTGTCATCAGAAGCTCAATTAACGAGGTAGGCGCAAAGAGGTTACCCCGTGTTAAGTCACTCTATGGATGCCTAGATTCTATAAAGGGAGATGAGGAAATCTCAGTACACCTTTTAGGAGTTTGTGATCTTCTCGCTCGTAGAAGAAGGATAATACAGGGTGGCTTCGCTCTTACGGCGGCGACAAGGTGGTCGAGTTCATTAGAAAAGCAGGTCCCGAGCAAGTGTTGTTGGTTTAAATTAGCACCATGTTTTACTTAGAATCAAGAATTGGTTTTTTCAATATTTAAACAACTCTTTAAGTTTTATGCAAAATACAAGTATATAAAATTTAAAACTAAACAAATACATAAACAAGTATCTATATTGTAAAGTAAAAATTTTTGAATTAAATATTAAAGACAATTAGTACAGCCATTATATGGATTAAATGATTTTCTAAAACTGATAACACATAGGTTAATTTAAATCACAAAATAATTTGGAATATTGTGCACCATTAATTTTCAAAATCTAAATTTACATCAGCAAAGTATAATTAAAATTTTAAGTTTGAATTACTCAAGTGAATTGAGCTGTACGAGAAACTTATTAGAATTGTACCATACTTTTTTAATTGAATTTAACATTGATATTATTATTGATAATCTATATGTGTATTATAACTTATAACCTTATTTGAAATTGAAATATTACAACAATTTCATAAATAATATTTATAATTTTCATTGAATACAAGATTGAAATTATTTTACATATAATCATAAATTTTAATTGTTAATTCTATGTTAACCATAATACTATGTTATAAAATATTATACAATAATATTTATTTTAATATTACTTCCGGAAAACTATTTACGTGTAAATAAAATAATAAATGCATATAGCGATAAAGCCTTTAACGCAAAAATAAATTAAAAAGAATCTACAATCTATAAAAAAAATTATTAATAATTCAATCTTATAATTTATTTATATTCTAAATATTGTTTTTTAATGAAAATTATATAAATTTTAAAAATAAATATAAGATTTAGAATTAAATTGTTTTTCCTTTTTTCACAATTTCATTATTTGAGCATAATCATTTACATGACGCCACTAACGCAAAGTTGTACTTTTTAATAATTCAGTGTATTATTATGCACTCTATTTTTATTTAATTTCATTTCTGGAATGAATGTAAGCTACATATATACTGCTTTTATTCAATGATATTGGTATAGATTAGAAACAAAATTTTCTCAATGCAATTATTGCAGACTTAAACTATAAACGAAGATTCTTTACATCAACCATACAATCACTATATATACAACATAACTATACGATCTCGAAAGTAACTAAATTTTTTGAGCTGAGCTGAATTTGGTCGATTAATCAACGCATTTACTTTTTCGATCTATCAATAATGCGTAGAAAATCACTGAAAGGACCATGTCATATAGTACATCACTATAGAACCACTATACCGAGAAGAGGGTCAGTTCGTCTTAACCGACTATAGTCTTAATCTTACTCAGCAAAGAGGAGCCGCATGACTTTCAACGTAAAACAAAGCACTAGATCAAAAAGCCGACATATAGACCAACAACCTTTTCAGGACATCCAACAGCAGACCCAATAACATAACTATGGGTTATTAACGGCCGTTATCGCCCATAAATTCAATCTGATGTTTCGTAGGGTCAAGCCTTATTACAAGCCTACAGAAAGTTTTCAAATTCGAGAGGTGGTTCGACTCTTTATTGCCTTGTAGAACAATATTCCCAAATCCACAATGTCAGGTAATTTTTTTTTGTTAATTCTTATTAGCTTTGTTATAAACTAGTTGAAGATAAGTTGTAATTTATTTTTTCAATTTTATTGCCAACACGACCATTTAGCTATCTAACTAAAATAAACAAAAATAGTCACAGATTTTATTTAAAAATGCAATGAATGTCCTCCAAAGCTTTACGCAACATTTTCACTTACCCCCAACTATTAGCACAACTGCAAAGCTCATTCTATTTTTCCATGCATTCAGTATTAACTCATAGTTGCTGAGTCATACTATTGTATTTATCATGAAAGCGACTATTAACATTTTAGCTCTTTTTTAACTATCTCCGAGGGATTGATCAATATTTTATTTCGATTTAGGAAATTAATGTTCGATATTTTAAGAATTTAATTTAAGAAACTATTCGAAAAAGTAAGATTTCAGAATATGTATATATAAATTATCTAATCATACAAAGTACTTCAATTTTTGAATATAATAATAATATAAAATATCAATACTACATTAATAAATTTTCCAATCAAATTTAAATTTGAATTTAATTATATTTAATTTATTAATAATTACAAGATTATATGGATTATGGTATTTATTTTGTCATCAAATTCTAAATAGACACATATTATTATAATGTTTATTATATATGTAAAAAAAATTATAAATTGAAACGACTAAGCTAATTAGAATATTAAAAATATTGATTACACTTTTTTCAAAATTTAATGAAAATAATTTATAAAATGTATAAATAACTAATTAATTTTTTAGATCGAAAAATAATGTCAAGATAATAAATCATAGTTATACAATACATTTAATGTCATAATTAGTTTAATTTTTTTTTTAAATTTTACAAAATTCGTAAAACTATTAAAGTTAAAGCAAAATAGTAATAACATTTAAGTTTTAAACATGCGACGTGTTAAATTATTGTATATTAACGTGTTTCAAATATTTGAATAATTAAATGCAATTATTAGGATTTGTATTTAAAACCATTGTGTTTAAGCATCTTTTAGGTAGCTTATATTGGTACATATATTTGCTTTAGAATTCCAAGATTTTTCTTTTCTTATGGTATTTGCAATATAAAATGTTAAGATATTTTCCAGATTTATACAAACCTATACATACTTTGTAATTTTAATTTTTGTTGGTCAATCAGAATTTTCGGTTATCCAACAATTCCAACAACCCAACTTGCAATACATGAATGCGTAAAATATGTGAGAAACGAAGACATTTATATGGGGATATATTGCCAGAGTTTTTAATATTAATTTATATTTAAATTGTATTCTCTTTTGTCGGTAGAAAATATTAAAATGGCGAACAAAATCAAAAAATTTGTTGCACAACTTACAAGATATAAGGAATACCACTTATAGAGGAGAATTGTGTTAGAGAGCAGAAAAAATAATTTCACTTAGAATTTTTTTGCTTTTACGTAAGTTCTACGGTATGTAACATAAAACTTTTATGGATTATATTCATCATTTCTCGTTTTTGAATTTTACCAGAAAATCAAATTTACCAAAAATTGTACTATAATAAAAATGAGTAATTTTAATATTTTGCCAATATATGTACATACATACTTAGATGGAACATCAAAATTCCATTTGTACATTTCTTTTTCACGCATAATTCAATCGCCAAATTTAATTTTATGTGAACTGTTCACTGACTTGTGCTATTTAGTATTTTGTATGTACATATAAATATGTATAAAAAATATGTACGAGTATGTAGATAATTGTAAAAATTATTTTAATTCCATTTTTCTTGACATAATATTTGAAATTAAAAAAAAAAAATTGTCTATTCCTCGAGTTATTTTACCCTCTCACTAAACTTAACTTTATAATTACTTTACTAAATTTTGTGAATTTTTCGATATGATATTAACCAGACTCACTGCATAAGAAAAAATTTTAAATTGAAAATTTTTCAATTATTATTTTACATATAAATAATTATAATATATTTCTTTTCTTACAAAGGCTTTTTCGTTCACAAAAAAAAAAAAAAACAAAAACAGAAATCCATAAAAGATTTTTCGCTTTTCCAAAAATTTCATTTTCAAAAATATCACTTTTCAACATGCACACACACACACATCAATATTTTAATGCGGTTGCATCATACAAATACCTACCGCTTTAAATGCTTATATGACAATATTTAAAAAATCTAGGTTAATTTCGTATATGGAAAATAAAAAAAAAAAAACATTATAAATTTTAGTAAAAGTAACAGAGTTTTTTTATAATATTCATAAAATAAGAAAAAGGATTTACCTATAAGCACATACATATGTGTCTACATATTATATAATGGATGCAAACGTACAGATAAAATATAAAATTCCTTTTTCAAAGAATAAAAAACAAATTTATTGAAATTTCTTTACAAATAACCATAAAAAAGAATCAATGAATTAAATAAGAAAAGTAGAAAACTTGAAGTTTCTGTTCATTATTTGTATGAATGCTTTATATATCTATATAATACAAGTATGTATATAATATAGTAAAGAAAATAAATCTCAATAATAATTAAAATATTGAAACGAAATTGAGTCTATTGACAATTTTTTGTAATTAAATGAATATGTTCGATCGATTTATGGCATCAATATATGTTCATTCACTCTCTTTTTCAGTTCGGATCCGATCGATTATTGCCTACTTACATGCTTTCTTTATAACATATTGAAATTTGATGTCTATTGTTTAATTTTTAAAATTACAGACCGATTAGAATTATTTCTACATTACATTATACAGTTTTTGTTCTCTTCTTTTCCCAACAAAGTTCTCTTTTTATTCTTATCGTTTCTGGCATCTCTAAACAGGGATAAAGTAAAATATAACTATAAATTAATTAGAATTTGTCATTAACATGAAATTGTAAATAATGAAATATGTATGTAAATAGAAAAAGTTGAATATGTAAATAATACAAGTTTCGTTTTAGACTCGCGAAGAGCAGGTTATGGAAATCATAAGCGTATACCTAATTCTGCCATTGAATTCCAGCATTGACATGAATCAAGAATATTCAAATAGATTAATGAAATGGTTGGTTTTAACATTACCTTTTTTCTCAGTCATCAACTCTGCTTGTTATTAATGGAAATCTTATCGCATATATTTTATAATTATATAGTTAAAATATAGTTTTCACAGTCATAACAACTATAACAAATTTATACTTAAATTACATTAAAGTGAATTAAAATTATTGTATTTATATATATACATACACAATGAGGGTTAACACATTTATTAACCGATTTAAAATAGTTTTTTAAAAGTAATCAAATTTTTATGAAGTTAGAATTCTAGATGTTTGTGTTGCAGTAAGTCCTAAACCTCTTAATCGTGACAACATTGGTGAATAAATATCAGCAGTAAAAGGCAGTATAACTCCACGTTGTTGTATTTCACCTAAAAAATAGTACAATCAGCCAAAAAAAAAATATATCAGTAATAATTTTCAGCAATATAACAATATGAATACCATCTAAAATCATTTTGGCAGCAATGGCAGCTGGTTGGCCTACTGTTAAAGCCATTGCAGAGTGCCCATTAGGTTGACCGTAAACAACAAAATTGATTCCACGTTCTTCTCGCCTACCATCATTCCACCGAATTATTAATTCGTGACGCAAAATTACCAAATCTCTTTCATTCTCAGCTTAAAATTAAAAAAAGTGGTATATTGCTATTTCTTACTACTTACAAGCAAGATATGCTTAACAACTTACCGAAAGCTAATCGCTTAGATAAATAATGGCTTAATGTATCGATAGGTGTACCCATTTTAATCACTGGGGTATCATCTAATAAACCTAAGCTTTCCAAGCCATCAACATTTCCAACTCTTTCAGCTAATTTATATTTTAAATTCTCATAAAATAAATCTGAATTATTCAAACCAAGTAAATTGCATACTAATTGTCTCCAAGTTAAATCTGGTCCATTTGGATGTAATAATGGATGAGGTTCTGGATCAACCAAACCCAATAATTGCATTGCTTGTATACACTCTGAAAACCCTTTATACCTAATAGTTCCTCTTATCAATGTATGAACTTCATTTCCCAATGAATATAATTTAGAATACTTTGTTGAGTCTCTATTTGGAAAGCCTTCTAATGCAAATCCTGGTAAAAAATCTAAATTCATTGGACATGACATTAAATCACCACCACCTGATATTTCAACCATTTGTCCTTCACTAAAATATTTTGCGGCGGATAAGGTGTTCATTAATACACCACGTGGTGACCATGAAAATTTATATCTTAGTGCATTGTCAGAATGTTCCGGTGCCGGTAAGCCACCACAAAAACTTATGAATGATTCAATAACACCATCATTTTCTTGAACATTCCTTATACATTCCAAAGCTAATAGATGATCTATACCAGGATCCAAACCAACTTCATTCATTAATGTTACACCATTACGTTCAGCTTCATCATGTAATGCTGCTACTTCATCTGTTACATAACTAGCTGTCACCATATGTGTTTTTTGTTCAACACAATGTCTTGCAACTAATCCATGTAAAGCATATGGCAGTAATGATATAACTACATCTGCTTCACTACAAAGTTGGTCTAAATGGGATTCATTTTCAGTTACATTTAAATACATGCTGTCAACACCAGGATACTTATTTGCCAAACGATCTGATTCATCTTTCAAATGTGAACAAATTTTAATTGCAATATCCTTATGCTGATGTAGCCATTCAACGAGAGGGGCTGATACCATACCAGCACCAAGAATTAAGACTCGTTTTTGATTTTCTGATACTCCTTCAACTTTTTGACGCGATCTGCTTCTAAAAATGAAAATGAATTGAATCAATTAAATAAAGTAAAACAACTACAGAAAACACTCTTACGAATTCGAATCTCGAAGTTCTTGTATGTATTTAAAATTATCAGTTAATTCTCCATTACTTGCTATTATTGCCTGTATTTGAAAAGAAAATGCGATATATCCAATTAAAAATTTTAAAATTAATTTACAAAGATTTAATTACAAAACAATATAAACATTCAGTCGTCTTATCATTCTTATAGTACATAATATATTAATATGTACATATTTTTAATATATAATTTAATTAAATTATGCACATATGTATGTAATTTAAGTCAATTATATAACTGAGACACCTTTGCAAATAAATTATAGAAAAAACAGCGTTTTTACTCACGGACTGAATAGGCAACGAAAATTCACTCCATTGATTTTTTAATGGAATTTTTGCATCACTTCTCAAAATGTCATCTACGAAAGGTTGCAATTGTTCACCAAAGAAATCAGTCGCCTCTCTTGGTAATTGGGTTGGCATATTATCAATTGAACAAACTAATACTCCAGGTCCTTTGAAACTATGAAAATCTTTATTTCTATCAGCATCATATAAACAAAATGGTGTATCTATTGTCGTACATTCATTCATAAATTCAATAGAACCACCTGGATCAGCTGAGATATCACAAATCGCCAACATTCGATGTGGCAATGCTGGTGAACCTTTACTTGTTGGTAACCATGGAGTATTAGCCGGTCTTAATAAAATTTTTGCATCTGGAATTGTTAATAGTTTTGGACTGCCAACGGCCCAATAAATACCATTAACAATAATTGATGCGTATGGTGCAATCTTACTACTAAATGTTGATATGTAACGTTCTGGATGTAACTCATATTCTTGTGCATCAAAACCACCACCTTCTTTACGTTCTAAATGATCTGCACGGCTTACTTCACATCCATACAATTTATTATAACTACCATGCTCTGAAACTTTACGTAACATTTCTGGTGGAACATATTCAAATGGTAATTCTTGAAATACTTCTTTAGCACCCTGTGATACATTTCCAGATCCAGTAAAAACAAATGTTAAAGGACCAATTGATTTTGGCATCATACCTAAAGCAATCTCATAACCGCAATCTCGAATAGCTTGACGAGCCATAGATGAATTACGATAATTATGCGCTAAGCCAATATGCATAAATGGTGTATGGTGTCCTAAAGCTAATAAACGTAATCCAACTCCATGTAAAATGTTAATCATACCAGCAACTCCGGCATATTTCCCGAAAGCAACCTGCCTTCCACCTTCATCAACAATTCTTTCGTAATCGATCAAACGAATATTCTAATGATATTAATTTTTTAATTACATTAATACTATTATTTTTTTTTATTTTAGATAATGATTTGGATTATACTTTTTCTAAAACGGCATCTAAAAGTGGCATATTTGCTTCCTGAGCTTTTATTGTGTGAGAGAAGAAACAATACGTTTTTCTCGGTATTAACGCATCTACTGGAACTTGTTTAACACCAAATATTATAGAAGCTTCACTAATGTCTTCTTTGACAACAGCTCCTGCATTCAGATAGGCCTGTAATTTACATATATATATGTATATAAGTATTTAAACAAGTTATTTTAATGTATATTTGATATTATGTAGAAGATTTATTTATGCATAAATCTATTTATTTTCTGGATAATTCAGAAGAAGTTATATTTTCATAGAGATTTTCGAAACCACTAGTAAGTAACCCATAGAATTTCACAACATAAAATGGGATTGTTTCAATCAAATAAAGCATTACAATATACCATTGTATTACCATTTAATAATACCATTAATCATAATATTTTAGAAATTCAAGACGAATTTTTTGAGTGAGAATTTTATTGAAAACTGTAAGAAAAGACAGCTTAACCGACAATAATTTCAAGGTTATAGAAATTCTAAAATAAGAAAATATTTTAAGAATTTTTTTTCAATCACAATCTGTAAATTGTTAATTTATAAATTATGTAAATTATAGAATTTTTAAGTGGCTCTTCTATAAATTTTACTTGCATGATATATACCTATGTGTGTAAGCATGTAGGTAAATTTATTTGCAGTTTTAAAAAATTTCACGCGACATAAAATAAAATTTTAAAATTGATAAACATTATCAATACGCAAAGTGTGTTCCAAATATGATAATTTAATATTATTATCATTTATAATTATAGCTATGTATGTTATTATTCAAACACACATATGTAGGTACATCTATATACAATCCATATCTTTAAGTTCCTCCATATTATATAACACATTGTAGATATTTATACGGAATTTATACTATTAAATTAATGAAAGTAAAAGTTATTCAGAGTCGTAATATTTATTTACATACATACATATGTACGTAGCAGTGGATAACTTAGGTTGTATAAAGAAAACTATATGTTCTATTAAATTGAAAACATGCTACATATATTTATACAAATAGGTATTCTAAAGTTTACATCCCGAACATCATTATACACATGTGTATGTACATACTTGAATAAGGAATTATGTTATGAATTATTATCATTATAAAAAATTATTTTAAGTAAAATTATGTTATTTTTGCAGATTTGAAGGTTAACAGCAAGTAAAATATAAGTATAATACTAGATATGGATTACATAAACATACGAACAAAAGTAAGTATTGGCGGAATTTTATTAAAAGAAAAACAAAATCAGAAATAAAATACGAGCACAACGATAACAAAATATTATTTGTTTTGCGAACTTTTATCATTCAGAGAGATAATACAATTTTAATTTGAAGGAAGATTCAACACATTTTACTTTCAATTTCATATTTATCCAAACGCAGGAATATAATAAAATCGTGAATGGCGTCTAATACTATTATAATTTATGTATGTTCATGTATGTTTATGAACATAACTTAATGCATATAAATATGTAAAATTACATAATTTTTGTAATTTTACAAAAAACACGTCCATACATACAAACATATATTTACGAAGTTAACAAAGTTTACTTTAATAAATTTTATAAATTACGTACATATATGTGTACGTACATGCGTGTACATGTAAATAACTTACCTGCATAGGATAAGCTCGACGATTTGATGGTTGGACAATAACTTTAACACCTTGTTTAACCAATTTTTGTACGTGATATGGACTGAAAGCTGCTCTTCTTTCCCATACTGATTGATCTTCTCTCCTAATTGCAATCACCTTACCAGCCTAAAATGAAAGTACATAATTGGATATATACTTATATATCAGATTATTATTCGTAATTATTGTCTCCTTTCAAATCAATATTACTTGTTAAAAAAAAATTATGTCGATCATTTTTAATAAAACTCCGTCTTAATTGAAAGATACACTTACATGACGCCATCTACACATTGTATATCGCACTGAATTTTTAATTAATTTAAATTTTTCGAAATCATTTTGAGGTCCAAAAACGCGCTGTAACATTTTTCAACTTTCTTTAAATTACAATATATTGCATTAAAAATTATATTGTCTAATATTATATTAAAATAAATAAATAAAATCTAAATTTAGTTTTCAATTATGCTGTACGTATGTATATACGTTTATTTTTTTATAATAAATAAAATTAGAACCGTTTGCATAGATGCTCTGAATTGAACTGATGAATTTTAATACGATTTATTATTTTATTACTGATATAACATATTTTTATTATACTTACTGATAAGATTTTTTCGCCATTAAGGTATGGTTATGGTTATATTCTATACCCAGAAGTAACGCATATCAACGAGCCTTTTCCTATTATTCTATAAATTCCTTTACATTCTTTATAAGTGTATTGTATTCTACTCCAAAGAATATTTTTATAATATTTATACCGTTATCAAAACACTGATTAAAAAATTGAAACAGAAAAACAAAATTTTTTTTCTCACTTTAAACAGTTTTAACTTTATAAAGAATTTTAGCAAAAATTTTGATTATTAAGCAATAAAAAAAATTTTTGCTTTATTTGTTATCAATTTCACTTTAATGGAATATCAAGGACACAATTATGTGGTATTTGATTTTAATATTCTGAAATATATTATGCATAATGATACACGTATATTGGAAAGTACTGCATGAAATATTCATGAAGATTTGTGTAAATCCTATCAATTTTATTTCCTAAGATTAAATCTTTCCTTACCCTTGTTTATATTTTACCTATACTGTAAATCTATTTATTAACAGAATCAAATATTGCTTTGAATGAACCAAGGAAACTCAAATAGCTATTCTAACAGATATTTATAGAAATTTAAGCCTTTGTGCAAACATATATAATATGTATATACATATATTTATACTTAAAGATGTACATACATGTCCACACGTAACTAAATTTTTATAAAATTTGTTTCTAACCCCCAGAGGTTATTGATGAGTGGTAACAGATAAAAAATTTAATCTACATCTTGTTATATATACGTATGTATGTACATGAATATTATTTTTATGTATTTATTCGGTATACGTCATCAAAGATAGTAAATTTTTATAAAATTTTTTATTGAAAAGTAGGTAACAGTTTTATATAATATATATGTATATTTACCATTATGTTAAATTACGTACAATAAAATTTAGGTATTTATTAATCCATTGTATTAATATTATAAGATATACAGTGTACATATACATATGTGCCTACCAATATTACATATATTATAATACGTAGTATAATGTATGTATATTATTTTTACTCTTTAATTACTTTTTCGTCGGGAATTTAATTAATACTATAAACCTAATAAAAATCATAATATTTGAGAAATTCATTGTAATATGTTTTATTCGTTTGACTTGGTAAATGGTTTGCACCAAATTCAGACATAATTAATTAATAGTACATCTAACTATTCAATAACTATCCAATTAGTTATTTGAACAACTCAAATTTATAAGTTTCCAATTTTTTTTTTCCAAATAAGATTTCATAAAACTTCTTCTCATTAGCAAACATTTTACATACTTCATTTAATGCTATCTAAAAACTTTTTATTCAAATTTAAAAAACTACTTAATCAATAAAATTTACACAAGTGAATTTAATATTCAAATTTTATAACTAATACATTCTTATAATAGTTAAAACTAAAAATTATAACATCCTTATTTACATATTACATAAAGAATTTCGAAATTTGTAGTATTTCCCTATTTTTATTGTATGGATATATAATTTTTCCAAATTTTGTCACATTTCAAATGATTTAATTATAATCTACATAAAAATTTAATTTAAGAACTATACTTCGATTTTTGTCATTTTATTTTTGCTTCACTTCCAACGTACTTAATTTCATCAAAAGCTTTCCTAGCTTTCTTTAACTCTTCATTCATGGTAAGCAAATCTTTAACACGAGCATATTTTCTTGAATCTTTTCGAACAAGGAAAATTATATCTTCAACTTGCACTCGGCCCGTTCGACCAATTTCCATAGCTCTATGTGTTGTTTCTGTAATAAATTCTATTACTAGATCTTCCAGTAAATCAACACTTTCAGTGTATGGATTTTTATCATCCCCAAAACCATACATCATACATCGAAGCTCTTTGCTAAATAACCTTTTTCTTCCAGCAGATGTAGAACCAAGTTGAACTTCAAGTTCATCCTCATCAAATTCATTTTCAAAAACTTCTTCTGTTGGTTGAGTCGACATTTTCTACAATTAAATTTTAATTTAAAAACAGAAAAATTTCTAAGCACAATTAAAAATGAGAAATATTATTTACTTTCTATTTGACAAATAAAAAGATTATTTTGAAGTTTTTATTTTGAAGGATTGGGACTTTAAATTTTTAAAAAAATTAAAGTATCAAATATGCTACGTATGTTTTTGTACATTTTCATTTTTCAAAAAAATTGTCTAAAACCTAAACATTTTTTTTAAAAAAATTAATAATTTTTGGAAAAACACATCAAAAATTCAAATATCAACACGAAATTTAAATAATTATTTTGTATTGGCCAGGTTTTTAACATCTATAATTTTTCAGACGTTTTGAGTTTTTAAACATTTATAATTTTTGAGGCTAGTGACAAACTTGTTCCGGCCATAGTCAGTTTGAAACGAATGATTATGCAAGTCTCGCGGTTGCAATGGCTGTAAGTCGATCGATAGTAGCCTAGCCCAGCAACCACATATAAAAACTTTTTCTGAACTGATCCAATGCGCGAAACCTCCACCAGACGATTAGTTTGGTAAAATATTCAAAATATACTTTGACGTTGCTGAGAGATAGCTCAATTATTCTGAATTGTCTTCAGACTAGTCTGGAGGCTTAATATTTTTTAATAAATCAACTAGTTGAGTTCTTTTTGCCAATTTTAAACTGGAGCTATAGCGGAAGCCCGTTTTTGTAAATTTGCCGCACAAAGCAGCCAGTTTTAATTTACAGTTCAGCGAAGGTTTTCATCAAGTTTTGTAAAGTAAAATTTAGTATTTTGGAAATTTTTAAAAACTTCAAGCTTTCGAAACATAGGTTTTTTCTTTGTTATATCAAATGGTGTCATTTTTCAAAAAAGAATGAAAACTTTAATTTAAAATAAAAAAAAAACAAAGTGGATTCATAAATTTTTATTTTTAAGTTTCACACTTAATATACGAGTATAATCAAAATTTTCGATTTTTTTGTGTAACTGAAAAATATTTATTTATAGATAAATGTTTTAAAATTTTGTGTTTATCACCTATTTATAAAGTTTTCAAAGTTTTTTAAAAATTGAAATAAAAGAGAATGCAACTTAAAACAAAAATTCCTAGATATTTATGTCAAGCAATATCTTTATAGTCAGTGTATTATTTTATATGGTTCAATAACCAACATTGACATTTCAAAAAATCTACTACAACAAGTTATATAAGAAAAGAAAGTACTAAAATGTAGGAAAATAGGAAATGTGTATGTCAATTTCAGTGTTTATATGTGTGTATATATTTGTCATTAGTATTTGTCATTAGAAATGTCATTCTGTATCTTATTTTTTGTACATTTTCATAAAAAATTCGAATTGGAATTATAAAAAAAAAAGACTTACGAAATATTTGTATACATATATGTTTTTGTTCTATTTGTAAAAACTTACTTTACTTAACTTTTTCTAAAAAATGATAGTTTTTAAGAAATTGTGCAGTAAGTATTTATAAAATTTTCATCATTTAAAATAAATATTTAAACAAATTTTTTTCCGACTTATAAAATTTACTAAGTGGGCACATCTAACAAAAAACACATTAAAAAAAAGTGAATGGGCTCGCCTTAGTTTATACAATAAAAATTTTAATTGAAACAATAAGATTATTTGTCGTTTTGCGATATAAATTATTAAAATCTATAAAATTTAAAAAAAATAAATCCATAAGATTTAAATATATATGTACGTAAATATGTGCATATATATAAATAAGTAGCAAGACAAAAAGATAATAATAATTAAAAATTAGATTATATTTGTCTGTCAACACATTAATTACATAGTTGTTAATTATATTAAAAAATAAAAATTTTGTTTTAACACAGAAAAACTATTATACATATAAATACAATATTAAATTAACACAATATTGAGCAACAATTTTGTTAATTGAACCTAATGAATTTCTTGATAAAGACAAATTGTTGAATTTACTGAAAACAATCAAAATAAGCCCTGTGCAAGCAAAATTTTGTGATTTTTATTATCTTATAACTTAGGAATTTAACTATGATTTTTAAATATCTATTAAAACATATCTCTGCTAACTTTATATTAAAACAAAATTAAATATGAAAGACCAAAAATTCTCCACTTTATTTTTTCAATAATTGTATCAAATAAAAAAGCAGGCTATATTCATTTTTTATTATTAAAAATTAATACCTACTAAACTAAATTCTTGAAACATGTAACTTCTAAAAATTCATGTTAGGTATTTTATACAAAAAACATTATTATTATTTATTTGATACAGAACATATTAATTAAAAGTCTGTAAACTTCTATGCACAAGTAAAAAATTAATTATAAATAGGTAGGAATGTATTAATTTTAAATTAATATTTTTTGCAATATATCAATAATATATAAATGCAAAGTTTTTAATTTTCTTTTTAGCGATTTATTAACACAAAAGGCCTTGGATATCATATTTTCGAATGCTGAAAAAAGCTGTTTTATTATTCATCACAAAATAAAATCAACTAATTTTTGCTTATATAAAAAATTATAAGTAAAATTTTGATTGATTTCGAGTCAGGCTATTAAATATTTTGTGCCAAAAGTAAACCATATGTGAAATTAATCTTTTTACACAAAATTTAAAATATACATACAAAAACAATTAGATAAATAATATATTAACTATTAGGATTCATTAGTTTTATGAAAACTAGTCAAAAAAAATTTTAAAACATTAAAAAATTAAAAAAAAACATAGAAAAAAGACAGAATAAACAAGTAGGTTATATATCATATGTATCCGAATTACTTTTTAAACTAATATCCAAACGACGACGATCACGACGAAAATATTGTGTTACAATTAATAAAAAACAGATTGAGAAATGGATATAAAGGCTGATTTTGAAAAATAAAATAACATTGGGTAAAAATCGAATCATTGGTAAAAACACAACATTCTTAAAAACAATTTAGCATTTATGAGAGCAATTAACGTTTAAAAATTTATTTTGTTTTTCTTTTTTCGCAACAAAGGGTTAATATTTTTGAATTTCATTTATTTATTCTTATAATAAGGATAAGCAGCAATTTATCTTCTTATATATTTACAAATTCAATGATTTTAGGCAAATAATGTTCTGAAAAATAAAAAATATTTAGAAAATATTCAAACTTCCTTTTTCTAATTAATACTAGATTCCTAAATCTCATAAAAATAAGAATAAAGACAACTATAAAAACTAGAATGGGAAATTCCAATTCTTGTTGCGCTTATTCCAGTCCACAACCGGAACGTAAAGTAAAAGAAGTTCCTGTATTTGAAGAACGTCTACCAGATCGTGATCACTCCACAAATAATTTACAGCATATATCTGAACGGGAAACTGTTGATGGATATACTGATGCTGATCCATCTGCAGATCCAACTACTGGAACAATGTTTTTAGAACGTTCCAAATTAGAAAATGGTATTACACGAAAACGTTCGCATCATCAAATAGCAAATCAACAGTCAATTTCATCAAACAGTATGACATATAGTTCAACTGCAGGTAATTTAAAGAAAAGTTCTTCATGTTCAACCATTTATTTAGACGATAGTACCGTATCTCAACCTAATTTACGCAACACAGTTAAATGTGTATCTTTGGCGATTTATTATCATATAAAAAATCGACAATCTGAACGTCGTTTAGATATATTTGATGAAAAATTACATCCATTAACTCATGATCCAGTACCAGATGATTATGATATGCATAATCCAGAACATCGTCAAATATATAAATTTGTTCGTACGTTATTTAATGCTGCACAATTAACAGCTGAATGTGCTATTATAACACTAGTCTACTTAGAACGTTTATTAACATATGCTGAATTAGATATTGCACCTTGTAATTGGAAACGTATCATATTAGGTGCGATATTATTAGCCAGTAAAGTATGGGATGATCAAGCTGTGTGGAATGTTGATTATTGTCAAATATTAAAAGATATTACTGTTGAAGATATGAATGAACTGGAACGAGAATTTTTGGAGTTGTTACAATTTAATATTAATGTACCGTCATCGGTTTATGCCAAATATTATTTTGATTTAAGAACATTAGCTGAAGCAAATGATTTATTATTTCCAACTGAACCGCTGTCCAAAGAACGTGCACAAAAATTAGAAGCAATGTCACGTGTTATGCAAGATAAATTTACACAGGAGGCATTGAAAAATGGTATGAAAAAATGGTCATCTATGGATAATATAAGCCAAGGTGGTCCAAGAAGAAGTGTTGCTATACTTTCGTGATTTCATAATTTTATAAATAATATAAAAACATATTTTTATAAAGTTATTTTTCTTGTGTAATATTATTTAAGTTTACATATTTTAACAATAACTATCATTATTATTATTATTTATAAGTAAATAATAGAAAATATTTGAATTAAATTAAAAAACAGAAAAAAAAACAAAATATTAGAATATCAATTTAAAGGAATTTATCATAAAACTAAAATCATTCAATTTTCTTCCTATGAATACAGGTTTTACCATCTTCTTTTTGGTAATTTTGATAAATATACACAGATATTTTTCTTTTTGTATATGCTTATAATTTATAAGTAACGTTATTATAAAAATTAATTGCAAACAAAGTTTTCAAAACAGCATTTCGAAATTATTTAATATTTAATTTAATATGTTGATCCAAAAAACACTATAAAATTATTTTTTAACCAAAATTTTACTGAAACTTAGATAGTTTTATGTCTGAAATAGTCCCGTCAGCCTAAAAAAGGTTGATAATATTCCATAAAGTTTTTGTAATATTAATGCAACTCAGTAATAGGTATTTGAAAAATTTGAAGCGATTATAATTTAAATATTTTTAATATCGAGTGAATAAATTATTTCATAAAAAATAGTTCAGTGTAATTGGACTGAGTCATTCAAAATTAAGAAACTCAATTGGATAACGAATAAAGAAATTTCTTACACAAAAAAATATTTTGTCACAACTTGCAAGAAACTTTATATTTTGCCACACATTCTAGCACTCTGTCATTATTTTACTCTATATTAAGATAGAATTCTTAAATTTCATAAAAATATATTTTTCAAAATTATTTCCAATGTAATTTCTTCTATTGAATAGAATACTAAAGGTAATAAAAAACTAAAGGTTTAATTATCCAGATTGAGTTCTACGCTTCTTGCAACAAAATGTATACAAAAATTTTTTTGTAGGAATTCGTAGATAGAATGGTTGATTAAAAAATGTGATTAAAAACACCAACAAATGTGCTTAAAAAGACTTAAAACTTTTTATTGTCTTAATTTTGTAATATATTATTTAACAGATGTCAATAAACAAATACATAAATTATATTAAAATTCATAATTGTAAATTCTGACTGACAACTTCATTCACTCCCTAACTTATTTGTAATTAATTTAATTAAGATGTCTACAATGACTACTTAAAATTAACTTTTATAAATATTTGCAATTAAAATTCGATTAGAAGGGTATTTTTTTAATAAATTTTTTACTGCATAAATTCAAAATTCGAAGGTCTTAAACAAATAGTTTAGGAGCTAATAAATATTTAAAAAAGTTTTTCCTTAACAAATTTAATTTGATCTTTGTGTATTTTTATATTTATTAAGAAATTATTTTTTAACCCTAATTTTTTGTTATTCTTTCACCTCACATTTTTCCATTTATATAAAAAAAATTTAGCCGAAAAAAAACATATTTCGTTTGTTTTTCTATTTTCAATCTCAATTAATTTTTAGATTTAAAACATAAATTAAAGGAAAAGTAGAATATCAGCGAACAAAATAAAAAACTTTAAAAATAGTGATTGATTAAATATTTTACATAGTAATTTAGAACAAGTAGTACTTTATCTACCTATCTAGTATTCATAAAAACAAAAATAAAATAAATAGAATTATACGAAAATAATTATGCAATAATAATTAATAACGAAACAGAATATTTATTTTTTAAATGAATTTATTTTTTTTAACTCTTAACTGAAAAGTATATTTTTATTCTGTATAAAAAAAATAGTTGCTAAATAATTTTAACATTATAGTTTTTCTTTTAATGTTTGGTTTTAGAAATGCATACATATTATTGTTAAAAAGTCAACCGAAAAATTTTACATAAATATAATAATAAATATAATTTTACATAAATAATAATAACACATTAAATTAAACTTAAAGATTTATAATGAAATTAAAAATAAACAAACTTAAAATAGAGAAAAGAAACAATTTTTTTTAATTAAAAATATTTGTAAACAAAATTGAATGGAATTTAAAAATAAAAAAAAATTAATGAAATAAACAACTTTTTAGAAAACTTATCCGTTCATATTCTTTTATTTAGATTTTATTTTATCATTATTGTATTATTTTAAATTATGGGGATTGAAAACAGCGGAAAAAAATATCACTTGTTTGAATCTCAGCTGGAGCCATAATATAATTTCTACTTACCAATTTCGGTTTAAATTAAAACCATATTGAAAAGCCACTTTGGAAAACGTAGCTTTTTGCAATGGTTTTATACAGGATGATGTACCAAGGTATTTAACAAAATATCTATAAATACAACTGTATATTAGTCTCAAAAAATGCTAGTGTATTCATTGGTAGAGAATCAAAAAATTTTTTGTTCTACATTGCTTGCCATAAGATATTAATGGTCTCTTTATATTAGAAGCACAAAAATCTAAGAATTTTTAACTTTATCAAAAACTATGTACTATACCAGGTTTCTATTTCATAGAAAAAATCTTGGTTTCTAGTTTTGATATGCACATTCTATTAATTTTTTCAAGTTCAAAACCCTTATTGTGTTGACTATCAAATCCAAATTTCGAGGAAATAAAAATTTATATTTAATTGAATATTGTTTGTTCTAAACTAAACACAAACAAAAAAATGGCCCTCAAACTGAAATCGAACTAGCCTACCAATTTCAATATATTAAATATTTTATCTTTCTCTCTTATTTCTTTATTTTAAATAAACAATAACAATAAAAAGAATAAAGAAAACCGTTCGGCAAAGTTTATTTAAACATCGAGATATTTTATACGACTCAGAATAAATTTTGTAACAAAACAGAAATATATTGTTACGTCATCACCATGCTTTACTCTACATGATACGTGTAGTAAAACAGAATTGCCCATAACAAGTTCAAATAAAGATTGCCCTCTACCTTTCCAATAAACAAAAATTGTTTTTATCAAATAAAATAAATTTTTTTTCCTTTCGTAATAAAATTCTACTTGCACTTTTTAAAATAAACATTCGCGACGCGTTATGTAACATCCGTTTGCAATTTATCGAATTACATAAAATTTTAATTAAATTATAATTATGAATTTTAAATAACAAACAAAAATTGCCTACCAAGCAATTTTTTGAATAAAAATATTGGGAATGAAAGTTAATAGAAAATAAAAAGTAAGTTAGTTCTAAGAAGCCATACGTGGAATCAACAAGTTTGAAATATTAATAAAAATAATTTAAGAGAAAAATAATTTAAGTAGAAAATAATTTTAAATAAAAAAACTTTTTGAATACAAAAAAATAAAAAAAGTGTTTTTAATCCACGTATAAAAAAAATACAACTTTTCTTACGCGAAATCTTGAAATACGTAAGTATATCCTTCATGCAAAAGCCCACATATGAAAATTTCTCAAAAAAGTTTTGAATTATATTCTGTTGCTAATTTCACATGTTGCCCAAAAGAAAGTCTTATATTTCACTCAAATATACTGCAAAATCATTCATTATATAGAAAAATTAATAACATAAAAAATATTGTTACAAAATTTAGAAAATCTCAAAAGAAACTATTAGCCTGAAATTTAAATACGTTTTAAAATTTTAAATAAAATAAAATAGCCATGTTTTTTTACATATTTTTTTTTAATTTTACTTAAAAAAACTGAATTTTTATTGTTCCTTAAGCATATATATCCTAAATTTTATTTCGTACAGTTTTCTCAAATTTTTTAAAGAATTATTTTTTTCTCTTTTTTTAATATTATTTGTATATATATATATATATATATATATTATTAATATGTATTTAATATATATATATAGATATTGTTTTTCTTTATTTTTATTATAATCATTAATTTATAATTAATTTACGCATATTATAGGAGCATAGTGTCAATACAAATTTATTTTTTTTTTAATGTAAGATCTTACAATTTTTTTTGATGATTCGTATTATATAATAAAATTATTTAATAAGTTTGTATGTATTTAATATGGGCACCTAATATTTAATAAAAAAAAACCCGAAATAATAACTATGTATATGTGTGTGTTCCTTTTATTTGCTTTTTTTTGTCTTAAAATAAAAATTGCAAAAATAAAACGAAACATAAAATAATATTTTTTTTTTTTCAATTAAAAATCTTAATGCTGAAATGCTTAAAAAAAATGCGTATCTAAATATGTATTAAAAATAAAAAATAATTATTTTTACTTTAAATTTTTATAAACAAAAAAAAATCTCTTCGAAAAGTTAAATATAAAATATTCTATTATTTAATAACTAGTAACTACTAATATCACTGAAATTATTAAATCAGTAATATCAGTAATTCAGACGTAGACTTGTTATTGCTCTTACTAGGAAAACTATTTATTTATTTAAAAATTAAAATAAAAACAATTTTTTTTTAAATCGCAATTTAATTGCATAAAATTTGAATTATTAAAATATTTTATTTTTTTAATTTCAGTTTTTTGTTACGTATCTCTAAAAATGTCTATGAAAACCGAAAAAGATTCGTGGCTCAAGAAATATCCTTACTTAATTTTATTTAACAAAAATTTATGACTGAAAATAACAATTAATTCCAGTATTCAAAATAAATATTAATAAATATTAATAATTTTTATAAATAATTAATATTTATAATTTTATTATAATTTCATTGTCCTTTTTATTTATTTACAATCAAAATTAATGGAAGTGTAGATGAATTAAAATTTTAACTTAAAAATTAAAATAGCAAAAATATCAAATTATATTTTCAATACAAAATATATTTTAAATTCGCTAACACTCCAGTAATAAATGTCCGGTTATTTGCTATACGTAGAATTTATTTTATAATATTATGAATTTATTTTTTTTTTTATTATGTTTATAAATAATTTATTTTCAATATTGAAATTAATTGTTCTTGAATATATATTAGAGTAAAAGTAAATAGGCTTACTGTAATAAAAAAACAGGTTAAAACAAAGTAATATTAATTTATGAATTCAAAATATTAATTTGACTGCAAACAAAAAAAATTATCAAATCATACTCATTTTATCTAATAAAAAAAAATACAAAGTGGAAAGAAGAAATAAGATAATTTTTTTTCTTACATAAGGTAACCACGAAATTATTTTAGTAAGTTTAAAAAAGGTTCTGAAAATAAAAGTTTTTTTTTTAAAGAAAAAGAGGATTTTTGTTTGATTTTAGCTTTTATAAGTAGGTATTAAGCGTTATGTACTTAGCAATCAATTTTTTTTTAATTGAGTAATGAAATCTATCAGTTTTTATTTATAAATTACAAAAAAACAAAGCTAAAATTTAAAATATTTTTCTTTCTTTAAATATATATGAAATAAAAACAGAAACGTAAAATAAATCGAAGAGATCTTACAATTCACTAAAGAATCTTTTATGAATTCCGTTCCAGCGAATATCACAAATACCAGACACTTAAATTTATACATATATATATATATATAATAAAATTAGAGTAATTTTTCTTTTTCTATATCTTAAATATTATTCAATATTTTTTACGGTATTTTTTTTTCTAATTTTTTAATTTTGATTATTCAAATTAAAAAAAAGGAAATTGTTGAGTTATTCTGTATCTAATTTTAAAATCCTTAATCATGTAGTTTTCTACTTTATTTATTTATTTTTTTTTTAATTACTAATTTAATTTTTATGGATTTAATGTATTTCAAATTACTTTTTCCTCGTTAATAATTTTAAATTAAATCTTTTTTTTATATTTAAACATTCCTCATCATAAATTTTTATTATTTTTTTTTTTATTTCAAGTTAGTCTTATTTTTTAGAAATTTATTTACTCAGTCACAATTGCATTCATTTTGAACGAATATTTAAAAATTTAGATTTTTTTTGTCTAATTTTTATGTATATATTTATTTTTTTTTGTTTGCTTCTATTATGTTGTCTCATATTATCTCAAAATTATATTGCTATTCAATTATAATGCACACTATTTTTGTATTTTTTTTTTGCTTTTTATTTTTTTTTATTTTTAAATATACATACTAATAAAAATTATTATTTTTAATATTTATAAAAGAATATTCGGTGGTTGAAGGTTTTTAAAATTTGTTTTTTTTTTCTTTTAGTAAGTTAAAAATATAAACCAACGGAATCCATATCAGATTTGCTAATATACAATGTTTTACATTTTACAATTAAAAAATGTAATAGTGTTTAATTTATTCATTTTTATTATTATTATAATTAAATATTATTAAAAGAAAGTGAACCTTTTTTAAATAATTAAAGAATTATTGGAACCAAATTCAAATTATAAATGTGTATTTATTTATATTTTGAAATTTTTAAATTAGAGTTCAATTTAACATAAAAATTTTAATACAAATTTAAATATATTTAATTTTATTATGTTTTTTGAGCAATACTTTTATTTTCATATTTAAACAAACATAAATATGAATATATTTTTCAGTTTCTTTTTATTGAATTTCAAAATAAAAATCACAAAAATAATATATGTATTTTAACATAGGTACATATATTTTAAAATTAAGTTCCTCTTTTATGTTGTAAGCAATTTTAAAATTAAAGTTTTTAAAGAATAAACGTAAACTGTTTTGTTCTTATATACTTTAAAGTTTCACTGCTCCCCAATTTTTTTAATTATGATTCTATTCAATGCTTTGAAAATTTGGAAGCAATACTTTGCATCATTACAAAAAAATATAGCATTAATTAATATTTAATTTTATTCTAAACTAAAATGATGTTTTTAAAATTTAGGAAAAATGTATTTTGAAATCAATTTTAAATACATAATTGAATTTGAAAGTCAATATTCTCGAATCTGAAACTTTGCACATTTTGTAAGTTTCAACACAATTTTAAAATATGTTACGGATTATATCAAAGAAATTTCATTTAGTTAGTTTTTATTTAGTCGCAGTATAAATTTTCTTTTATTTTAATTTAAAAGCATTTTTTTAACTTGACATTAACTTGACTTAGAGCTTTATATACAAATTTGAATATAAAGAACGTGAGTAAATATAAGAAAAATACTAACAAAGTTTAAAATGAAAATGAAATGAAAAAATGTTAATGAAAAAAAATATTATAAATATGGGATGATTCAGCAATAAATGCAGAGCCATTTATCATCTAAAGAATAAAAAATGGGTAAACTTTATTACAATTTGATATGAAAACCGAAATTTGATATGCAGCGATTAATTAAAACTTTGCAGTTTCTGCTTACAGGTTTTTTAATTCTTGTTATTTTCGTTAATGTACATAAAAAAGAACTGAAATTAACGAGTTTATTATATTGTTTGTAAGATGTCTTAATTTCAAGTACTTGTTCAGGGCTTTAAAAACAATTTATATTTTGTTTGTATTCATCCTCGAACGGAGGAAAGTGTGACCAAAACAAAAAAAACATAAAAAGTAAATGATGCGGCATCTTTAAATCTCTATAACTCGGGAACCATTTCGATTTAGCACCAAATCTAACCTAAAATTTTACCAGTTTATATAGAATGGCTGTGTATTTATTTGGTGATCAACTAGTGTATATAAATTATTGATTAATAAAAAAAAATTTAAGTTTTAATATATTTCGACAAAATAACTGTTTCCATATAGTAATTACATTGCTATATTTTCTTGTTAGTACGAAAATTACTGCGAAATGTATATAATACTTTTATTTTACTTTAAAGTAAAATTTTAAAAAATTACAAGTATTTACTACATTTTATTAAATGAAATTTTATTCTCTTAAAAGTTACGTTAGTACCGATTAAATAATTCTCAGAAAATATATTTTTTTATTATTTTATTATAAAAATTTTTTTTATTAAAATATAAAATATACTACGAATTTTTTTTTATTTTTGCTTCCTTTTTTTTTGAGATTTAATGTTTGCTGAGAGCTTTACTTCTAAGAAAAATTCTACAAGCTTTAGTGAATCAAATAAATGAATTTAAAAAAAATCGTAATTATTGCACTTTTTCCTTGTATTTTATTTTTGAATTATTATAAAAATTATATCTAATTTATTAGAAATTAATTAATAACATAGGTTTTGTCTGAAAAAAAAAATTATAAAATTTAAATGAAAATTGAACATTTAATATTGGAAAATTTAAGCAAAAAAAAACGTATACTTATAGATTTTACACAATTGATTATATACTTGTACATTCATGTATTATTACTTGTAAAATTAAAATCTTTCTTCAGCTATTTTATTATAAATCCAAATACATAAATTTTGAAAAAATAATTTTTAATTAACAAATTGAAAATCTTAAATTCCTTATTAGTAATGTTGATGATATTTCATATATGAATAATCCATTCAAGTTTTGTTCTGCTTCCCTTCATTTATTTGTGTGAATATACTTATATCTTCTATGATATATGAATAAATACAAATATATTTCCTTTTATATTTATAATAACAGAGTAGTAATTTTTTTAATGCAGTTAAGGCCTTTTCCTTTTTTATGCAAGTATCCATCAACCAAGCAAATTTGTGTAATTGCCAATCATTTTTATTTAACTCTCAATTCTGTCAATTTACCCAATGTTTTTTCTTTCCTCATTATGTTAAACCAATGCTTTCACTAGCTCGTTGAATTATATATAATAAGAAATTTATCTATTTAATACTAATTATTTTTATAAAAAAAAAAGTTGTTATAGATGGTAAAAAAAAATGAAACATACATTCGATTTTAAAAAATATTGCTCAATTTATTACTATTATTATTGTTATTGTTACTGTATATAACATTAAATTCACGTTAATAATGAAGTCATTGTAAAATATTTTAAGTTGAATAATTGTTTTATCGACAATTGAAAGACCATTTATTTAGAGAAAAAATAAAATTTGAAAAAAATTTTATCATTTTTATTTTTCTTTTTGAATTATAACTTTGAATTATTAATTTTAATTGAATTACTATAAAAAAATTTAATATTAATGAATATAATACACATAGTATAAGGATCAAAACATACAAAAGAGAACTAATAATAATCACTTAATATTTTATTTTGAAAGAACTAAAAGACAGATTATACTGTTATGATTTAAAAAGTGTCATTAATATTGTAATTGTAAAGTATGAAATTATTTTGTGTAAAAATTAAAAAAAAAAGTCCTAGAATAGAAAATTCATTTTTTTCCTTTGACATACTTTAAGTAATAAACTCATTAATATTACAATTTAAATAGTAAAATCGAAATTTATATTCTCTCTTTAACTTAATATTAATGTGTTAGTATCTGAAAAAAAAAAATATTAAAAAAAATATACATAATATTCTAACAATAAAATTACTCATATTATTTTAAAATACATACATATAAACGTTAAAAATAGAAGAAAAATTTGTATTTCCTTATTTTTTTTCCTTTTTGTTTATATAATTAAATAATAAAGTAATTAATAATTTGCTAATTTAATATGTTATATATATTACAATTATTTTGTTGTGCAAAAAATTTACCACTAAATAATTAAACAAACACAATATACTTGTAAATATATTCAAAGTAAAATAATATGTGTATTTTGCAATAAATTTTCAAAAACACATCATACATAGAAAATAGAAACCAAATTTACAGTCTTAGATTTGTAAATCTTAATAATTTATGTACTGTTAAATTATAGCTTAATTTACAAAATTGAGAATTAAATTATGGACAATTTTAAAATTTTCTCTATATTTTGATTTAATTTTAGTGAAATTAGTGTTGTAAATCAATTTGATTATAACTTTTTTATTTTATTGAATTGATTGCAAATTAATGGAGACTGTGGAGTTTTATATTGTGCTTGAAAAAAAAAAACGATTCACTTGAAGATAACATACTAAATTAGCTGAGAACCGAAATAATCCTAAGAGTTTATTTTTGAGTTAAAAAACTTGACTTACATATATTTTATAAAAAAAAAATGTGTTTATGCATATATATACATATATGTATATAATATAAATATAAGATAGTCCTTTTTTTTCTAAATTTTAATTTTTAGTCTTAATATTATAAAAAAAAAAACTGAAAGTAAAAAAGTGTGTTGTAAATTTGTTTTTCATACTTATTTATTTTATATACATAAGTATAATGAATTTAAATCAGAACTCTAAAATTAAATCTCGAGTAAGAAGAGGTTCACTAATTTTAAATAAAAATTGTTTATATATATATATATATATATTTATGTATACATAAGTTTTATTTTTTTTAATGTTTTTTTTTTTTTTTTTTTTTTTTTTATGAATGTATACTTCTAAAACACCAATAATTGCAATATGTTATCATTTTTATATTTGTTTTTTTTTTTTGTTTTCAGTTTGCTTGTATGTTTGTTTTGTTTTGACGAGTTGTGATTTCATTTGTATCTTTACTATTCTTATTTAAAATATTTATTTTTTTATATAATTTTTATTATTATTAGTTTTTTTTATATCATTATTTCCTTAATAATGTGGTTTGTTTGCTTTTTTAGTTTTTCTTTTTTTTTTTATTATTTAGTTTTATTGAATAAGTTTACTTTTTTTAATTTATTTTTTGCCATTATCTTTTACTTATCATGCTTCTATAATTATTACATTGCCTTCTTCTATTAGTTCAACACGTTTTCCATTTTCTTCAATACATCCTCCAATCTCTTCCATCTTCTCTGCTTCCACCTTCATCAAAAGTAGTTTGCTTTTTTTGTTTTTTTTTTTTTTTTAGAAATTGTTATGTATTTTCTTTTAATGTTTTCTTTTTCTTTTCTGTTATTTACTTTCAGTTTGCAAAATTTATAAAACTTTGTAAACTTTCTGAGCGTTATGCTTGTTCTTATGCTTTTCCAATAGTTTTTCAGTAATGAATGATTTTTCGCACAAATCGCATTGATATTGACCTCCAGTATGGCGTTGCTGATGACTTTCAAGGTTACCTTTTGATGTAAACGATTTTGAACAAATCATACAATTAAATGGTTTTTCACCCAAATGAGTGCGTACATGGGTTTCTAAATTACCTTTTGCTGCAAATGGTTTTCCACAAATGTCGCATTTAAACGGTTTCTCTCCAGTATGAATACGAAGATGCGCATCCAAATTCCCCTGCAAATATTTAATATAGAAAGAAAAAAAAAAAGAAAAAAGACGAATGAAATAAAAATAATGAAAAATAAGTTTAAAAAAATTAACAAAATTTCATAAAAACAAAAACAAAGGATGATAAAATTATTTTTTTTTTTGTTCTAAAAATTAATCATTGCATAAATATTTAAAAAATGTTGTGCTTTGTTATTATTTTAATTTACGGAATTTTATTATGCTAATGAAAAATGCATATAAATCGAAATATTAATAAAAATTTCAATTTATACGTATTCTTTCTTACAACTTAGCAATTTAATTAATTTTACTTCGAATAATTGATAATTAAATGTGATGTAATATAACAATAGAAATGCATTAGCATAACGCCTTGAATTCCGTTTTATATAATAAAATTTTGCAAATTTAGCCTTATTTAGTTTTTAGTTTTATTAAAAATCAAAGATAAACCAAAAATAATTGAAATAATACAAAACTGATTTTATATGACATAAATTTGTATGTTCTTTAAAATTTATTTAAACTATAATATTATTTATTTTTTACTCAATTTAATACATGTTTTTTTTTTTGCTCTTTATCAATTTTAGGAATCAAAAATTAATATTTTCTAGAATCCTAATCATACCGGGTACTTTATGGGGAGAAAATTTACAAGAAGTTAAATTCTTCTATGAATTTCTTTATTAAAAATAAATCTTTTTCAAAAATATATATTTTGTAACTTGTTCTTAAATTGCTACTTTTTGAAATTGTATTATTTTCATAAAATATTATTATTCTACATTTAGAATTTTCTATTGAAATATCTACTTGCGAATTAATTAACAAAAAATATTCTATTTATATTTTGATTTTTAAATTTTTTTTTACTAAATAAAATTACCCTTAATAATGAGAACGATTTTTTATTCACATTTCATGTACATTTTTGAAGAAACTTAAGAGTTCTTTTAAGGAAGAGTAAAAAAAAAAACTTTTTCTTTTATTTTAGTTCAGGAAGTAAAACAAAACCCATCAGCAGCAAAAAAAAATTCAGGATAATTTTTGTTTTTCATTTCTTTGCCTTTTTCCATCTTTTTTTATTTATTTAAGTTTTAATAAATTTTTTTCCAAAATTATTTTTTTAAGTTGATTTGATGATTGTATTCTTTTTTGTCTTTTTTTGTTATTTTCGATATTATTTCAATAAAATGTAATACAAAAATATTTCAGTAAAATAGAATAAAAAAAAATTTAATTTGCGAATAGCAACAAAAATTGAAAATAGTGCTTTGAACTAGTTATGATAATATGAAATTGTTTAGTGCTTTAGATATTTATGTATATATATATACTTAAAATTAATAATGAAATAATATTAAATTTAGTCTGTAGTAGTCGCTTAATTACAAAATTATAGTATAGATTTTTTTCAATATTTCAATAACATTTATTTTATAACTTTAGCAAATCATGTTACAAGACAGTATGTATTACATATTATATATTTATAACAATAAATTTCTTACATAAGAAACAGAATGAATTCTCCTGAACCTTAACAAAATATGTATTTCTCAAGGTAATATAAAATTAATATGTAATTTATTTTTAGATTAGGTATGATTTCTTTTTTTTTTTAGTAAAACCATTTTTTAGTAACCAAAATATTAATCATTTCAATAGTAACGTTTATAATATATAAATAAAAAAAAATTAGTGTAAAAATTGCACCCGATAAACTGAATGAAAATATTAATTTATATTAGATCTTTTTCTTAAAAAATTTAAATGAATTGGGAAGATTATATCTTCTCAAATAAATTGCAATTAATATTGGAAAAAGTTAAAATAAAAATTATATTAATTAGTTTTTAAACTTTCATTAAATATTTTTGCATGAAAATTTCAAAGATCTTAAAATTAATTTGTTTTTTTTTTTTTCTATTATATAATATATACATATATATATATTAAAATTTATACACATAGATATAAAAAAAACATGGAAAATGGAGTAGAAAATTATGTATAATTGATGAATATAAAAATTATAAGAATATAAAAAGGTGTTAAATATTAAAATAAAAAATTTTTTTTTTTTTTTAATTTATGTCCAATTGCAACAATAAGTCTAAAAAGGATATTTTTTTGTTTCACAAATGATTTTTTTTTTCTAATAAATAAAAATATAATGTATACAGATTTTTTTTTTTGTGGAAAAAACAACGACAACTTTGAAGGTTTTAATAAATAAAAATGAAATAATTAAGAGAAACGGAACGACACTGATAACTAAATCTTGTTTTTTTGTTATTGTTTTTTTTTTATATTACCTTCGATACAAAGCATTTCTTGCAAACAGAGCATTCAAACGATTTATCACCAGTATGAAGTCTCTTATGAGATTCTAAATTGCCCTTAGAGCTGAAACTTTTGTTGCACATTGGACACGGAAAATACACAAAATTAGCGTCATGACGACGCTGATGGACACGTAAATTTCCCTGCAAAGGAAATTATTTATTGTGTTTTTTTATGTTTTTTCATTTGTTTTTTTGTTATTTATTTATGGGAATTTGAATTTTGTTTTTTTTTCCAAAAATGTTTTTTTTTTTTGGTCTTAACAAATCAATTTATGTATACTTTTTTTGTGTTTTTTTTTTAATTTATTTAAATTTTTTACTTTTTAAATACAACATACTTTGGTTAAGGAGAAATTGTTGAGGAAAAAGAATAATATATATGTATATTGATAATATATATATATATAAATATATATAATATAAACAATTATATTGGTACATCATACAAATTATGTCAAAATACAAAAATGCAATAAATATGAGAAAAATCAAGTATCAAATATTTCAACAACAAATTAAAAAAAAAGGTAGATATTAAGTAAAAATTTTCAAAAATCATATTATTAAAAAAATAAATTATATGAAATAATATTATATAAACAAAGAAACAATAACAAATTCAACAATAACAAAATTACAATTATCATCCCGAATTTTTCTTTTTATATATTTGTTATTCATTATATTAATATTATTTTATAATAAAATTACAATATTGCAAATTAAATATTATGTATATTTAGATAACATATAACATAATATAGCAATTTACTATTGAAAGCATTACAAAAAAAGGTTAATGAATTCTTCAAACTCAATTATACATAAATAATTAAAAAAAATATTATTAAATATATTTTCTTAAAATAATTTTATTTTAATAGAAAAATAGTAAGTTGCCATAATATATATAATGAATATATGGATATATTATGTTAAAACATTATTTGACATTATTTTATAACAAAAAAAACCTTATGTTTCATATTATGTAAATTTAATATTACATATTGTATATTATAAATAAAAAAAAATCAAAATTATATAAAAATCATAAATATTTCTTTTATTATATTTATATATGCATATATATAAATATATATACGTTTATGTATATAAATTATATACACATATATATATGCATAAATTATTATATTATTAGTATATACAAATTGTATAGTACCTTTGCGATAAAGCGCTTTTTACACACTGGACACTCAAATGGTCTAACACCAGTGTGAATTCTTTTATGTAGTTCTAAATTGCCTTTTGAGATGAAATTTTTGTTGCATACATAACAAGAGAAATATGTATAATTAGCAGAATGTTTACGCTGATGGGTCGTCAGGTTACCCTATAAAAAATGTAACAACAATTTGAGACTATCATTACTAACAACCCTTATTTTTTGTTTTTTTTTTTATTTGTTTTCATTTAACTTTGTATATTTTTGTATTTATATTTATTAACACTCTTCTATATATTATTTTATTGTTCTAATACTTTTTGATTTCTATAGTTGAATTTTTTTTTTTTGGACAAAATATGACAAAATAAATAAAGTTTTAATAAATTAAAAAAGATTTCTATATCATTTGAAAAAAATATCATATTTTATATTTGCAGACTTTTTTCTATTAAATTCAACTCATCATTTTCGAGCTAATTATTTATTATTATGGATTTGTGAAAAAAATAAGTAGATTATTATAAAAATTGAAAATAACAAAAATTATTCGTGAAATTAAAATTTCCTCATAAGTAAAATATAAAACCCTTAATGTAGATTAGGATAATAATATAATTATATATATATATATTCTGTGTTTTTCTCTTTTATGTAAAAGAACAAGTGATTTATGTAATTTAAAAAATTATTATTATTATAACATAATTAAAGTAAGTTTAAATATAGACAACTAAAAACTAAATAATGAAAAAAATCTAAAATACAAACAACAACTTAACGCTTTTTTGAACAAGCATTGTTTTCCGAAAATTTGAATAAAAAAAAATAATGTTTAAAGTTTTGCATTATTGATTGCTGTGTTTTTCAAAACATTTTATATGGTAATATTTTTGATTTCATGTTTTTTACTTTTAAATTTTTGTTAACAAAAATCTTAATGAAAAATCTTTAATTAATTAATATTTAAAATAGTAATATAAAAATGTGATCTTAACTTAATGTATTTGTATTATTTTTTTTTTTTAGTACCTTGGAAACAAATCGCTTCTTACACACTGGACATTCATAACGTTTGTCACCAGTGTGAATTCTTTTGTGAAGTTCTAAATTGCCTTTTGAGCTGAAATTTTTGTTGCATATGTAACAAGAGAAATACGTGAAATTATCAGAATGTTTACGTTGATGGGCCATCAGGTTACCCTAAAAAACGTAATTTAATTACTAAACAATTTTTGAACTATTTGAGTTTTTTTTGTTTTGTAATAAAAATAGACAATAATAATTAATTTTCAATATTTAACGCACAATTTTTGAAAATTGTGTAAAAAATATGAAATAATTTTTTTTATTTTTTCTTCATTGAAAGTCTATAAGATATTAGAAATCTTTGAAAAATTCTAAAGTTAAAATTTTAAAAAAAAAAAGCTAAAATCTCGAACTTAACAAAATTATTTTTTTTTTCTCTATTTTAATGCTCAATGAAATTATTAAAGAGTATCTACATTTCTTTAATTAAAAGATTACCTATACACTCTTGTGAAGAGAATTTCTTTTTTCGAATTTCTTTCTTCGAAATTCTATAGTTTACTTTAACTGTTTGGTTTAGTATTAAAATTTTATCTAGCATTTTAAAATTACTTATCTAGACGAAAATATTTTCTATTGTTTCTTTCTTTTTATTGTTCCTTTTCTTTTGCCTAGCTAACTAACTAACTAAGAGAATTGAATATTAACCCATATGTATATGAAATGTAAGTTTTTGGTACTAAGGTCATTAATTAAAAGGTTATAATACACTGCTAAATTCATCATATAAAAAAAAAACTTATTAAATAAATCAATTTAAAATTATACAAAAAAAAAAATCTAAAAGTTGAAAAAAATGGGGAAAAAAATACGCGCGAATTTTTAATTTCTTATTAATAAAAAAAAATTAAATTTGGAAAAAAAACATAGGATATGGAAACGGAAAATAATATTAAATAAGGAACGCGTTGCTATTTTGTATTTTGAAACTGTCGTAAAGCTTCTCTATTTTAGTTTTAATAGATTTTTTCATTAATGTAATAAACTAAATTTCTATATATAACTATTATTTTATCAGATATTAAAATAATAATTAATTTTTTCCTTTTTTCTTTGCTATATCAGTTCAGTAGTTGTAAGATTATTGTGTTGTTGGTTTTTTTTTTGTTATAATACCTTGGAAATAAATCGCTTCTTACACACTGGACATTCGAATGGTTTATCACCAGTGTGTATTCTTTTATGAAGTTCTAAATTGCCTTTTGAGCTGAAATTTTTGTTGCATACATAACAAGTAAACGCAAAAGTTTCAGTATGTCGACGTTGATGGGTCATCAAGTTGCCCTGTATAGAAAACGGAATTTTTTGTTTTGTTTTTTTTTTTTCATATTTTCAACAAAGAACAACAAAAATGTTTTTTTTTTTAAATTTAAATATTTCAAATAAAAATTTACCGTTTTATCAGCAATTTTTATTTTCGAACAGAGAAACAAAATCAAATAGAAAACGGTTTGTAAAACATTTAAAAAACAAAAAAAATATAAAATTAAAAATGTGATTTACGAAAATTTTTTAAAACATATTTTTTAAGTTATAATATTTGTTCGTCATTTATTTATAGTTTATAAATCATATTATGAAAACTTGGCAGATTAAAACAAATTTTTTTTTTTGTATAAATTTCAGCCCAACGCTTTTTCTACTCGGAAACACAAATTGCCGATGAAGCGGTTAATTTCAACTAACACTTAAAATTTACAATAAAAAAAAATTATACAATAATTATATTACGGCACACATTAAATATATTTATATTTCTTTTTAAATAAAATTTCTGCTTTCGAAATAATTATATAACTTATGCAATATTTGAAAAATATTTATTATTTTATTAATAAATAAAAAAAAAAATAAAATCCCTTAAGTACTACAGACGAAAAATTAAAAAAAAAAAACCAAAATGGAAGTTCAAGTTGTCTTTTTTAGAACTTAGCAAATAAAAAATATTCTTGATTTTATTTTATTTGAATTATTTAACCTAATCTTTTCAGTATTAATTTTCTTTTAAAAAACTTTTTTTTTGCGGTAATATTTCGAGAATTAACAAATTTACATACTTCTTCCTATTTAAATTTTTTTTATACCGAGATAGATTTTTTGTATTGAACTAATTGTGGAATTGACTACTATTCTCATAGAGATCATAAGGTATGAAATGAAATGCGTTTAGAGTACTCGTATTAAATACCAATTTCTGTTTGTATGTTAAAAAAAGCGAAATCGTTTTTCAAAAGGCAATGATCATAAATAGTTATTGAAATTAAATTAAAAATCAATTTAAGAAATATATGAAGAGTTTAAACAAATTAATTTTGCTTGAAAATTAGTCATATTACAGACAGAAAAACATTGCTACCAAGTACAGGAATCGGAATTTGAACAACATTTTTTAATATAGAAAAAATGTTTTAGGAAATGTTCACTCACAAATTTCGGACAAATGTGAAATCATTTGTTTATGTATGTATATATTAAATTTTTTTTATTTCACACATTTCATACAAAATGACCTAAATGTATATAATAAAATAGTCGCATAAATTAAAATATTAAAAATATAGTACTAAAATGTTTTAATTTATATAATAAGGAAAAAAAAAAGAAAATTATATAAAACAGAAAAAGAAAAATTTAAAAATAACTAATAAAAATTTCGAACTATGCAAAAAAGAATTATTTTGCAATATAAAAAAACTTTCAAAAAATCGTTGATTTTGTAATAATTTTCAATATTTTTTAACACAGTTTAATTTAAAATTTCAAAAATTAAAATTAATAAAATTTAAAAATCGTAAGTGTATAGTTAATTATGGGAAATTTTACTTCAATGGCTAATTGTAACTTACTATGGTACGAAAAGACATCTTTGAAACTTCACATGTATGTATGTAGTATAAATGAATTACGTAATTTGAAATTCGAAGATGAAAATAATAATTCTTGACATTTATATTCATAAAAATTTAATATTCTTTTCTTTTGTATAGTTTGTCTGTAGTATTTAAGAGTTATTTATAACATTGTGTACATATACATAATATATATATTTTAATGAAATTTTAGTTTCTGATTAAATAAGGAATAATTTTGTTATTTTCATAGTAGCTAATTTGAAAAATTAAATCCTATATAAGTTTTTTTTTTACAATTATTATTTAATTTATAAATCGAATTCTTATTGAAAAAATAGAAGAATCAAATAATAGAAAATTGGAGTTAGAATTTTGATGAAATTTTTTTTTTTTTTTGCAAATGACGATAATTATTTTATAAAATATAAAAAGAAAAATTCAAAAAGGTTTTATTTATTTTTAATACACATATATCAAATACATATAATTGTAAAATCTAAAAAAGAAATTGTAAGCAATTAATTTTGAAAATTAAAAATTTAAAAATCTCAAAACATATAAATTAAAGAAGTGAAAATTTCCCAAAAAAAAAAAATATATATTTTGAAATGTTCTAAAAACCAATTAAGGCTAAAGAAAAAAAAATATCGGCAGGCATTTTGGATAATTCTAATTTTTTTTTTTTGTAAATATTTATATATACATATAAATATGAATATAAAATAATAATAAAATTATGAAATTAAACTTAAAATATTGCAACTTTCCATTCTGTTTTTAAATTTTAAAAATTTTGGAAGTGTAAAAATGAGAAGATTTGGAAATGTCGAAGAAGCTGTTTTCTTTTTCTTTTTTTTAATAATATAATTTTATTTATTTTTAAATCATATAATTTTAAAAAAGATTTATTTTTAATATATTTTTTTAGTTTTAAATTTAATTTTGGTAGAATTTAATTTTAGATTTTTATTATTATTTTATATGGAAATTAATCAAGTAAATTTTATATATATAAATTGTAATTTATGATTTTTTCACATACATGTATATATATATATATATAGATAGTATTTTGATATTATATTGTTTAGTACTAATTTTTTTTGTATATAATACCTTGGAAACAAATCGCTTCTTACACACTGGGCATTCATATCGCCTATCACCAGTGTGAATTCTTTTATGTAGTTCTAAATTGCCTTTTGAGCTCAAATTTTTGTTGCATAGATAACAAGTATAATTTTCAGAATGCTGACGCTGATGGGTCATCAAGTTCCCCTAGAAAAGGAATTTGATTGTTGTTTTGGTTTCTGTTGTTTCTTTTTTATATTTTTTTTTTGTTTTAAATCTTTTTTTTTTTTTACTTTTTGTTTTGATTTCAGATTTTTTTTTAATTTTGTACAACATACATATAATTTATATTAAAAATTACGAAAAATTAATTATAAATAAATATAATAAATAACATAATATTCATTTATATATAGCCAAATTTTTATATTATGTTTGATTTGAAAAAAAAAACATATAGGTACATAAACAATTTGTTAAAAATTGCTTAGGAAAATATAAAAAAATATATATGTATATATATATACTTATATATATATATTTATATGCATAATAATATTAATATTTTAGAATATCAAAAGAATGCACATATTCCATATTAAATATACCAAAAAAATTATTTGTAAAAAAAAAATTTCCACTATTCGAATAGTTTTTTTTTATTTTGTGCACCATTTTTTGATTCACGCGCACACATTCGTTAAAATTAAATGCCAAATTTAAGGGTTTTTCGTTTTAGTAAATTTTTTATTAAATTAAATTTAGGCAAATGATTATTAAAGTTTTATTCTTTTTTCTTTCTTTTAAAAATGTTTTCTTTTATAATACTTGAATACACACCTACTTATTACTTAATTAATTCGCAATTTTGTTTTTGTTTTTTCTTATACTTTTTCTACCTTTACGCAGTGAAAATCTACGATGACATTACTTTCATTACATAATTTAAACGATAGAATAAATAGATTTTAAAGGAGATTTTAAGGATTACTTCGAATATTATATTCGAAAAAAAATATAGAAAAATTGTTAATTTTATTTTTCATACTCAATATTTCTATATTTTAATTACTAAAATATATTAAAATTATTTGTTAATGATACCGTTATTATATTGAAAAATGCAAATATTGTATTCAATTTAAAGAAAAATCTATTTAGACTTAATTACCTAATAGTTAGTTTTCTCTATGCAATAAAAAAAATTATTACTTAAAATTAATTAATCACTTTAAGAAGTATGTAAATGCATTTAATAAATTTAAAATATTATTAAAATTTTAATCTAATATTTTAATTAGAGATTTGGGTATAAAATTTAATTATACATTAAAAAAAAAAAAAAATTTTATTATAATTACTGTTTAATCAAAATCTACGTATCTAATTGAACTTGGTTATGTTTACCATTGACTATAGAAGTCATTTCGATAAAACTTTTTTTCGAAACATTTTTTTTTTTCTTAATTTGTACAAGTAATCTAGTAATAATAATAGCAGTACAATTTTGTTTTTAAAGTCAGTACGAAATTATTTCATATATGTATGTATATGTATAATTAAAAATGTCTGAAAACTTCAAATTATATATATATATATATATATTATAAGGTTGACTTTTTTTGTATATCAAAACAAATCGAAAAAGTAATTGAGTATTTTAAGTACCAAATTTACATATAAAAATAAAAATATGTGAGACATATAGATTTTAGAGACATAGATAAAACCTCAAAAAAAAAAAAATCCGGCAAAACCTGTAAGCGCTAGTTACTAACTTCATGACAAAAAAAAAGACCAATAATATTTATATTTACTTCTAACCAAACTTTCTAAAAATAAAGAATCCCTTTGAAAAATATTATTTATTTGTAAAAACAAAAAAAAAAACTAAACTTTTTTTACTACTTTTACAAGTTTGCCTCAGTTTTAATAACCAGTTAAGTTCGTTTCTTATTTTAAGATTACAAAAAAACTAATAATAATAATGACAATATAGAAAAAAAAACATGTATTAAACTTTTGATCATTTTTTATATTCAAATATTGTACTATACTAAATAATACAATATTAAGTGTTTCAATAAAAACAAAATTGTTAAGAAGCAGTTTTAATTTTTTGTTTTTTTTTTTTTTTTTTACTTATTTATATACCTTTGAAAAGAATCGTTTCTTACACACTGGACATTCATATCTTCTGTCCCCAGTGTGAATTCTTTTATGTAGTTCTAAATTTCCTTTTGAGCTGAAATTTTTGTTGCATACGTAACAAGTAAAATATTGAAAATTGTCAGAATGTTTACGCTGATGCGCCACCAAATTACCCTAAAAATGGAATTTCATGTTTTTGTTTTTGTATGTTTTAATTATTTTTATCTTTTATTCAATTTTTTTTTAATTTTTTACTTTTTTTTTTAATTTTGACTTGACTTTTAAAATATATATATAGATTGAAAATGTTCGTAATATGTTATACAAGTAATATTGATAAAAAAAAAAAAATAAAGATATTAAAAATTTATATAAAATTTTACAAATGTATAAAATTATTTACTTAATCATCAATATTTTTCAGGTAGTCCTTATAATATATTTAATTAAATTAAATCATACAAGAAAAAAATATAAAAATAAATTAATACTAACAATAAATTTCTTTCAACTTTTTTGTTTTGTAAATTAGATTTCGTTTTTCAACTTTTGTGTATGCAACTTACAATATTATTATTGTTATTTTAAAAAAAAATAATAATAAGATTTTTTATTAACGCAATTTTTTAATTTTTTTTAATATATTCAAGCATTCTTAAACTCTTCAAGATTAGTTTGAAAACATCATGGAAACGTAAATGTATTTATTGTATCTAATTAATCTGGCATTTTGTTATACATTTTACATGTATAACAAAAATCTGAAATATCTATTTTCAAATAATTGAAATTCATCAAAGGGTACATAAATACGAGTATAAAATAAATGCAGTAAAGTTTGATACCTGTATTATTGTGTTATACAAAAACGTTAAATTCACCTTGTGTAAAAATTTCAATGTAAAAACCACATTATTGCACTATTGAGATAAGAAACAATTAAAATTATGATTTTTTTTTTGTATAATACAGTAATTATGTACTCAGTTTGAATTGAAATACTTATATATGATGTAAGAATATTATATTAAATTAGTTTAAAAGATAAAAATATATGCTATATATTTGAACGGGTACTGGATTTTTATATCCAATATAAAAAAATTAAAAAGTAAATAAAATGGTGCTAAAAAGCATTTTTCTCTTCATGAATATCCCTATATAATTCTGTGCTATTCTCTTTTTGTTTTGTATTCTTATATCATTTAAAATTATGTAAAATTAGTAATACCTTCAGTTATTATTATATATCCAAATTTTTGCAAATTATTTGCAATTCCATTTGATAAAAAACACGAAAGTTGAAAGAATGAAAAAAATAAAATATCAAATAAGTAAAAACAAAATATTGATAATTCAGAAAATATTTTTATACGTTCTTTTTCTTTTATTTTGCAAAAAGTGTATGTCAAAAGCAATTCTGTTAATTTTAATTCATCACCAATGTATTAATGTTAATTTTCTTTTTTAATAAAAATTTAAGAAAACAAAAAGTTATTCTTGTGATTTTACATTTAAATTTTTGTTACATAAAATATTTTTAAATCTGTTCGAAATGAAACTGTTCAAAAAATTTTCGATCTTAAATAAATATCTTCTTTTGAAAAATATGTATATTGTGGGTAATGTTTGCTAAATTAAAAATTTAAAGAATTTAAAATAACAAGAAAGAGTTTCAATTTTTCAAAAAAAAATCTCCTCTTTACATTAAAAATGTCAGCTTGTTTAATTAAAACCATCTTACTTGAAGACTTTATTGGAGTTCCCGCTAACGTTGCTTTAAGTTTAACAAACGGATTCAATTATTAATATTAATAATAATCTTTTTTCAAGTTTTAAATGTAAAAATTGAAAATTTTTTATCAGTTTTTTATTTTATTTTAATTAATATGTGATGAATTCTATAAATTTAAATTTTTTGCTACTGCCTGTAAACAACAAAAAAAAAAAAAAAAAAAAAAAAAAACTTTTTTTTTTTTAAATTAAAGAAAATAATCTCGTTACTTATCCCTTAATTAATTATTTTTTATAGAAGAAAAAGAAAATTTGGATTTTCTTATTTCTTTGGAAAGAATTGAACTTAAAAATGGTTTAAAATTTGAAAAATTTCTTATAACGTATATAGTTATTAACAATGAAGTTAAGAAATAAGGAGAAAATGACAAAAATTATTTTATGTTTGTATTAATGAGTTCTAAAATCATGTAATATCCACTTAAATGCAACTAAATGAACTGAATTTGGTAAATGTTTATTTCTAAACTGAATTGCTTTTAATTAAATGATTTATTTTGGAAATGACCTAAGTCCATTTGTAATTTCAAAATTCTTTTATTTCCAAAATAATGATAATGTCAATAATATAATAAAATAATTTATAAACCAAATAACTATAGTTAGCCGAATTGTTGATTTCCTTAAATGGAAACAAAATAATACTACACTTTTAATTAAAATGAGCTTAGGTCATTTTCAAAATAAACCACCCAATTACGATATTATGTACTTGCATTTTAAAACTCATTACATAAAAATATATGAAATAAAAGATATTAAAAAAAATGAAAAAAAAATAATAAAAATAAAGTGAATAAAATTTTTTTTAATTTTGTATTAATGAAAATAATCAAGCGAAAGTCATTCTTTGAATAAAAACATTTAAAAAAAAATATTTTTTTTTTATCTTTTTTCATTTTTTATATAAAAATATTAATTTTGAATTGAAATATAAAACATAATTAAAAAAAAAAATATACTAATTAAAAGTATGTTAAAAATTATGTTATGTTTTTTTTCTTTGTTTTGTTTTTTTTTTGCTATAATACCTTAGAAATAAATCGCTTTTTACACACTGAACATTCAAATGGTTTATTGCCAGTGTGAATTCTTTTGTGAAGTTCTAAATTTCCTTTTGAGCTGAAATTTTTGTTGCATATATAACAAGTAAAATATTGAAAATTTTCAGAATGACGACGCTGATGGGTTACCAAGTTTCCCTAGAATATAATTATAATAACAGAAAAATTGGATTGCACTTATTTAATCATTTAACGTTCTTTTTTTCTTTTTTTCAAATTACTTTTACCGGTGTAAAGATACAAAAAAAAAATTAAGTTTTAAGTTTTTATCAATTTACTAAATAAAATATTTTATGCGAATTCAATTTATTTATTGAATTATTCCACTTTATTTTTATTTTAAATTTTTTTTTTCTTATTAAAAAAATTATAAAGATTTTCAATCAAAAAGTTTGTAATAATTTAAACAAGATTTTCCATAATTAATTAATAATAAAATTTTTTTTTTAAAATCAATAGAATTAACTATAGGTTTTTAATTTGTTTTAAATAATTAATTGGATTAATTTATAACGACACAAAAAAATACGAATTGCTACTTTCAACCCATGTTAAATTTTATTTATAATTGGTTTCAAATTTTTGAATGTATATTGATATTAAAGATATTTTTTCAAATTTTATTAAATATTGCATTTTATTTTGTTATTAAAAAATTTAAATTATTTAAATAAATAAAAAAAAAAAATAAAATAAAAAATATTTTTACATAACTAGAATTATCATTACTAGTAAATATGTTTATTCTATACAAATATTTATTGTAAGTTCATTTTATACATATATAATAACGTATTTATCGCATTATATCAAAAAATTCAAAGTTTAAAATAAAAACAAGTGAAAAATTCGTGCGAAATCATTGAACTATTTTCATCAGTTCTAAATTTTACTACAAAAAATTAATATTTTAATTCTCATGCGTCGTTTTATTAGTTTTCATTTATGTATGTTGTATACGTCTAGAATATTTTTTTTTGTAATGGCACTATTGTATTATGTTTAAATAACTAAATTTGTAATTTATAGTTTAAGAAAATTAGATTTGTAACATTTATTTAGTTTAAAAAAACGAGAAACCATTTTCACACATAAGAGCAATAATTTTTTTTTTTAAAGTAGACTTAGTTAATTCTTTCCAAGGAGCTAAGAATTGCGATTTAATCTTGTTTTTACTGTTCTAGTTCATTGTATATGTTTTCAATTACATTATTATTATTATAGTATATTTTTATATTATATATAAAAATTTTGATAATATTGATTTATATGATATATTTATAATTGCAGAAATCAAGCATTAAATGCAGTTACAGCAAAAATTAAATATTACGAACATTCTACATACGTTATAATATTTATCATAATAAGAACAAAATTTATTTATTAATTTTATTAAGAAATTTGAAGATCTCTTTATAATTAATTGAAATTTTTTACGTATAAAAAATTTAATTTTCAATTTGTTTCTCTTATAAAAATTAAATTAAAACACATTTTTAACACATCCTCTCACTTATCAATAATATTTTGAAAATGAATTTAGGATTTCAAGAATATTGGTTTAATAAAATATTTAAAATAATTTTAATACATAACCGTATTAAAAATAATAAAATACATAATGGTATTCTTGCATATATATATACGTAAATAGTGAAATTATTTTTTTCAAAGCTCAATAAATATTGCAAAATATTACAAGTTCCCATCCGCATAATAAAATTTTGAAAAGATTTTTTTTCATATTTAAGTAATTATATATATGTACATTAATATATATATATTAATATATATTTTAATAACATTTAATTCTTAGAATTTCATATTTAATATTTTATTACTAACATATTACCAAAAACAAAAAAAAAGAAACTAAAATAAAAAAAAATTCTAAATTTCTTTGAAAAATTTAGAGAAATATGATTTAAAGAAAAAAAGTGTTTGTTTTCAATGTATCGCAAATTTTCTCTGCAAAAAATTCCATGACATATTAAATCATTATTTATTATATTATATACTTATTTATAACAGCATGGTTATTTAATAGAATTAAAATTAACTTTATTTTGTATCTTTGTTTTCATATTATTTAGTATATAAGGCATATATAATAGAGAAAATTGCAAGTAAGAAAATAAAATTTAATATGATTATTGTAAAACTTTATTTTCTTACTTAAAATTAATTTTCCCATGCTTAAAAGTTTATTATATAAACTTAAATATTTGTTATATGTAATAATTTAATTTATATTATTATATTACATTTATATATAAGTATGTATATATATATATATACATAATAATATGTTAAAAATTATTTATAACGTTAAGATAACAATAATTTTGAAAGTCCAGGAAGAAAATAAAATATTTTAAAGTTATTTTATACATGTAATATATATATTCAAAACAATAAGATATTGAAATATAATGTGTATATAATAATGTGTATATAATCGAATTGTTATATTTTATATAAATTATTAGACTCTTATAAACAACATAGCACATCTTAGAATTTGTTTTTAATACTATATTCAAATTCAAAAAATAATTAAATTAAGGAGATAAGTATCGATTTTTTAATATTACAACACAATAATGAGATGAACATTAAAAACAAAAATTATTTCTCAACCTATTCTCTTAAAAACTATTATACAAAGCAAAATAAATGACTTTTTTATATATATTTTTGGCTAACAAAATAACCCTTAAATTTGATATTATTATTTGTAAAATTAAAAATATTTTATATTTAATTTTAAAATTTTTATAATGTTGTTGTTCATAATTTTTCCTTTTGCTCATTTATTTTTTATTCTTTGACATTATTAAAACTTTTTTTTATTTTTTTTTTAATCTGTATTTAAAACAAAAACAAACTATTTTAAATTTTGTTAGAAAACTATGAAAGTTAATCAAAAACTAATCAAATTCACATAAAATAATTAAAATTAAAAAGAAAAAAATTTAAATTTAAAGAACTCATATTTTTTTTATATGTATTACAATATAAAAAAAATTCCTCTGCAATATATTGGAAATATTAAAATAAATTAGAAGAACAGAGAAGAGGAAGATTTTGAAAACCATTAAAAAAACTATGATAATGACAAAGGATTAAATAATTATAATCTCAGTATTTTATAAAATTCTTTCTACTTTTTAAAATTATTAAATATAATTTTAATTTAAAATATGCTTTTTAACATTTTTTTATTTCGTTTTCAATTAATTATTTTCAATTTAAACATTCTGTATATACAACAAAATTGATTTAAGAGATAATTTTGTTATTATCTGTATATTATGTCTGTGTATAGTACTAGAAAATTTCGTTTTTATTATTACAAACATTTTGATCTAATTTACTATTTTAGAAATTTTCACAATTAAAAAAAACTAATTAAAATACCAAAAAAAAAAAAGTCAAATGAGGAAAGGTTTCGTATTATTATTTTTTTTTTAATTTTATTGTTCTTTGTTTTAAAAATTTTTTAGAGTAAAATACAAAAATTTAATTTTTTTTTGCTATTTTGAGTTACTCTTATTTTCCACTAGGCGGCTCTCTCTCACCTCAAATATTTATATATTTTATTTAATAAAAAATGATATTATTTTTTTTGTAAATTTAAGATAAAAGTGTTTTTTTTTTTTTAAATAAACAATTTAAAAAAAATTAAAAGAAAATGTTTTTTTTTTACTTCAATTTTTTCTTGAAAATTTAAGGAAGGAATAACTGAAAGAAAGAAAGAAAAAAAAATTGAAACAAAACAAAAAGAAAATACCTTGGAAATAAACCTTTTCTGGCAAACTGAACATTCAAATGGCTTATCACCAGTATGTATTCTTTTATGTGATTCTAAATTACCCTTTGAGGCGAAGTTTTTGTTGCATATGAAACATGGGAAATATAATGTTTCAGAATGGCGACGTCGATGGGCAACCAAATTTCCCTAGAACATAATATTAAAGAACTTGCTATATTATATTTTATTATTATGTAATTTGGTTTTTGTTTTGTTTTGTTGATATTAGTGTATTTTTAAATAAGATAAATATTATAAAAAGTTATTTTTTTTTATAAAAAAAAATTTTTTTTTTTTTGATGTCCAGGAAATTAAATAAAAAAAATTTAATTTTTTTAATCTTTTTAAGTTTTTTTTAAATATTTCATTAATATTTTCTTTTTTAATTTATTTGAAATCATCAGCAAGTTTGAAAGAAAAAAATTTTTATTATCTTTGTTTTTTTTTTATTAATTTACAGATTTTGTTATTCAAAAATGAAAAACATTTTTTTTTTTTCTGTTTTTAATTTAGAAATTTGGAAAATCCCAATTGCGCCATTCAAAATAATTTCGAAACAATGTTTTTTTTGTTTTTGATGTTTTCAAATTAGTTAAAAAATATTTTGGAACCTTGAGAAAAAGAATTTTTTGTTTTGAAGTTGTGTAATTGAGGAGGAAAATGGTTGATTTTTATTGAATTTGTTCTTCTTGTATAAATTTTTCTTTTAATTTTAAAGACTTTTTCAATTGTTTTTCGTTTTGTGATTTAAAATAATTATACTTTTAAAATTATGTTCTAGAAAAAGGCCCTATTTTTTATTTATTAATTATTATATATAAAAATAAAATCAAAAGTTGTATATTTTTTAAAAATTATTATTTATATGTGAAAATGTTTTGTAAATTTTAAAACGAAATTTCCCTATATAACAATAATAATAATAGTTAATAATTAGGTTAAATTCAGTTTTCTTTTCGTGTTTAGTTCAGATTTATATTCCAAGCATAAAAAAAATATTATCTATTTTTATTATTTTTTAATTTTATTTTGATTAACTTTCAAGTATACTTTTACAATTAAATTTATTAAAAAAATCAAGCTCTTACGACAGTTTTTTTTTTTACAAAATGTAATATTTTTTAACAATTTCTAAAAAAAAACCTAATTTTTCAATTAAACACACTACAATAATATAAATTATATTAAAACTTAAATATATATTAATTAATAATAAAACTAAAACAAAAACAATTAAGAAAATATTTATATATATGTATATATATATATATATATATATATAAAGAGAATAATTGACATTAATGACGATGAAATTAAACAAAAAATATGAAAAAATTTGATTTGAAATAAAGAGATTTCACACTACTTATTACACAATTGATTTAAAATGTCCATTTTGTTAAGAATCCAAAATGATAACGTTGCCATTTTAATATTTTCAAAAAAATAAAAAAAATCTCTACAAAACTAAAAATGAAATAAATAATACTACATACTTCTGGTTTTATTACTTTAATTATTAACAAAATTAATAATTTAAAATTAAATAACTGTAATGAATTTCCGAACCTATTTAAATAGTGTGAGACCTTTATATTACACAAAATTATTGAAAAAAAAAATTAAAGAAAAAACACGTAAAGTTCAACAAAGCCAAAAAAAAAATTCAGAACGAAATTAAAAATTTTGTTTTGTTTTTCAACTAGTTTAAAATTCTGTTTAAAATTCTTATGTGTTTATAGTTAATTACGTATAAAAATATCAAATCAAATTAAAAAAATAATTTTTGTTTTTTTTTTTTTTTGATAATCAATAGTTTATTATATTGCAAATTTTTAATAGGAAATTTGTATACGTTAAAACAAAATGTGTATAAAAAAATACTATATTAAATTAAAATAATTTTTTTTTATTTGCATATTACGTAATCATCCATTTTAATAAAAAAAAAACTGTTTAAATAATAATAATTATAATACTAAGTAATACAACTTTTATTACTGTTCAAGTTAAAAAAAAAAATATAATAAATAAATTAACCCAAAGTATAGTTTCGAAAACAAAAAAAAAATCTTTCCTAATTAGCCGAATTGATGGTGCCCATTGTGATATATTATATTCTACAACTTAACAGGCGAGACAGACGGATCATAATAAGCATTACCCGTAGGTAGAAATCTTTTAGTTAAAAATTAAAACATTATTTTCAAATTTAAATTCATTAATTACATTTAAAACTCAAAAATACTTAATAATCATTATATTATAAACTAATTTCATTTATTTTCTTTCAATTCATTTTAATAAATGAAAAAAAGAATATTAATGTGACCCTATTTTATTCATATATATTTCGATGTTATATTTATTCTACTGAATTTATTTTATTCAACTATTTATTTTAACTAATTATTTAATGTTTTATATTTTTACTCTTTTATATATAGTCAATTAAAACTGCATAAAATGTACAAAAATTAAATTTATAATGAAATAAATAGAAATATTGAAAAATAAATGTTCGTATTATGCTTGATCTTCAGTACTAGCATATTAAAATTTTTAACATAGTATATTTTTGTTATTCATAATTATATTTTTACTGTTCAATATAAAATATTAATATACTAATGACAAAATTCAATGTATACTATCCATGATCTTTCATATTTTCATGCCAAAATATTGTATAAAATATTTTTTTACCTATTTCTAAAAAAAAAGGGAGGGAATTTAAAAGGAAATTTGTAAAATATAATACAAATTAAAAATTAATAATTTTATATACATTTGCATTAAACCCTTTTTTAAAAGATTGATAACTTACGTTCAAAAAAAAGAGATTAATTTACTAAATAATTAAATTTTATACAATTCGATGCATTAAAAATATGTATATAAAAAGATATTAATTAAAGAAAAAATTATTTATTCTTTCTTTGTATCAAGAATTTTTTATTTACATAGTATAATTTGTGATATTATAAATTACATTTATATATATACATATTTTTATACAAAATTTTTAAATCTTTACACCAATTATTATAAAAACTTTAAGAATATATTCACAATGGACCCCAATAATTAAAACAAAAATTATTTATAATATGTAATCACCATAAATAATATAAATTAATTTTAAAATACAATTAAAAAATACCAAAAAGTTTAAACAATAAAAATCACAAATTTTCTACATTCAACAGATTTTCTTTTTGTTCCTTTTTTTTGTTTTCTTTTCTTTTCTACTTACTACATTTTAGAAACAAAATAAAAAAAAATTATCTAAATTAAATAAAAAAACTTTAAAATTTCTACAATTCTCATTTCTTAATTTTATTTCAAACTCATTTGCCTTCTACCCCACAAATTCCTTTTCTCAAGGATTTTCAATTAATTTTAATATTTTTTTTAATGTAAAAAAAATTAATAAATAATTATAGATGTTTATAAATGAATTTTACTTTTTGGCTGTCAATGTGGAAAATAAAATGTTTTTTTTTTTTTTTTGTATTTTAATTTTCTTGCAGGTATTTATATTTTATATTTTATTTATATAAATAATATATTTTTTTTGAAGTAAAAATAAGAAATAAAATAGTAATGAAAATTTTTTTTTGGAAAGGATTAAAAAAAAACAATAGATACAAATAATTAAAAAATAAAAGGTAGGAAAATTATATAAAAAAAAAAATAAACAATAACTCACCTTAGATATAAAACATTTTTTGCATACATTGCATTCAAATGGTTTATCACCAGTGTGAATTCTTTTATGGGATTCTAAATTTCCTTTTGAGCTCAATTGTTTGTTGCACAAAGGACAAGGATAATATTTCATTTCTTCAGTATGGCGACGTTGGTGGGTTTGTAAATTACCCTGTAATTAAAATTTATTTTAATACAAAAAATATTTTTAAATTCAATCTTTTTCTTTCATTCTTCATTCTTCAAATCCCTTGGGTAATTTTCTTGGTTTTGTTTTTTTTTTCTTATTTTATCTTTTGTATATTGGTTTTTCTCATTTTCATTCTAAAATTTTTTGATTTTTGAGTTTGGAAAAGTGCGTTGTTCCCATTCTTTTTAAATTTTATTTTATTTTCCTTTAAATATGTGCATAAGTATTTTTTTATGTTAGCTGCACTTAGTAAGTTTATTTAAATATATGTATGACTTATATTTTATATTTATACTAAATTTAAATTTTCCAAAACGTTAATGTTGAAACAACAAATTATAAAATACAAAAATATTAAAATACTTACATATTTTCAAAATTTTTGCTTAAAGGAATAAGATTCCAAAATATCAATCCCAAATCAAGTTTAAAAATCATACGCATAAAAGATTTTTATGAATTATTTAATTTAAACTTACATAGCTACATTTAGCGAAAATTTTTTTTCGTCGAAAAATTTGGGATTTTGTAAAAGAACATTTAATGTAAAACGAATTTACAAAAATAAATAAGAAGGCACATCATTAAGTTTATAAGCAAATGAACATTAAATAAAAAATAACTGAAGTTATTAATTTCAATTTACAACATAATTGAAATGTTTCATTTTTAACATGAAATATTAAAAAGGGTGGTGGAAAGGATTGGTTTCTCCAAGATTATAAACAAATGTCCTTGGATCAGTTGTACGTAGCAATAAAGATTAGTAATAAAAATGTGAATTCGCTACGACATTCATTCAACATCAATTTATTCAATTTTCTTAAAACCTATTTTCTATAAAAAAAAAATTAATTTAAATTAAAATGTTTTTTTTTTTATTGTTTGAGTATAAATGAGTGTTAGTTTCCTGGTCAAGTTCGTGTCTTTTTTAAATTTTTGAATTGGGTATATCTAAAGTTTTGCTTTTTTTGTATTTTTGTTTTTTCTTTTATTTAAAATTAATTTTTAAATTCAAAAAAAAAAATTGGAGCCCTGTGAAATCCTATTTCGATCTTCAAAAGTATATTGACTTAAATTGTTTTTGTTTCACTTAAAATTATTAAAATTATATAAAATGAACCGTCAAAATGACCACGGGTACGTAACGAAAACGTAACAGTTAAATATAAACTATAAAATTTATTCAACTATAAACGCTAATGAACGCTAACACATTCATAATCAGATTGCATTTGCATTCAACATGCAAATAAAAAGGATGTATAAATAAATGTACATAATTTTGAGACAGATTAACTTGTAATGGATTATATGAAAATTAATATTGCGGTCACTACTGTAATCGTCAATTATGTACTTACATAGAAAGTTGACAAACTAGAGAGAAAATTATTTACATAATACTACTTAAGTTATATTTTTTTACCCAATTTCATTTTCAGATATACATAGATATAATAACATATAAAATAAATAACACAACCTTTAACTTAAATTAAATCTAAATTTTCAAAAGTTATTGTAAATCTTTAATAAAAATTTACTTTCAAAAATTCATTTGTAGATAATCGAATGCAATAAAATTCCCAAAAAATATTACGATATGCAACAAATCTTTTTGGAACAATTCCATTTTCTATCCTTTTTTCTAGACTTCATTTAAATTTCTTTAAATATTATTGAATAATTATCTTTATTTAAAACTGTCCTTTTTTAAAATTTTTATTTAAAATTGAAAAATTTTTGTTTAAAATTTGTATTTTTATAAATACATTGTATGAAATTAACCGAATACATATTTGGTTTTTTCATGATACATTACCTCGATTAAATCCAACACACATTCAAATATTTAAAAAAAATTATAAAACTTAAATTTTCAAATTAAGTAAATTGTATAAAAAGAAAATTTTCAAGCCAAAAGAAAGAATTGTTGCAAATTTTAAATAACTTGTATTGGAAAATTTGATAAAAATTTATAACAAAAAAAAATCACTTAAAAATTGTTTTTACAAAAATATCAAAATCATATCAAATTTCAAATAAACGATACAGGGACGACATACAAACAAATAAAAAATAGTAGAGATGATCAAAACCATAAATATTAAAAAAAAAATAAGAAATAAATGCCTAATCACAATTTACAATTTGTTGTATAAAATACGCTATAAAAATTTTTTATTTTCCTAAAATTATATTTTTGAAAAATCTATAATTTTATACTTATTCCGATTTGTGTCCTTAATATTTCATTGTTTTATGTTAAATCATTTCCAAAATCGGTTAACTAATTACGAGGACATTCAATATTAAAATAAAAGAAAAAAAAAATAAAAAAATAAAAAACAAAAAAAAAAAAAAAGCCGGTAACAAAATCTTTTTTAAAGAAAGTAGTAGTAAACAAGTTAAGCTTGAAATGGTTATTACTTCTTAGAGTTTCTTTCTTTCTTTTGTTCTTTTTTTTTTTTAAATTCAATTTTCGTTTGCGCATTATCATGATTTGTGAACATCGAAGTAAAATTCATCTGTTCTATTAAAAATTTTTCGATCAAAATTCACTTGCATAGTTACAATATTATTAACATGTATATATATATATATAATTATATACATTAATATATTTGTTTATTAGATATAGAAATTTATCGCTATTAATTTAGCTCGTACCCACCATTATAGTAAGTATATGTAAGAGAAAAACATTTTTTTGTACATTTTTTACGTTTCTCTCCTTTGTAACACCCTCTACTGTTCAAAGGATGTTTTTTGGAGTTTTGTTGTAATTATATATTTTTTTACAATATATTATATTACTATACACATTAGTGTATAATATATATATTTTTATTGTAAAAAAAAGTTTTACATATATAAATGTATATATGTATAAAAAAATTCTTTTAAAAAAAGTATACGTAAAATATAATTTGCTAGGTGTTAATATATAATTTGATTGAATTTTGTTTTTTTTATTATGTATTTTGTTTTTATATACATAAATTTTTTATTTTATTTTTTTATTTTTTTTATTATTATTTGTTATTGTAAACAAAAATAAAGAAGATAAAAAAATTTATTTTTTTTTGATAAAATATAATTTACCTTGGAAGAAAATAGTTTGTAACAAGTCATGCATTGATATGGTTTTACTTGTTGTTGCTGTTGAGGCTGTTGTGGCGGTTGCAATTGTGGCTGTGGCTGAAGTTGCTGAGGAATTTGCTGTGGGATTTGTTGAGGAATCTGCTGTTGCTGCTGAGGATGCTGTTGTTGAGGATGTGTTAATAGATGTTGTGTAAGTTGCTGTTGAGTTGGTTTAATATCCGCAGATTTTCTTCTACCATAATGGTTAGATAAATAATGTTTTGTATATATTTCTACAGTTTCGAAGCAACCACCGCATTCAATGCAATTGAAAAAATATACATTTCCAGGACGTAAGACCACATCTCCTGTATGTGGTTCCCTTTTTGCATGCTTTGTCTGCTCAGCCTTACCATCTTTATTAAAATAATGTATTAAAAAAAAAGTCAAAAATAAAAAAAAAAAAGAAAAATTTAACAAAAAAAAATTTTTTTTTTTAATATAAAAAGAAAGAAAATTGCATTTTTATTACATTGTGTAAAAAAAAAATGAAAGAAAGCTACATGTATATATGTATGTATGTATAATAACATATATATCTATATATATGTACATATCCATATCCTTTTATTGAATGTTATACTCTGCACAAAGTACCACATAAAGGTACCTACCAAAAAAATTCTTTATATCCCAAAGACTAGTGTACATTATATGAGTATTTCTATACTCGATTATTACTATACGCTATATTTATATACAAGTTTGGAAATATACGCATATGTATAGAAGCATCATTTTTTTTTTCATTTTTTTCATTTTCATAAAATTGTAATTTTTCTTAAATATAATTAAAAAAAACTTACCTGGAACTTTAAAATTATTTGTTGCAATATGTATTATATTGAAATGATGATGAAAAATTTCGAATTTTTCAAAAATATTTCCATTGCAAAAAGAACAATCGAAAAAAAATTGTGTCTGCCTTCTCTTTATCTGGGCGCATACAGCCTGAAAACTTTGAAATTGTAGCGATTGTAAAGGGATTATTTTCCCGTTCACATCTATATGAGTAACAAATTCACGTTTTAATTCAAATTGGTGTCCCATTTTTTCATAATATATATTTAAAAAATTTAATTAAAAATCATAAACACAACAAAATATATTTCACTTTTCTGCACTGACAAATTCGTAATAAGAAAAGATGCATCAAAAATTTTCAACAGGGTTGGGTTTTGTACAGAAAAATGCGAGTAAAAAAAAGTACAACAAGCATAAAAAAAACTTAATCATTTCGAGACTCTTTTAATGGCGCCATTTTGTTAGTGACAAATATAAGAAATAAAAGTTAAGATGATGACACATAAGCGTCATGAGTCAAATATATGTAAAAAAGCAAGTCATTTATTATAAAACTTTTATTAATTTACGTAATATATACCTTTATCTTTTATAATAATTCTATTTTGAATTGCTTTCTTCAAAATTAAATTTTATAGAGTTAAATCCAACTATTTTATTTTAGTTACAAACATTTTTAAACAATAATATAATGATTAAACATTAAGATGTGCCATTAAACTCAAATGAGTCAGAAAAATTTGGTGGGTTACATTGGCATAACAACAATACATAATATTGGTTAGAACAAAATTTATTTAAGTAAAACGAGTTTTTATGGTATTTAAAAATAAAAGTTTTTATAATATTAGAAAAAAATTTGCGTACATATATAAACTTTTCGAAATAAATGAAAACAAACATCTTTTAAAATAGTATAAAAATTTCAATTCTATGTACTTAGAATACTAAGTGTATAGTACTAAGTATGTAGTACGTACTAAGTATAAACTAAGACATGCAATGTTTTATTCGATAAACAATTCGAAAAAGCCTCAACAAAACTGCATATAAACAAATTAATTAAAATAAAAGCGACATAAATGAGCAATATTTTCACATTAATCAACCTTGTTTCCTAACATTTTGAAAATAATTGAGACATAATTTCATCAGTTCTAACTCTGAATACATAATATACCATCAAGATACATTAGAGCTTCAAGATTATGTTAAAACCTCAATAAATGGAGTCATCCTCATTAGTGCCATTTTTTATAAAAGTAGTAAAACATTAAAAAATATGTTACCAAACTTGACAATTTAATTTTGACTCATCGATTCTCGAAGCTATGGTTATGTTGGTAGCAAAATGTTGGCTCTACTGATATATGTATCATTTTTAATAGATGACATTTTGTTTGTAAACAATTTAATAACTGTTAAAAAATGTTTTTTTTTTAATATTTAAAATAGAAAAAGGTTTTCTTTATATTCCGTCTGCATGAAATAATTTAGTTTTTTATGTGAAATGTATAAAAATGTCTCAAAAAGACCGAGATTTGTTACTAGGCCATACAAAACAAAGTGTTGCATTGCGAAAACAAAATAACAAGAAAGAAAATTCAAAAATTGAGAGTGAATGTGGATTGATTTACAAAAAGAGGGATGGTAGTTTTTCTTTTTTATGCACTTACAGAAAATCAGAAAATTCAATAGCAACAAAAAAAAACTTTACAGAATCCGAAATGCTATTTTGTGGTTATATATCTTCAGAGAAACACTTTTACTCTTTTGTTTGTAAAATATGTTTTAAAGTTTTTGAGGATTTTTCAATGTTTTCACATCATTTCAATGAACATACAAGTGTTTTTGGGGGAAATTTTGTAGGCAAATTTTCAGATATTGCATTGAATAATGAAGGTAAAATCTAGTAATAAATTATAATTTTATATTTTCAGAAATTTTGTTTTTCTTCAAAGCTACAACTAATGGCACATCTTATAACGATTGCAATGATGATACAACAGCAAGAGATCAAGTTTCAGTAATAAAAATTTTTAAAGAACATAATGCAAACGCTGAAATATTTCCCAATTTCGAAACTTGTGGCGACTTGCTCAATAGTCCCAAATGTAGCGACCTGCTTAATGAATATGAGAAGCATCAGGAAAATCATGTAAAAAATGTTTTTGATTGTGATGTATGTAAGAAACAGTCTAAAAATGAAGCAAATTTATTGAGGCATAAATTACTTAAACCTTCGAATAATAAGTCTTTTCAATGTCAAATTTGTGAGAAAGTATTCAAAAAATCTTCAGATTTTACAAGGTTTTACAATATCTATTAATATTAGAAATTTTTTTTTCTTATAATTCGCATTCATTTGAAAATAGATGCCTACTTTTTTTTAAGGCATAAACGGACGCACACTGGTGAAAAACGTTATGTGTGTGATTTTTGTGGAAAAAAATTTGGAACAAACTCCAATTTAATTGAACATCGTAGAATACACACCGGCGAAAAAAAATATAAATGTGACAAATGCGAAAAAGGTAATCGATTATAAATATACTTTTTAAGAAGATCTTTTTAACTCATTCCATAAAGGTTTTTTTGTTAATATGTTTTAATGTTCTATTTTAAGCTTTCACAACAAGTTCAAATTTATCAGAACATAAAAGAACTCACAGCGACGCAAGACCGTATTCATGTGAGACATGCGGTAAAACTTTCATCTCATCAAGTCACTTGTTATCTCATAAGAAAACTCATTTAGTATTAAGCAATCACAAATGTATGATTTGCAATACCGTATTTAAGCAATCGTTTTCACTAAAGAGGTACACACTTTTCCAAATTAATTAACTATTTTTTTAACATTAATCCTTCAATTTTTTGTTAGACATTTAAAGATACATTCAGGGGAAAAACCGTATATGTGTAATGTATGTGATAAACGATTCATAAGCCTTTACAACCTCAAAGAGCACCAAAGAACACACACAGGAGAAAAGTCTTATACATGCCTATTTTGTGCAAAAAGTTTTACCCATGGTTCAGCTTTAAGTAATCATAAAAAAATTCATTTAAATGTAGAACTGAACAGCTTTAGTTAAGATTACATTTTACTTAATTGATTGCTAAAATCATTTTTCATTAAGTAAAATATTTGTAATTATTTTACGGTAAACTAAATGTTAGCTTATACGAACCTTTTTATAAAAATATATTTTTGCAATTTCAAAACAACATCGCTATTTAAATTAAAACGTAGATATAGAATAATGTTAGAATGTAAATTTAATATAACATGGGCCAAAATGGATCAAATCAAAGGTGAAATTTATGAATAGTTCTTTTGTATATTTAACATGGCAATAATATAATTTATTGTCAACAAAAGTGGATATACATTACAAATAACTAAAATAAAATAACTCTTTTGCTATAAAAGAAAATCTCTATTTAGTGGTGGAACAATCTTAAGGTGGTATGCGCTAAAACAATTTTATGTTCATTACAAGCATCTATAACGCCTTGATCATTTGTTGACCCAGATGGACTAGCAATATAAGAAACTCCGCTCTAAAAAATTAGTTTGAAAATTTACAAATTCAAATAATATCAAATACTTACAGAATATGCACGATCAATATTATCTCTAAATGGGAAAAAAGCATCAGAACTTAATGACACACCCTTTAATTTACTAAGCCAATCCGCTTTTTCTTCATTTGTTAATAATTTTGGTACTGTTTCAAACATTGACTCAAATTGCGATACAGGCATGTCTTTGCCCACAGTACCATTAACATAATTATCTATAGCATTTGACCTTTCTGCACGTTTAACTTCTGCTTTAAAATGCATTGCCGTTACAATTGGATGCTGCCTCAACCACCAATTGTCAGCTTTTTCTCCTGCTAATCTTGTGCAGTGTATACGAGATTGCTGACCGGCACCAATACCAATTACTTGGCCATCCCTTGCATAACACACCGAATTACTTTGAGTATACTTAAGAGCAATTGTTGCAACTATTAAATCTCGCAGAGCATTTGATGGCAAATCTTTATTTTCAGTGACAATATTTGTAAATAAATTTTTATCGATGACTGCAAAATTTCGTCGTTGTTCCAAAGTTAATCCAAATATTGTTTTACGTTCAATTTCGCTTGGTTCATATTTAGAATCCATCTAAATATAAAAGAAATAAAGAATAATATTTAAAAATTTTCACACCCATGTATTTCTGCAATTTTGCAATGTCTAAAAACCTAACTTTCTTATTTGACCAATACAAACCTGCAGAATACAAAACTGTCCTGCTTTCTTTTTCATTAAAATTTCAAGAGCTTCTTTTTCATATCCTGGAGCAATTATCCCATCAGAAACCTCTCGACTTATAATTTTTGCTGTTACAGCATCACACACATCTGATAAGGCTATAAAATCACCAAAAGAAGACATCCTGTCAGCACCTCGAGCTCTTGCATAAGCTGTAGCTAAAGGGCTTAGTTTTGGCAATAAATCATCAACCATACAAAGTTTTGCTTGCTCTTTACTTAATGGTGTTCCAACAGCCGCTCCAGCTGGTGAAACATGCTTAAAGCTTGCAGCAGCCGGTAAATTTAAAGAATTTTTTAATTCTCTTACCAGTTGCCAACCATTCAATGCATCACAAAGATTAATGAAACCTTAAAAAAATTGATTATTAAAAAAACTTCAGTAAAACATAAAATATCAAAAATGTATGTACTTGGAGCTTTATTAATAACAATTAAAGGTAATTTCTCTAAAGTCGTAAAGAATTGAGCAGGTTGTTGGTGTGGATTCATACCATATCGTAAATTTAATTGTGAGACATTATTTGAATATTGCTTGCGAAAATAATCGGAAATTGCATCGTCATAAGTCGCAGTATGTGTGAATGCTTTTAAAGATAACCTTTGTCTAGTTTCTAAAGTTGTATCATTATTTGTGCGAATTTCTTTGATAACATTGTTGTAATCTTTCGTATCACAAATTACTGTAACCCTTTGATGATTTTTAGCTGCAGCCCTTAATAGTGTTACACCTCCGATATCAATATTTTCAACAGCATCAGCTATAGCAACATTTGGATTGCTTACTGTTTTTACAAATGGATACAAATTACATACTACAATTTGAATTAAATCATAGTTTTGTGCCATCATATCCTGTAAATCATTCTCTGTCAATCTAAAATTTCATAAGAGTGATATTATCAGATATTAAAAAACAAACAATATTTCAATTCTTGGTTATAATATAAAAATAACTTTTTAATTAAACAAAATAACTTTATTCATTTAAAAATCAAATATCATAATGAAAAACCATCATTTTTTGCAGGTATATCTTTAGTAGTAATTAAGTATGTTAGTTTGTAAAAGTGTATGTATGCACATGAATAAAATTTGAAAGTCTTAAAATATTACCTTGATAGAATGCCAGCATGGACGGCTGGATGAAGAGTTTTAACACGTCCTCCTAGCATTTCTGGAGCTCCAGTTATTTCAGATACATCTTTAACCTTAAGTCCAGCATTTCGTAAAGTAGTTGCAGTTCCACCACTAGCAACTAATTGAAAATTGAGAGATTGCAATTCTTTTCCAAAGTCTATTAAACCAGTTTTATCAGAGACACTTAACAATGCTATACCAAAATTAGATAGTAAAATGAAATTTTTTGTTTTTTATTACATTATATGAAATTAAATTTAATTTTTAGGTACTAAGTAAATAAATATGTATGTTTGTACCAATTTTTTTATTAGAAGCCATTTTAAATTTAATACTTTTCTTAAAAACTTTTATTTTCGAGATTATTACCGACACAACATCTACTGAACTCGAGAAAATACTAAATTGAAACATGCTTTGTAAGTCTAGTTTTAATCAATTGAAAATACAATAAAGCAACCAAAAACAAAATATCATAGAAATGTGAGTTGTTACAGTACACTCAAAGGTTAGTTAATAATACAATTGAAATATTAATAAAAATAAAAATTTTGGAAAATGTGAAATATGTATGTATGTATGTACATATCTCGTAGAGTATATGTATATTTCTATAATTAAGATGACATTGAATGATTACAGGATAAAAAAGCAAATAGGTAATTAATTCATTATTTTCAAAACGATATTAGTTTAATTATCAAGACTGGAAAAAAAGGAAAAGAATCTTAACTATAAATTGTTCGAAATATTGGCATTATCGGATTTTAATAAGATTTATGTACTTATCGGGTAACTACCTATCATGATAACAATGATACCTTCCTACAAGTAATAGTAATGAATGAATTTCTTAATTTAGAATCCTAATTTAGAGTGTGCCATAGCATACATACGTACTTACACAGAAAAGATACCAATTTGATCTATATACACTTCTACAAATACTTCAAGTACTTTTATAAAAGTACGTACGTATTCAATCCGTTTGAAATTGAACGACAAAACTGACATTCAAACATAAATCGAAGAAACTTCAAAATAAAAAAACGATATAAAAAAACGGTATAGCTTTGATGAGTCAGTTGATCGTATTAACCACTTATATTTCAAATATAAAATGCAATTAATATAAAGTTGAACATAAAGTTAAGTAAAGTGGATCATCGTAAAGTGATAGTAAAATACAAAAATGGATGATATTTCTAATTTAATTCAATTTGAGAGTTTCGAAGTAAGTTAAATAATTTATAAATCTTTTAAATTTTAATTTTAATGTTTGGTTTAGCTCGTAGATTTACCGGTACCAAAAGTTTATAAATATCCTGTTCATTTATATTATGGACATTTAAAAAACATTAAGACGGCTGAAATTTATAAAAACAAACTGTGTTGTAAAAAGTGTTTCGAAATTAAAAAATTAAAAACTTATCGTTCTATGAATCATGGCGTTTATGAACACATAGAAAAAATTCATCAAATTAAAATGTAAGTAAAAGACTTGTTAGTTTGTAAAATTTAATTTTATTTGTTATTTTAATAAATTTATGATCAAATTTATATTTTTAGCCGAAATAAAGAGCCACCGATGGAAAAAAAAAAAGATGTTCATTCGGTATCTCCGAATGTTTCGGAAATATGGAATATGCCTTCATCGGTTGCCTCAACTTTAATAAGTTATGAAAAAGAAATGGAAAAAAATCCTACAACATCGGAAATAGACAAAATTTTAGGCGAAGGTGTAGTTGCTCCTGATAGTTGTATAACATCAACATCAAGTGCAATATCACCAGCACTAGTACCAAAACGTAATGATAATACTGATGTGGATATTGTACCTGATGTTGATGCTATACAACCATTGGGAGCAAAAGAAATTAATGAAGAAAATATGATCGAAATACATGAAAAAAATAATGCCGCAAATGGAGGTGCTCTTCGAAAACGGCTACTTGAAAACGGCCGCGATTTTGGTACTATAATTGGGCGTTGGTTAGGCGAGGTATCATTTTTTTTTTATATTATTATAATGTTTCTACATATATATTTTTTTTTGTTTTAGCTACCTAAAAACGATCAACAACAATTAAGAATTTTTCAAAAAATTCAAAAAGTAATAATGGACGAATGGAACTAATGTTTTTTTTTGCAAAATAACTTATAAAATAAAAAAACTATAAAAAGCTATTTTTTTGAATGAGTTCTTTATATTCATCTCCCTTTCCACACCACCCCAGGGGTAGGAGATTGGGCGCGTTTTTTTTAAAGTGGTTTCCCCTATAGGCCTATTCCACTTTGGAAATCTAAAAAAGTTAAACATTTACTTGTTTATAGAAAAAATAATAAAAATAAAAACAATAATAAAAAAGTTTATTTTTCCAGTAAAGAATAATATGCAGCTGCTTTTAAGAATTTTAATTTATCTAATTCTGATCTCTCAGATGTAATATAATTTGAAACAAGTGCTTTTAATTTATTTTGTACTTTTAGAAATTTTTTATATGTTGCAGGTTTTCTTGGCTTTAGAATTTTTTCATATTGCAGTTGCATTTCGGAATATATAAGTTTTAAAAATACCGGTAAGGTAGAATGAGATGGCAAATTGTATCTTAAACCACTATGCCATCCTTCAACAAAATTAGTGGTTTTCGGTAAATTATTTAATATTGCGCGATGTTGATTCCAAAATTCAATAGGAAAACGAGCAGAGGTTCTAATATAATTTCTACGGAAAGATTCAAAAAATTTTTTTGCATTTTTATCTGTTTTAAAAGTTCGCGTTTTTTTTAAAATTAGATGAAAACCTTCTTTAACCTCTTGTGGAGGCAGAAAAGCTAGCCCATTAATCATTTTCACATATTTTTTAAAAAGCTCGTTTTTTTTATATAAATTATATAATAAATCATTTTTTTTAAGAAGATTAGTTATATTTTTTGAAAAATGGAAATGGCAGCCACTCAAATGCGTGGATGGAAAATTTTGTTTCAATTCCAAGAAAGCTTGTAATTCAAAATCTATAATAATTACACGAGGTTCCATATTTATAAATTTTTTTATAATGCTAAAAAACTTGCTGTAGGTGTCTCGCATTTTATTTGGAAGCAAAGCAAAAATTCCCGCAACGGATGAATTGTTCATCATGAAATGTATAGTGTAGACCTGAAAAAACGGACGCGGAACAATACGAAACGTCCCATCTGCCAACCATATTTCACTTTGCCTCATTTTTTCCACCACCTCAGTTTTGCAAAATATGATCATTCGATTTTCAGCCGACTTACCTGAGTCATAAATAATATGCTGCATCATAACTTCAGGTATGCCATCCTTATTGCAGTCTTTCAAAACTTCCCTTGAAAGACATTGTTGTAAAGCTGATGTCGATGGCATATTTCGCAAAACTTCGTTGGATAAACTTTGTTTAATACTTGCCGAAACCTGGAAAAGGTGAACAATAATTTATTTTAATGTTTACTGCTTTTGTAAAATATACTTACAGCTTTTGGATATCCTGCATTCGTAGCGATGGCTTGTTTCATTCTAGCCACTGCTTGTTGCGCTTCCCTCTTATTTTTGTCGGTGAAGTTATGGGTGTGCATTCCAGAAGCTATTACTTTGCCATCTTTTTCAACTTTAAGGACCGCCTTGCAATCAAATTTTTGCTTTTCTCTGCACCGATAAGTCGTGTAAAATTTTGATGAGCTATTTAGTAAAATTGAACGTGGATTTCATAAAAAGAAGTCAAAATGTATATTGTTATTATAAACGTAAATTATGAATATAATATACACATAAATATTAAATAAAATTTTTATGAAAATAGGAAGTTTTTCACGATTTCACGAAAAAATTTTCTTTTATTACCTTTGATGTATATATTCATAATCATTATGTTCTAACAGCTTTCTCCCTTTAGTAGTAAATCCTTCCTTCACAACCTGATTCATAATGAAAATTGCCTCCAAAGAAAGGATAAAAAAAGCACGATTACTAAGGCACTATAGTTATTAATTTTTAAATTAGATTTTCGTTAGTTTTCAAATTAAAATTGATTTTGCTTTTATTTCAAATTTTATTTTTCAATTCCACTTCACTTATAAATAGCACTAACTTATAAGCCACACTTATAACTGTTGGACATTAAAAATTTAAATGGGTCAAAAAACAGTTTATGATATGATAGTACCTAAGAGTTATGCAGTATACCTTCTTATTTTCATTTTCATACACATAAGAATTTTTGGTAGAGAGAAAGAGTACGCGATAGATGTCTACCTGTTTTTTCATAACGTATTTTTAGAAACGGGAGTAATTTATTTTTTCGTATGTAAGGTATAGAATTAAAAATTTTAAAGGTGGGAGTTTTTTTTTGTAACTGTAATAATGGGTAAATATTTTTTGAAGTGTTTGTATAATAAGTAAACATTTTTATTTTACTTCACATTTCTACCACAAGGATCGCATTAAGTAAAATTGTATGACATTTTCGTTATCGTACAAATATATGACAAAGTATGAAAGGATTGTTTGATTTAAAGATTCGATAATTTTGTCATTTATGTTTACGTTTGATTTGCGTTTGATAGTAATTGAAAGCGTTTTTTGGTACACCTATTCAAGTATTTGTAGAAGTGTATATAGATCCATATATGCGATATAAAGTTAACCAAGATAACCGACTATAAGGATGTAAATTATATCGCAATACACTATAAAATAATCATTAGTGTGTAAATTATATTATAGGTGTTCATTAGAGTTATTTTGCACTTTTAATAATAATATAAACCACAAATTTTTATTACGGCATAAACTTCATATCTGTTAGGTCAATGAACTGTAATTCAATAAAAACAAATTGTTAGTATTGCTTACACATACGCATTACTTATATTTAAACCTACTTTAAAATTAAATTCTTTTTCAATCAAAAATTTCTTATTTGACTAATGAATTTAATGAAGTATTTTAATTTAATTACATATACATATCATATATATGTATGTTTACATACATACATATGTTTTTGATGAGATTATTTTGTTTTTCCAAATGATATTTTTGTTGAAATTATTTTAAAATATTTTTGATTAAATCATGTCTAATTATTAGTGCCCATAACTTGAATAGTGCAATGCTTACGCTCTTAAAATCTATATTCTTACCTAATTTTATATTTATTTTATTATAAAATAAATAGAAAATAAAACAACATTGTCCTATGTAACAGAAGTTAAATGCAACTGACAGCGTTAAGTATATTATGTATAATTCGAAAAAAGAAACTTGTTAAATTATATGAATCAAGTAAGACATCAGAAAATACGAGTTTTAAAGAAAATATTTATTTCAAAGTTAACTTATGAACAACTCGTGCTTTGACTACAGTTTGTCTCTAGAGTTGATATACTGCTCATATGAACAATATTTGCAACTTAACATGATTGTTATTTTCACTCATTGCTAAATTAATATGCAAATAATAGTTTTAATATAATTACGCAAAAAACTCCTTACAACTCCTTACAAACTCGTCGAGGAATTCACATAATATCTACACCTGTGGGTAAAATGATCAGATACGAAATCAGTCATTTGCCATCAGTCAGATTCGTCGAATAAAATACATATACGAGAACATATATATTATTTTATAAATATACGATTAGGTTTTTATCAACTAAATTTCAGCTATTAGAAATATATACGTAAGTTGGCTATAATTCGTAATTTTAGTGTTAATTAACTTCAAAAATGTATTATGCATAATATGTAAAAAATCTACTCAAATTATTGAATGCTGGTCACCTTATTGTAAAAATATAGAAAATCTATTATAGATTCGCATCAGACATACTGGTTTGTGTTTACAGTAAGAATTTTCAATTTTCTACGATAAATACATATATATAATAAAATTTAAATTATAATATTAACTTTAAAGTAAAACCAAAAATACATATGATTCGTGTCTTTAATAAATTTATAGTATAAATGTCGAATGAAGGTCGCTTCGCACAAAAATGTCATTCAGTTGTTTAATTTTCATGAGCAATCATTTGGACAAATATAAAATTAATAAATTTTTAGTCGTGCAAACAAAAAATATGTATGTATGTACACATTTAGAACATTTCATTTTTATAAGCAGCCTTTGTTCATAGCTCTAATTTATGAATTCCGTTCATAGCTCTGAAATTCAAAAAATTACGAATTTGATATTTCATAAAAGTGCCCTCAATAATCTACAAGCAATTTAAAGAGAGTGATTGTTTTAAATTTTTGAATTTGAGTTAAAAAACTGCAAAACTTCGTTTTAAAAAATATCCTCTTTTATGAAAGTTTTGTGCTCAAATAGCAACAAAAAACACAAAGAAACTTTTGACACTTGAAATAAAACACTGATTTTTGCACTCCGCAAAATTGTGTTGCCATTGCTGATTCATAATCCTTACGAACGGAATTTGTGATTATTTAAAAGTCTAGAAACCTGAAAAGTGACTGTCAATCGGAAAAATCGTTTTACGAAAATTGAATTACACAGTAAGGCCCCGTCCCTGACGTTGTTCTTTATGATATTTAAAAAATGGAGCTTGACTTGGACGAAATTCTGCATAAAAAGAAAAGATCGATAGTATTTACAACAAAACAATTTATTCAATTTATTTCAGTGATTGTGGTTTTTATTTTGTTTATCATAAACCTATCGTGATTTAAATAAAAACATTGACAAATACTGAAAAACTACAAAAACCTTGAAATTAATTATTTATTTGAAAATAAAATTCATTATTATGTGGCAAAAAACTTAAAGAGTTCTCCTTTTTCGTATATTTATTGTTAATTTGATTAAATTAATAATAATTCTTATATTAACATAGTATTAATAAATTACAATAATAATGTACACAAGTCTAGTCGAAAAATAAATCCACTGGAAAATTAAAAAATCTCTGTATTTAAATTTTCAAAAAATAAAAAATAGAAAAATAACAGTAGTATGCATAATAAAAATTTTTGTGAAAACAAATGTACTACTATTCTATTTAACAACAAATTATTTTTAATTTTTTTGTTACCATTTGCCTTATTTTAAAATAGCAAAAAGATATTTTTTTTTAATATAAATAATTAAAATTTATAACGTTGGTGCTTCTGGTAGGATCGATGTTAAAAATGATATTACAAAAGTTCTAAGAAATGCAATCACAGATGTTCCATCATTTTGATTTTCTCCCCCTACATTATTTGAAGTTCCATCATCTGCATTATTTTCAGATGACGCATTACTATTTTCATCGTTTCCATTTGGTGTATCTACTCCTGCAGCGTTTCTTTGAGCACCTTCAGGTTGTTGATTTTGTTGTTGATTATTATTATTACGATTATTGCGTACATTATTATTTGCTTCAACAGCTCCAACATTCAAGTGATTTCTGAAAAATCCTACATGATACCTAAAAATATATATATATATATTTCAAGATCCAAATTTTGTATACACATGTAAATAATATGTAAATATTATAATTTTTTTTAATTCAAAATATTTAATTTACTCACAGATATATCATTACACCCAAAAATAGAACGGCAAGACATCTTAACGGTGAGGAATAAAAATATACTAGTATTAATAAAACCAAAAGCCTACTCATCGAATAAAACGTATCTAGCCAATCTCGATTTTCTTGTTCTTCTTGTACAATTTGTGGGAATCTTGGAGCAGCTGCTTGTTGGGGAGCTTGTGGTGCTGGGTTATCATTTCCTTGAATGCCAGTATTTGGTTGATTAGCAATTTGCGGTTGATTATTTCTGATTGTTGGTTGCGATGTTTGTGGTAAGATATTTGCAGTGACACCTGTTGAAGCTGATCCTGTATTTGGAATATTAGGTACAGGTATTGATGATGCGGTGTATGGCATAAAAGGAAATTGTGGCATACTAACACCGGATGTTGCAGAAGCAGATGTATCATTTGCGCCATAACTTTATTGAATATTAAAAAATAAATAAAAATTTCATAAATAATTCTTGTTAACTAATTTAATTAATGTAATACATATGTATATGTATGTTTATTTAAAGTATTTAAACTTACAGACTCATGTATTGATTCATATATTGATTTACATATTGAGCATATGTTTGTTGCATCCATGTTTGTAATGCCATTTGATGTGCAATAATATTGTTTGAATTGAATTGTTCTGCACCTATACCACCAATTGTTGTTCCAATTGGGAAACCAAATGTTGGTATCGGAGGGCAGTTATTTGTCTCTATTTGATTAATTCCAATTGTTTGTGGGTTGCCATTTCCAGTTGAACTATTAACTTGGTTACTATTTTGAATATTTTGAACATTTCTTTGCCTTAAACCATCTGTTCGAAAATTATTTATATTATTATCATTCGTTGCAGAATCCGATGTATTTGATTGAGATGATGGTGATGTCATTTGACGCTGTTTTGGTGTATATACTAAATGAAATATATGATTTGTTGGTTCTATATCATCATAATTTCGTAGAATATCACGTAAAATTAATTTGTCGGTTAAAAGTTGTCCAGCATAAATTAATTTTTGCTCTGCAATTGACTGAAAATAAAACAAAGAGGAAAAACTTGTAAATAAATTGCATATCGGATGTATGTATATTTTAACTACGAACATTATTGATTTTTATTCTAAATACATACATATGTACATATGTATGAATATTTAAGTAAATAAATAAAATTTTTACATTATAAATTTTTTTTTTTGTAAAAAAAATGTCATAAATAAGTAAGTACCTATGTTTCATATTTTATTTATACAGATTAAACAAATATGATGTTGTATTAAGCTTAATTCAGTAGTTAATATTAAATAAAATTTTGAGAAATACTTATACAAGGTCAGTCGGGGTTAAAATATATACGATCACACTTTATTCCCTTATCTAAATTCTTAATTTTAAAATTACTTAATAAATTGATCGAATATATATATATTTTTTTTAACATATTGTACGATTCGTTTTTGTACAAAATCAAAAAAATTATCTTTCAAAATTTTAAATGGAAAATTGTATTTACGTAAAATGAATGCAGCTTACAATATAATAAATAAATTAAATATAAAAATAATTTGATAAATAGCTAAATATGTCGATAAAAAAGTAGTCCCCGCAGATAAATTTTAAAATTAACACAAAATTGAATTAATTTTTATTGGCTGGATGATGATCATGGATCCTTACATTTTAATTGGTAACCGTAGGATTTAAAGTAATACTTAAATGAAAAATATTGTAGATTTTTATATGAGATTAAAAAATTTTTCTAAACAAAGTTTTTAAAACAGAAAAAAAAAATAATGTTCTGTATATAATATTAAATAATTTAATTGCATCTATATAATACATGCAATAATCCATATTCACGTTTTTTTAAAGATTTCACTAATTTCAATTTAATAACTAATATAATTTAACTACAACCCTTTACTATTTAATATCATTTATTAATTTCTTATAGAAATTCTTAATTTCTTAAATAGGATTCCACCAAATATGAAATTTCAATACTTATCTATAAATGGAAGTAAATGATTAAGGAGGACTCAATAAAATTATCTAATTACTCATATTTTGACTGATTTTCTTACATATTAAAATATTTTATTCTTTTTCATTATTGTATTTTTTGTTTAATTTTACAATTGAATAATTTTAATTTATATAAAAATGAAACGAAATAAAATTGTCACTCTGATTACATAAGATAATTTTTAATTCTCTTTTTACATAATAGGAGTAATAATAATAAGCTTTTTAGATTTTATATACTAATACAATTAAATTTAAAATAAATTAATGAAAAATTTCAATTCACATAACTATATATATGTGCATATGTATAAACGTATATGTACATATAAAATAAAATGATATGTAAAAAATAAATAATTAAGTACTAAAATTAATGTAAAAAATAAAACAATTTTGAAATTTAGTTCGAAATTAAGACCTCTTATTAGATATAATCGTAAGGGAAAACCCAAATTTAAGAAATTCAATTAGGTAAATGAATTTATCACGTACTTTTAATAGTATATTTAAAATTAATATATTTAATTTCATAAAAATTTTTGAAAATCAGTTGCAAATTTATAAAAGTGTAAACGATGTTGGAACTGTAAAATATTTTATTCATCGTAAAATATTTTTTTATTTTCGTTTTCTAGTTAAAAAAAAAAAATCTGAAGAAAAACTGCTGGATAAACAGGAAAATATGCATTGTTATTTATTTATAACTGAAGACATAGTCGAAGTACTTATATTTTATACATCACAATAAAGTTTTTAGTAAAAAGAAAGAGGTCATTTATTTTAAATTTTAAACGCGTCAGATATTTATGGCGTGATCGTGTATCCCGCTATTTTACTCGCCAAATGTGAAGAAGTTGAATGACTATCATAATATTTGTATAATGTAATTTTCGAGTGAGAAAAGTTTTTCTGTATTGCGTATCTCTTTTTTTTTGTAAAATGAATATACAAAATTTAATCATTATTTATACATCTCGTTTTTAAAGTTTTAGAAGAAGTTTGATTTTAAAGTGATTAAAAACTTAAATTAAAAAGCGAGATACAAGATTAGGCTGTCATTTTTTCTAGAATATTACTTTACTAAGTGATTAGTTAAGTAATCTGATACTAAAATTTAATACTTTTAAGTTTAAACAGATTCTAATAATTTTATTATCTTAACAATAATAAAATAATTACGAGATAATTTGAAAATTTTTTATGATTACTAATATTCTTTTCAGAATAGTTATCATAAATATTATTTATGATAACTATTCTGAAAACAATGAAATTTAATAACTTATATAATTGCAATTTTTTATTAAATCTATTAGTTAAACCTTCCATAATCTAAGAAAAATAATAACTATATTATTATAACTTTAGTTAAACTTAGGAATGTAAAAACGAAAAAATAAATAAAGAAAAGTATATTTTTTAATAAAAGCAGATGGGTTCCATTTAGTAGAAGTTGTTGCTAGATAATATCTCTTTCTGCCTCTTTATTTATTCAATCGATGTCATGCCATACTTTTACAGTTGATATTACAGTTGATTTTCTTCAGTTTTAATCCATTTTGACATAAAGTTCATTGCTTCAAATATTAACTTCAGTTGGTCTCGCATTAACTCGCACACCAAACTTCTTTAATTCGACCAAATATAAAATTTCACCTACAAATAAATTGCAAAACCATTCAAATTGCCGAAACTATTATTTGAAAGTTGTTGCAATATTTTTTTATAATTTTATAAAATAGCTACTTAATATTATTAAACAATAATAAAATTTTTTATAATTTTTATAATTTTATTTATAACATTAAATTTATTGAAGAAAAAATGCGTCTTATTACTTTTATAGTTACTAGGAGTCGAATTTAAAATTTACTAAGAATCGAATTAAAATATGCTATTTCGATAAAATAATACGCAATAATTTTTCTGTAAATTATTTGCGAAATTTATAAATTTTCTATTTTATAATATAAAAGTATAAATTATAAGATTTAAGTGCAATATATTTCAAAAATTCCGACAAAAGGAAAACAAAAAAAAATTAGAAATATTTTTCCCTTAATAATTTTAATAACATTTCAAATTAATAATAAGGTGCTGATAATAAATAAAAATAAACAAAAGCTTTTTCAATACTAATTAAAGTACCTAAATATATATATATATACGAGTATATGATTTTTTTTTAAATTTAGTTCTATATAAGCAAATACGTGGCCATATTTTATTTGATAACAATTTGATTGTACTTAGTATTAGTAAAATACTTAATTATTCATTTCTGAACGAAAACAACACGTTGATAATGAATTAAATTTTTTTATATTTTACACACTACACAGATTTATACCTATATGTAAGCATATGTATAACCTTATTCTAAAAATTTGATAAAAGAAAATAAGTACTTATATAATTTTTAAATTCGTAAACTATAAATTGTGGATCTCACTGTGCCGCCCATTTTCATTTTTATATTCGATAAATTAAAAATCATATTTATTAATTATATCGCAAATCTTATTTTAAAGTCGTTCACGTAAAATTGATTAAAAATTAAAGACTCACTTGTAATTTGCTTTAAAAATTTTCTAAAAATCAATAATCTATTAAGAATACTTTATAGAAATTTAACGTCAAATTCTGAGACGTACGTTATTTAAAATTAAACGATATGTACAGGGTTTTACGCTAAAATAATACGCTGTTTCCAATAATAAATATCTTAAATAATCTAAAATATCTCAATTTTCCACTGAAATAGCATTATCTGAATAAGTATTCCAACAATCAACTTTTTCTTACAATTAATTTTGTAAATTAATTTGAAATCCTTCATACTCAGCAATTAGAAATAAAATAAATTTGCAAAACCAAAATTAAAACTACTCAATCAACAAGAAATTCATAATAAAAACAATCTAATCTAAACAATATGATAATATCAGATCATTAGCTTAGCTCTTCTTTTTTCTTTAATGATTTTAATTTAAAATCTTTAAATAAAACATTCTTATTATCATTCATTATTTCAATTACTTAATGAATTTGTGAAATTTACAATTTTTAAATTAAAAAAGCTAAAACAGCTAAATAGCCTGTTACTTAATATTTGTGCTAGTATAGTGAAAGCAAAAAAAAAAAGAAAAAATGATTTCTTATTATAAAATTTCTTCATATCTAGATATCAAAAAGTACAATGACAAAAGCTTGGAAAATTGCTGACTTCTTGTAATTTAAAAAATTATTCTTATACGAGCAAAATTGCATAATAATAAAAATAAATAAAAATATTCTCATTTAGAATTAATGAAAGTTATCATTATGTATTTATGTACGTACATTATATATGATCAGTTCAGTGTTGATCGTCAAATTCCAAAAAAAAAAAAAAAAAAAATTGCAATGAACATACTCGTATTAAGTAATCTTAATTGGAAATTGTAAGAAAAGGCGATCAAATCGAGACGAATGATCAAGTATTAAAATAGAGTAGTGTGATTTTTTTTTTTTTTTAATTCTAATACAATTTTTATATATTCAATCTTAACTTAATTAGTACATATACTAAAATTTTAGGTGCTAATTATTTTAATTTTCAATCTAAGCACAATTTTTATTGTAGCCTTAATGGCTTGTCTTTTTAGATTTGCATTGTTCAATAAGTACATATTTATAAGTATAATAGAAATTTATATTACTTTTCTAACATACATATTTGAGGTAACATATTTGAGGTGCTCAGCGCTTTAGTGGCCAATCCAAAATATTTCCAGAAAGAAGTTATTATATTCAATAGAGCAGACGGTTTGTTTTGGCCTTTTAAAAATTTTCTTAAAAATCAAATATTTAACATTCAATCTTAATTTACTTGAAATTTCATTTTTACAAGTAGGCCACTAAAGCGCTGCTGAGCACCTCATTTATAAAGACAATTATTAGTATAGGCACCTGACCCTTGTCCTGACGTATTTCCAAAAACATTTTAATTTTATTATGACAAAACCATAAGAATTTAAGAAAAATCTCGGTTATTGCTGAATTAAAATTATATTCATCGTATAATAAAGGTTTAATATTTCTACTACTGTAGTATTTTAGTACTGGCTTATGAACGTCGAGAAATTTTTAAAAATCTTTTTTTTCTAAATTTATATGTAAATAAGTTTTTTTAAATTTTGGACTTAATAGAAATATTTGATAAGGAGGTTAAGTTGACATTTTTGTTAGTATCATTTAAACTGAATGCTGAGCTTTGACATACCGATCAAATTTCAAATGTATAAAACCCGTCCTATACCTAGCAGGAAGGAAAAACATTTTATTTCAATACTTATTAATATTATAATTAAAAAAAAATCCCATTATGTACGTAAGATCATATCCAATACAATAATTGTGTTTTCAAAATTTTTTTCAAAAGGAAAAAGAGAAGTCATAACAATTTTTTCAGCTAAGATAAGTAAATATTATTGAAAACGGAAATTATCAGTTTTCTCGCAAAATAATTGTGAACAATGCTGCATTATTTTTACCAGAACTCGAATAAAATTAAGGTTAGATTAAAATAAATTTTATTGGACATGTATTTGATTTCAGCTATATTTGAGTTTTAAAAGTTTTGTCGCGATAAAAGTATTTAAGTCATAAATAATTATTAAAATAAATTTCTTGAAATTTTTATAATAACTGAATTGATAATTAAGTATTGAACTAGTATTAATTATTACTAATTTCAATTACATTAGAGAACTGGAAATTCATAAAAATTGTTCGTAATATTTGAATATGCTGTGGTACTCGTATCTATCCTCCCATTTTTTTATTTATTTATACATAACTAGGTAGAAAGCATAATAATTTATTCATGTAACAAAGTATGTCTGTAGGACGCTATTAAAACATCGAAGTACTTTATTACTTAACTACCTATGTACAGTAAAACACGGTTAAGTGGATCACGCTTAAGTGGATTTCACGCTTAATTGCATCAAATTTTCGTGGCTTGTACTTTTTTCGATTTTTTCATATAAAAAAATTCGTTTAAGTGGAATTCGGATAAGTGCACAACACGCTTATCTGCACATATATTTTTTCCCTCATGTAACACTTAATATGTAAATTTATTCGGTTAACTGCACACCTTGTTTTTATTTAGCATAAATGTCAAAAATGAAAAACTACACTCTCAACTACAAAATAAGAAAAGCAACACTATGTAGCTACACAAAATATTTTAGTTTCTGTCATTTTGAGTGTTGAAAAATTAAAGTTTAGAACCAGTTTTTAATAAATTCAATTCTTTGACATCGGAGGTAATTTTTTAAGTCGAATTCGTATAAGTGGAAAACACGCTTTAGTGGACAAAATTTTCTTGGCTGATCGATTTCCACTTAACCGTGTTTTACTGTACCACATATAAGTATTTAGGTAGGTAAGGCAAGTATAATATAATTAAATACCTATGAAAAGTAGGAATCATTTATATTGTAAATAGGCATAATATGATGAAATACATTTTTTCTTTTATCACAACAATTTAATACCTACAATAAATTTATATATAATAAATATTAATTAAAATAATTTTTATAATTATATTATATAAAAAAAAAAATTATTTATACTAACTGGTTTACTAGGATAACTCTCAGAAAGATGTGTCTTTAGATTTAGTACTGACCAAGTATATGAACATTCAACAACTTGATCTTCAAATTGTTGATTTGATGCTTTTACAATTAATTTCACTGTGCTTCTATAATCTTCTGCCATATTTGATCTTTTTTGTTTTGTTGATTTTCCAAAAAACAAGCACTTTCCTTTATGTATTTTCAAAATTTTCTTCAAAATGTCATCTACTAAATTGTTATATTGTCAGTATTAGATATAACAAATAAGAAAATAATTTAAGTGTTATATTAATAATAAAGTGTCACATATAAAATATACAACAACAATTTATTTATCTATTCGGTCACAATTAAGCAATTTCGTATTTTCTTTATAAATTATAAAAATGTTCTACTGAAATTATTTTACAAAAAACAAAAAAAAGAAAAATTCTTAACAACGGTGACAAATACAAGCTTTTTAAAGCCTTCTAAATATGATTTAAATTTTTTTTTGTTTTTCTTTATTTTTCTTTATTTTTATTTTAGTTCTGTATATTTATTTATGTGATAAGCTTTGTACATAATAAACCTGGGTAGAACAATGTATATGTATATATGAATGTATATAAAATAAGTTTAGATAATTTCTCTGGTCGAGATACCATACAAACAATTTTATTATACGAAATAATTATTGTGAATTTTATGAAGTCATGAATTGAATTTATTTCTTATTTTGTTTTTATTATTGTTATTATTATTATTGCTGTTTAATAATTTGCCTTATAAAAAATGAAAAAAGGCTGTGTTCGAATTTTTCAAAATAAAAATTGAATTTAATGTACAAAAAAAAAAAAAAAAAAAAATATCTAAACAAAAATTTTATGCAAATTACTTTCTAATTTTCATATTTTTTATTTTTTAGTTTTGAAAGCAACAAATAAATTAACTTTCTTTTTTAATCTATTAATATTTATTGTTAATCTTTTTAGAAATCTGCCATTAATTATTTCACCGAAAATTTCGAAATTGATTTTATTTTTATGTAAAAAAGAAAAAATAATTTTTGTTATTGATTATTCAGATTTAGTAATTTCTAAAAAATGTGTGTAGGTACTTGAAATAATTTTTATCGTAAAATTATTAGTTATTTTTTCATTAAATATTTACTATTTAAATTTATTAATTTTTTTTTTTTTCGACTTAAACTATTTTATCTATTTTTTTTCTTCTTCTTTCGTATTTCACAGAGATTTTTTGTAACTTGAATATCACACTAAAAGTCAGAAATCAGAATATTCGCTGTTATGTCGTATTTAAATTAAGTATATAAACATATATATATATATATGCCATGCTAGTATAATGTGCGAAAAGGTAAATGTCAAATTATTAAAATATTGTCTTTCTCGTTCTCTTCAATATATTTATTATTAATTTCTTTTTTGCACTAATGTAGTATTTAAATGCAATTTTGAAAAAATGACGTGTATTTATTCAAGTGTTTTTTGATTGGTTTAAGTTGATTTTTGAATATTGTTAATTCCTAGCTGAAGATGTCGTCTTTGTAGGAATATTTTGACAATTGAAAAATAAATTTTTGTAATTTAGTATTATAATAAGCGACATCTAATAGTAAATAAAAATAAATAGAAGTAGGAATAACATTATAAAAGTTTTTTTTTAGTATTTTTTTGTGCGACATCTGACAATATTTTTTAAAACAAATTAAAAATTAATTTTAGAAGACTATTTAATTTGCAAGAATCGGAAATATTCATGAAAAATAATTTTCTTCTGAAATTTATTAATATTAATACTTAAATTTAGTATATATTATTGTATATAAATAAAATATTGAAAAAAGCGTTTTTGTATCATTATTTTCCCAAAAATTATATTTTGAAATTAAGGAAGTTTCCTCCTACATCTAAATCTTAATAATGTAATATTGTATTAAAGAGCAATTTTCATTATTAAATTATTACAATTGCGATCTAAGGCTTTGTTTTATAAACTGCGACATCTAACATTTTTTTAATTCATTATACACTATATTGAAGTTCTAAAAATCAATATTTTTATTTTATTAATCAGCGACATCTATTATAAAGAGTAATCTACCAAAACCTTAAGAGAGAACGAAATTAATTTTCCGTAATACGCATAATTCATTTTTGACAAATTGGAAAATTAAACAATGTTTAAAATAAATAAATAATTATTTGAAAATTTTTTTTCCACTTATTAAACTTAACTTTAACAAAATAAATATATATACATACATAAATGTAAAACTTAAATAATCAATTAGAATACAATTTTGAAACGCACTTATCACTGCAAGCAGCACAATCTTGATAAATAGGTTGTTCTCTGCTAAAAACTAAATGTTTAACATGATCTAAACTTATAATTGCTGATCTTTCATAAATTTGTGATGAAAAACTTAACAAACCGCAAACACAAAGCGGACTTTCAGACATAATATCAACAAGTATACTTGGAATTGTTGATGAATTATATGACAGACTTTTGGATTCAACGACACGAGCTGCCATTTCCCAAAGAGGTGGTATATATCCTTTTGCTTTGCTTGTAATTTGTGCATCAAGAGATTGTGATTGAAAATTGTTATTCCAAACATCTAATGTATCCAAGTGAATATAATTAAGACTATTTGGTAAAGATTCCAGTTTATTCGAAAAGATATGTAAAAACTTTAGATTATTCAATCTCCTAATTGCAAAAGGAATTTTTTTTATGCTATTTTCGTTTAACTTTAGAGTTGTCAAGTTTTTCATCTTAACAATATTGTACGGGAAATAAGATAACTTATTTTTACTTAAATTTAATGATCTTAAACTGTTCAAGATACTTCCATTTGTGATCCATTCCCAATCTTTATTTGATTGATTTTCTCCCAAGTTATTATTGGACAGATCTAATTCTGTTAATTTAAGTTTTCCAAGTTCCTTGGGTATTTTAGTAATACTATTTTCGCTTAAATTAAGATTTGTTAAATTTTTTAAAAAAAGAATTTGTGAATCGACTTTTGGCCTGTTTATTCCAGAAATCGTTAAAATTTCCACTGTTTTTGGAATACCGTGAATAGGAAATTCACTTTTTTTCAAAATCGTAAACTTTTTAATCGGGTGTGACTTTTGTGGAATGCTTGTTGTAGCTAATGTGCTTAAACAGATTTTGTTAAATTCAGCTTTCCCCTCTAATCCTAGTTTCAAAGTCGTTAAAAAAGATTTCAATTGAATAAGATTGCACTTGATCAAAATATCGTGTTCAGGGACTTTAAACGAAATAGTAGCTTTCCCATCAGTAATAAATCGGGTAAATATTTTAATAATATTATCTTTTACTTTATACTTGATTCCATTTTTGTGCTGCGGAGTAAAGAGCATAATAAACAATTGGCCATCTTCTTTTCTGGGTGGATGAATTCCAACTGACAATGTTGATTTCACAGTTTTATTGGTTAAGTTATTAGACAATTGTCTATAGATAATTTGAGTTTCACATGCAATTTTCATTTTTTCTTAATTTAAAAACAAAATGGTTTTGTTTATATTTAAGGAACATTATTTTTGAATGATTTGACAATTAATAAATTTTGCGCCAATCAATTATTGTCAAATACCAGGAACTGTCAATCTTTAAGTTACATTCAATTGGAGTAGAGTTGGAAATTGTTTTGAGTAGCTGCTACTGATATATTTTTTATTTTCTGATTCAAAATTTTGCTATAGTAAACAAAGTCACTTTTCACTAATGTTATGTCGTTATACGGTGAAATTAAAACATTTTCTGTAACACTGAAACTTTTGAAAAAAATGAACTTTTTGTTTTCTCGAAAAGATTATGAATCAGAAATGGCAGCACCATTTTTCGTAGTGTTAAAATCAGTATATTATTTCAACATTCATCAACCCAGCTTCATTTATATTTTTTTTAATTGATATTTGAATGAACCACCTCCCAAACAGTTTCTTTTAGCAATTAAGAATTCATTTCCCTTTGTAGCTGGGTTAGAGGAAAAGAAAACAGAATTTTTAATTTTAGAGAAAAATGTAAAACGATCGTTCTCTTTAATTCGTCACGTTCGATTATTTTTTTAATGGACACTTTTAACATATACTTTTACTTGATATCAAAATTATTTTTATTTATGAATACTCTACGAATATTTGGAGTACAATTTGGGGGTTTTCGTTTATTCAGCTCTAGAATAGTTCTAGCTTGTAGCACGTTCGAAAATTTACGCTACATACACTAAAAATATAGATCGTTCGGAAATTACTGGCTGCAATAAAGTGCGTTCGAAAATTCAATATTTATTAAAAGAATGTCAGAAATGTAACGCAGACATGTAACGTTTAAATTTTGTCCCTGCCTCCTCAAACTTCTTTTTTTTTTCAAATTTTAAATTCAAAAAAATTTTAAATTTCAAAATGGCAGATTCAGATATTGAAGGATTATTAAAGTAAGTTTTCTTTAAGTCTTCAAATCTTGTTAAAATTTCCATATTTTACAGTGAACTGGAGGGCGAAAAGTATTGCGATACTATTTCATAAACAATGTAATTTCTGTTATTTTCGAACGATTGATTATTTAGAAGTTTCAGAATTTATAGACTGCGTAAACTTGAAAAAACTTAGCTGAAGTTTTTGCATACTGTTTAACGCTGTGGCTTAGAAATTTTAGTTCTAATGTAGAACTTTCAGTGCAGCGTGCATAAACGTAAACCTCATTTTAGTAATTCGGAATTGACAATATGATATTCGTAATTTCCCGGATTACAGGGCTACGAACAAAATTCATAATAGGGCTGATTATATTTCATTATTTTCTTTTGTAATTTAAGGTGTTGCTCAGTGAAGTGTTGAGAACTCTTGTCGAACTTAATGTATCCTCATTTTGCAGAATTATCCTCACTTTGCATCTGTCTAACATTCCCCTCTATTATGAACATCGGTATCGGCCGATATATTATCGGCAGTTCTAATCGGTTTTAGGTTTCTTCTGTATTATGAACCAATACCGATAAAAATATGTCAACCGATTAAAAAAAGCTTTTTCATACAAATTTTTGTTTTTGTAAATTGGAGAAAAAGTTTTTTTTTTCTAATGACATTTGTTTTCTTTCAAAAGTTATTTTCAAAAAATTTTTAAAACTATTTTGAATTTGGTTTTGATGTGCTAAAAAGTTGTTGTAAGCAAATTATTTTCGGTTAAATTTGTAAAATAAAAATATACATATATCGGGAAAATGTCGCGTGCATTATATTTTGAAAGTGAAGAAACGGTAGTAAGTGAAGAAACGCAAGCTATCCAAAGACGACATACATATAAGAAATTCATTGGATTTAGACAACAAAATGTATGTTTATGTACCTATTTTATTTTATTATTTATATAATATGTACACATTTTTTAGGTTTATCCAGAATTTCAGATTATCATTCCTTGCTAGGTTTAAGTCTTCTTCCATTTTTTCTACTAACCGCGCAATTTGTTTTTTATTGCTTACGATTTTACTCCTAAATAAAATATATGAATAACATTTTGAAAGAAAATAATTTAGAAAAAATGCTTACATTTTAAAAAAGCAATTAATTACACCAGTTTCCTTGATAAAATGAAGATTTTACAAAAAAAAAAATCTGTCGTCTAAAAATTTGTACCCGCTTTTAAATCGGTGAAAACCCGACAATTTACTGTTTTCATAATACCAGCTAATACGTTTCCTATACAGGGAAAAAAAGCTTTCCCGACTCCGATAAAATTTACCGATAAACAATGTTGGTAATAGAAACGCAAAATTTTGCCGATAAATTATCGTTTATCGGCCGATACCGATACACATAATAGAGGGGATTGATTTTGCTAAGAATTTTTGTTTTGAAAAAAGTTCGTAATTCATTTAAATAAAATACTCATTTATATATTTTTTTTTTATATTATATTTATATTATTTTTTGCATTTTGTAATTTAAAAAATAAAAAGAGAAAAAAAAATTCAAATACAATAATGATAAAAATCTTTCATATATAATAAATTTAAATTTGTAATAATAAAATATTTTAACAATTATAAAATTGATTATTTATGGTGTAAAAAATTAAAAAAAAAATATTATAAAATTAAATAAAAAACAAAAAAAATATTTTTGTTTAAAAGCAAAATTAAAAAAAAAAACAAGAGAAGAAAACTAAAAAATAAAAGACCATCCTAACATGTTTTTTTTTACCTTTTTTGTATTTTTATTTTTCTTTTTTATTTATTTTTTTAATGTATATATATACATGTATATATACATATATATATATAATAAATTTAATGTATCCTAACTATATAAATGTCGTTAATATTTTCTTTTTTTTTTTTTGTTTACATTTGTTTTTGTAATTTTTCATATTTAATTTATTTGTTTTTAATTTTTCTCTAAATTATTGCTGTTTTTATATTTTTTATTTTTATTCTTAAATGTTGCTATGATTTTTTTTTATTATTTATTTATTGTATTTAGAGTTTCAAATCTTTCGGTTTTTAACTATGAAGGGAAATTTTATAAAAATAACTGAAAATAAATTTAATTTTAAAAAAACAAATAAATTAAATGAATTTTTTTGTGTTTTACTTTTTTGGTTTTTAAAAGTAAAAAATAGGAAATTTTTTTTTTCTGAATGCAATTTTTCTTTTTTTTATTTTTAAGTGTTTTTAAATTTAAGACTATAAAATCGTCTTTGACTTCATAATTAAACTGACAATATTCTCGATTTCGTAATTTTTATGATAACTTAAAATTATATTTAGAAAGATCTAAATTTGTTATTTTATCTAATAAAATACTACAATATTTTCAAAAAAGATTTTTTGCTGTTCAATATTATTTGTTTTTTTTTTTTAATTGTATTAGTTTTTTACCTAATTTACTTTCAAAGAATGAGAGCATCAAATTACTTTAAAAAATTTTCCTTAGATCTTTTAATTACAAAGGGAAAACAACTCAATTCCCTAATTATTAAATTCAATTAGGGAATAAAATAAAAAAATTGCATTCAATAACAGATTTTAGTTAAAAAAAAATATTTTATATAAATATTTTTTCTATAGTTCATTGATTTTTGTTTTTGCATTATTTTTTTTGTAGTTTTTATTTTTCTTCAAAAAAATTTTATTAAAATATTAATTTTTTGTTTATTTTTTTTTTGTGGGTTTGTATTCTTTTTTTTTAATTTTTGTTTAATTTTTTTTATTGTTTGTGTTTTTTTTTTTTTGTTTCAAAATGAAAATAAATTTTATATAACATTGTATTTGTTTTTTTTACTGTCTAGTGATTTAATTTTAATTAAAAGCAATTTTTAATGGAGGGATCATTTAAAAAATAAAAAAAAAACAAATTTGTAAAAATTAAAAAATAAAATACATTTTACAATTAAATTTTAAATTATTTAAAAATTATAATTAATTAATATTTTAACAGAGTTTTTATTTTTTTTTTATTTTTTCATTTATATTTTTTTTTAAATATTCATTTAAAAATTAAATTTTTAAATCGCGTGCTTAACAACAACATAATATAAATTTGTTTTTTATATATTTTTTATAGTGTTTCTATTTTATAAGAAAACATTTTTTTAATATAAATAAAAAAAATTATTGTTATTCATTTCTTTTTTTATATATCAGCGAAAATTAGCACCAAAAAATTATGTATTACTTAGAATCTTTTATGTAATTGTTTTTTTTTATATACTAAAAAAAAATTTTAACAGCGCATTAAATGAACTGAGAATGAAATACAAATTTCTATTATTCTAGACAAAAAAAAAATTAAAAAGCTAAAAATAGAGAGTTTTGTTTTTTTTTTCGAAAATTCTGAATATATTGAATTTAAACAAGAGAAAATGTTATTAAATAAATTTTTAAGAGAATTTAACTTTCTCTTGTAAAATATAATTAATAAATGATATTCTTATTTCTCATTGCAAAATGTCTGAATTTTATTGACCTCCTTGATTGAATGTGAAGGAGAATATAGAATTTTCGAAAAAAAACCCTGATGATATTTTTTAATTATTTTCTTTTAAAATAAAACGTACGTACGCACGTACATTCTTTTGATTTTATTGTGATGAAGGAACCTTTTTTTCAATTTGGATATGGCAATGTTTTTATTTGAGATTAAATTATATTTTAAATATAAATGTTATGTATTAAAAAAATAATTTTATTTTTTTTTTTTTATAGAAAATAATTTTTTTTTCTTTTCTATTATGTTGTAAAATTTTTTTTTATATATAATTAAAGGTTCCTATAATTATAATGTTCTTGATCTATTTCTTTTTTATTTGAGAATGCGAGAAAACTTTGTTTGTTTTTACAATTTTATACAAATTTTGAAATACTTTATAATATAGAAAAGCACAAAATTTGAAATATTTGTAAATGTAAAATAATATAATAAACCATATGTATATTTTAATACAAAAAAAAAATATGTAGATAATGAGTTGAAAGAAAATATTTTTATAGTAAGAAAAAAAAAAATTAAAAATTTTTAGTTTTTTAAAAACATATTTATGAAGTATGTTTGGGAGATAACATATACATACATAAATATATTTTCAAAAAAAAAACTTTAAATTTTTTTTGGATTTAGAAATTATTATAAATTTTGTATATTTTAGGGTCACCTTTATAATAAAAAAATATTTTGAATTTAATAGAATAAGCCCGTAGCGAGATAAAAAAAAGTTAATTTATTATTTTGTTTGAAACCCCTAGCAAAATCAAATTTTAGAACGTTCAAACTTCTTTGTGTTATTGGATATTAAGTCACAATTATTTTATATATGGCTTATTAACAAAAAAAAAACAAATGTCAGGATTTTTTTTTTAAATATAATAAACAAAAATTTTTTTAAATATAATAAACAAAAAAAAAATAAATAAATAAATAACAAATTGAAGAAAATTTTATATCTTTTAATAAATTAAATTTAATTTTTCTATTTTTGTTATAAACATAAAATTATATAAAATTGCCATAATTTTTCTGGATTTGAGTTTTAATTATAAAATTAACTTTCTGTTTAAAATTAAAATCAAATAATAAAAAATACATATGTATATATATTTAAAAAGGCATAAGAAAAAACAAAAAAAATAATTAAATAAAAAAAATTAATACAATTTAATCCAATAAATTATTGAAGAAAATAAAAAACATTGATTGAAACAATTGTAAGAAATATTGAAAAATTAGAAAAAAAAACAAGAAAAAAAAAATTTTATAATAAAATTAAGGAAAAGAAATTTTTTTTAAAAAACTGTGTAATTTTTTTTTTTTATTTATATATTGCGAATTTTTTGATAGAAGTGATGTGCGTTGGTTGTTTTTTTTATTTATAAGCCTAAGAGTTTTTGTTACTTTTGTTTGTTTTTTAAAATTCTAAATCGTGATTTAAAATATAAAGTATAATTTTTGTAATTTTGATTGCTGTCTTTTTTTTTATTTTCTCATTTTTAAATTTTAATTATAAAGCAATTTTATTTTATTTGATTTTATTTTATTATTCTTATTCTTCCTTGGGTTATATTTGTTATGATAAATTAGTCTGAGTCTTTTAATAGTACTATTTCATATAGATATATATACATTTGTATATATATAATATATATATATATATATATTATATATATAATTTTATTTCATATATTTGCTTTTTATATTGTAAGAAATACAAATCAATATCAAATTTATTTAAGTTTTTGTGAGTCGTTTAAATTATTTGAGAAATATCAATAAAAAAAAAATAAATTTTTTACAAGAATTTTTATAATAAAAAATAAAGGTAAATCAATCAACTAATAATGTTCTGGTAATAGAATTAGAAATCAGGAGTTTTGGTATGACATTTTGTCGGCTATTTCTGTACTCAAAATATAGCTTGAATAAATGTAGTTAAAAAAATATTCAAAAAGAAATACTTGTCTAATAATTTTTAAATTATTTTAATTTTTTTTTTTGAATAGATTTTTTGCAATAAAAAATTTGTATATTTATTTAAAATGATTTTGTGTATTTGTTTATTTTTTTGAAAATATAAAAACATAAAAAGAATATTTTCTTTTAAATTGCGACTATAAATATTCATAATCTCCTTTTTAATGTGAATTGCAATGTGGTGATTTTGAAATTTATTGTGAATTGAATATTTTATGATTTTTGTTTTGTATAAAAGTTTTGAAAGCTCTTGTTTTATTTTATCTCTACTATATTTCCTATGTTTTATTTTATTTAAATAAATTTATGAGTTAATTTTGTTGATCATTACATTTAATATAAAAGAAATAATAAAGCATAATAATTATATTTTTTTTTAATTAATTAATTAATGATTTAAAAAAATTTGTATTGTAATTTTTGTTTTTCCTAAAAATTTCCTTTTTTAATGGGTTTTTGTATTTTATTTCTATTACATTTGTTTTTGTTTTGTGTTTTAATATTTTGTTGTTTAAATTTAATGTACATATTATATAAATACGTACATACATATATACTTGTAAATTCGTTTTTATTTCATATTTTAAACGATTGATTTTTCTGTTTTATTTTTAATTATTTCTTGTAAATTTTTTTTTTGCTTAGGTATAAATTTTTATTGAATTTCTTTATTTTTTTTTTTATTTCAATTTTTAATAATTAAATTTCTTACAATATTATTTCTAATATATATTTATCCATATATATATACTTATTACTTATATAATCTAAATTTAATTCAAAATTTATTTGAAGTTTTTTTTCTGATTTTATTTTTGCAATTTTTTTTTAAATATTATTGGATTATTAATTTATTTATTTAATTATATAACTATCATATTATAGTAACATTGAAGGCAATTTTCTTGTTTTTTCTTTTTCAAATTTATATATATATATATATATATATATATATATATATACATATATATACCTATATATATATATATATATACATGTATTTTACTATATATATATGTATATACATATTTTAAATTTCCAATCGCGTTATTTTACTTTTATTTTTAGATTAATTACAAAAGAAAGGAAAAAAAACTTTTCTTTTTGCTATTTTTTATAATATTCTCAAATTTTATAAAATTATAATTATTGTTATTTTTTTATATGTATTTTTTTCTTCAACTTTTCTTCTACTACATCAAATTACAAATTCACAGCATTCAATTTTGTTTATTTATTTATTTCTTTTTTATTTAATTATAATTTTTTTTTAAATAATTAAATTTTGAAATTTAAGTTTTTTTTTGTTTTTTTGTTTTCCGCATTTAAATTGAAATTTTATATATTTTTAAATACTTTTATCTTGTTGTTGTAAGATGAACCATTGAAAAGAAAATGTTTCAATTAAAGAATTTTCCATTTGGAAATACAATACTTTCAAAATAAAAGAAAAAAAATGTACATGTTTATTATTATGCTTATAATAAAACGTTTTCACTTTTTTTTCTTTTATTTTTAATTCAAATTTTGTTATTTATTATTTGGGTACATAATGGTATATTGTATATGTATATCATAATTATATCCGTTCGTTTTTCAGGTTTGATAAATAGTATAATATTGAAATATATAGTCCTATTTTATTTATTTTATTATTCTAAATTTGAAAATTTTTGTTATCCATCATTTGTATCTTGATTATTAATAATATTTGTTAAATTCTATATAGGTGGTGGTCCATTTGGGTAAGTTAACATCGGTTCTAAACTTCTAGCAAATGTATTTGAAAACATACATGTATAATCATCACCGTGGGGGACAAGTGTGGCAACACCCAAAAGTAATAGCATGAGAGCTTGAATAGGTAGTGAGGCACGTATTACTCGGCCTAAAAATCGATAACCTCTCGCAAGTACGGTTGTATTGATCTCTTCGTCGGTATTTATATCGTCGATACTATAAAATTTTATGAAAAAAAAAAGAATATTATTAAAAAAATTGTATAATTATAATATTTAATTAATTATTGTTTCAGTTTGTACATATATTTTTTAAATTAATAAACTAATTTTAAATATACACATCATTTTAATATTAAATTGTTTCAATTGCAAATCTTTCTCAAAGAAATAAAATTGCTTATTTCAAATTTTTTAATCTTTCATTATTAATTTGTTTATATATTTTATAAAATATAATATCTTTAAAATTATATTGAACAATTTAGAGACAAAAATACATATATAGTTTGCATGGTATATAGTAGATAATAACATAATAAGTAAATACTTAATTTTTATAATATTTATCAATGTTTTTAAATATTTGCAAATTAAAATCATTAATGTATATACAAATAGTTAAATAATGCATGCATTTAATTAATATTTTTGAATTGTATGCGAATCATCATTAAGAAAATTTTATCAAACAAATTGCATTATCATACATATTAAAATTTTGAAGTATCAAATTTAATGCCAAGTATAAAAAATAATGGATGCTTTTATATCAATTACTAATTTAGATTCAGTATAATTGTTAAACATAATTTTATTGGTTTAATGCTTGATTTATCGGAACAACACAGTTTTTTCGATAAATTTAATACATGATGCAGAATGTTTTTATGAAGTACCATAATATTTGACAAAATTGTTTAAATATTGTCTAAAATTTAATTATTACAATTCCAAATTGTAATTTCAAATATTAAATGTTTATCAGTCACATAAGTTATTTAAGTTAATTTTAATTTAGTTTACTGGAAATTCGCATACAACTTAGAGCAAAATTATTTTTTTTTTAAATTTATTTACATAATAATGGTGCAAACAGTGTTTTATAAAATCAATTCAAAACATTTTTCACACACAAAAAAAAAATTCTTTTTCCACATTTATATTTTAAATTTTACTTTTTTTTTTGTAGAAATCCAGTTTAAAAATTTTTAAGAAATAAAAACATGAAAAAATTAATAAATAAACAAATAAAATTATAAATCTACAATATTTACTTTGCACTGTCAGTGGAATGTGATGTTGCCAGAACAGAAGAAGAAGATGGCTGGATCCTTGATCCTTCCAGAAGCTGCTTATATTTATAATTTTACCAAAATCAAGAAAATTATAATAATAAAAATAGAAAAACAAATGTATAATAAAATAAATAAGGTATATAATAAATAAAATATAAAAAATAATATGAAATTTAAATTATATAAAATTAAAATTGATAAAAATACAAAAAAAAATAACAAAATGCAGAGAATACCAATTTTTATTTAATTAAAACGTGATCTTTATAAAATTAAATCAATATTAATAATATAATATTCAAATTCAATTAATTTAAAGTACCAAAGAAATACAGCCTACATATTATTATTATTATTATATTTATTTATTTATTTAAAAACACGCAAAACTTTTTATATTTTTGAAAAGTTTTTGGAATTCATATTATATTTCTTATATCCAAAATTGTTTAGATATAAATTAAAACATGTCTAATTTAATAAATAAATAAAGAAACATGATTCCTAAAAATTTTCAATATTTATGTATAAAAAAAAATCTTCTATTTTTTTATTTATTTTAATTTCTTTATGATTTTTTTATTTCTTTTAAATTAATGTTTCTTTTTCTTACCTCACTTGATAAAGCATGTAATGATACTCCTAAATTGTCACTGTCATAACCTAGAACAGCTCCTAATTTAACAATATATATTCCAGATAATCTTCTAAGGGATTGTAATCTTAGCCTTAAATCAGTTAACCTGGAAAGTGTTCTTTAAAATTTTAGTTTTGGCATGTAGTATTAGATCTATTTAAAAAAGCAAAAAAGATGTTAAAACGGGCGGTCCGAAAAACAAAACATATGTATGCATGTATGTAGAAGAAAATTATAAATGTAAATGGTTTTTTTTTGATGTAGTATATATTATATAGAATAAATAATGGTTTATGAAAGAATGTTTTAAATAAATTTTACTTTTAGGTAATATGATTGTAATAATATGGAGGAATATGAATTATAACATTATAACATACATATTTTCTAAATGAAGACTACTGTAGAATGTGAAAATGTTATATTATTCTAAAATAAAATAATATCTATGTATATAAAAATATATTAAATACCAAATCCCTAAAATATTTTTAAAATTTAAATTATTTTATATTTAGAGTTTGAAAATTTTAACAGAAGAGTTAACTTCATATTTAATATGAAGTACTATTTGAAACATGTGTTTAATAATTAAGTAGTATAATGATAAATGATTTCAGTTACGTGATTTTCAGCTTGTGAATGTTTTGATATAGTTAAAATCAGAACAAAACAAGCAGCTTAAACTAAATTATTTAGTTAAATATAATGTATTATTCTATTAGGAACAATAAGTATTTCAATCAACATGTATATACTGTAAATCTAATTGTAATATTAATAATTTTTGAATTTTTTCTAATAATTTCATTAATTTTATTAAAAAGTAATTGTATTAATGTGGACTATTATTAAATTTTGTTATTAGAGTGTTTGAAAGAATATTAAAATTATTTTACTATAATAACATTTTGTATATATAAGATAAAATAAAAATATAATTTAATTTAGGTATAGTATTCTGTAAAAGTACATTTTTTTAAATAACATTTGAATAAAAAATGGCTTCTATATGATTATTTGAATTTTAAAATAATATGAATCAATATTTAAAAAAAACAGAGGTAATAAAGGAAATATTCAAAAGAGAAATATTTTCAAAACAAAATAACATTGAATATTAAAGCACTACATATTTGATAAATAATTGTATATATATACACGATATGTAATATATAATATCGGCCGCGGTACCGACTACAAAAATATTTTGCATATATTATGCAATCGATCCGCCCCTCCGAACATAAAATTATTATTTTACCTTGTATATATATTTGTTGAATCTTCACTATTTGCTGTTGCTTTTAATAATTGATCAGCAGCATCTTGTAAGCTAACAACTCTAGGTTCACAACGTTCTAATTCAGATCTTAATTCTTTGAATTTTTTAAATTTAGCCTCTAATAAACTTCTTTCTTCAGTTAAATCAACGGGTTCTGACGCTTTGATATTTTGTTCAGTCATTTGTAACCATTTACATAATTCATCAATAATTTGATGAAATTCTTTATTACCCATTAATGCTGTTTGTAATGAATTTTGCCATTTTGTTGCATTTAAACATACTTTATTCCAACGTTCATTATTTTTTTCTAAACGTTTCCGTAATTGTTGTGCTTTATCAGTATCTAATGTATGTGTTGCTAAATGATCACCAACAACATTTAAGGATGCAATAATACTTTTATGACTTTCTAAATCTAATAAAAATTCCCGATGATCTTGTACAATATCTTCCAACTGTTCAATATTATTTGGTGGTGAGCCTTGATTTTTTTGTGTTCCCTCAGCAAATTGAAGCCACTGTTCCAGGCGCCATAGATCATTATCAATTTGTTGCCAGTTTCTTTGTGTACATAATGGACACGTAAGACGACCGGCATCACTGAAATAATATAATTATAAAGTTATAAAAGAGACTAATTAAATATTTTTTTCTTTGTGAATTTTATAAAATATTGGAATTTTACAAGATTTTTGAATTTTACAATATTTGGATAAGCGTACAGTACAATACAGCTAATGAAATAAATAAAAACTATAAAACGTAAATTAAATTAAAAGCAAAATTAGTTAAAATTTATTCTAAAATACTTACTGTGGACAGATGAGGTTGTAAGCAGCAGTTATGCATGTTCTTTAGAAGGATATTTTATATATTTTTATATATTTTTTGATTGAAATTATTGTATGGTTATATGATGGAAGGAGAATTTTATATATAGTATTGAATGTTTTTTAGTTGTGTTTTTATAGGTTAAATTACGAAAGCATCATATGTTTTAGAAGCATGAAAAATAGTACAAAAAAACCAAAAACCAAAATTAATTTTTTTCATTATTATTTATGTATAGCTTAATATAAATATTATTGATATATTAGGTAGTTATTTGGAATATTTGTTTAAAATTTTTAAATTGTAAAATATTCCGAAAATTATATAGAATATTAACTTCTCACGTACGTTATGAGTGGAGAAGTCAAAATTTATGCTTTTTTATTGTGGTAATCACGAATTATTTTTATTTAAACAATTTTTATTATTTTAAACATTTTTTCTATTTTAAATACATTTTGCATTATAAATAAATTAAAACATTTCATTTATTCATTACTTGTTATTATGCAGATTTTTTACAATAATTTCACAAAAATATTATTGAATTTAAATTAATGTAAAACATTTAAAAATTTCCAAACAACTAAATTATATCCCAAAATTATACAAATTTTAAATTAATTAATATAAAAAAAAAACCTTAATAATAATAAAATTATGTTGCATACAAAATTATATCGATCAAAAAAAAACGAATAAAATTTTATAAAAAATTTTAGGAATTTTGAAATTAATTAATCATATACATACACGAAATATTTAGTGAAATTTATAAAATTTTGCTAGCAACATTCATTTATATTTATGTTTATTTACAACTAAAACTACAAATTTAAAATAAAAATAAATAGTATTTAAGTTTAGAGTTATACTTTTACTTATTTATATGATACGGAAGGAAGCCATCATTCAATTTTAACCAGAAAAATTTAAAGTGAAACATAAAAAATTGGGATTTATAATCAGTAACAACTTATTCCCGAAAATTTGCATTTGATGGAATACGTCTCATCATTATCATTCTTTACTTTGATCCATTTTTACATTTATTGGGGAAAGGCAATTTCCTAGAGCTATTTTAAAGACACTATTTAAAATTATAAATCATCGATGGATTCAGCAGGAGTTTAGATAATATAATTTTAATGGCAAAAATCAAGGATGATCTATAATTTTTGTCAAAACTGAATTTTTCATTATTTCATAGTTTGGCCTATCTTAAAATATATTTAAATAGCTTCAGTTTTAATGACACGATTATTATAAATTTGTGATCTTTATCTAACGGACGGGGTAAATACAAAAAAACTTACATTTGTAACAAATTTATACTTATCTTAATTTTTCATTTAAGAGTTTAACTATTCTATTATTTTAATCAAAAATACTTTTTTTTTAATTTGAAAAAAGGATCTTCAAACAATTTATCAAAGCTAAATATGGAAATGTCTGTAGAATTCTACATTTACTTTTTTGTAATAGGAAGGATATAAATATGAAAAAATTAATTACAAAGAAAACTCAAAAGCCCTCAAATGATTGTATATCAGCATAAAGTTTTTAATTTTACCTTGCTTCTTGATCTTTTTGTTGTCTACTCTTCCATTGCGAAACTAATGTATCAAATCTTAAAGATAATTCTGTTACAGTTTCAACTTCAGCTTCTTCATTAGTACCAGAGCATTCATTTATTAATGTTGAACTTAAATGACGCATTAATTCAACTGATGATTGACAACTTGCCATTAATTTTGATATTTTTTGTGGTCCCGGTTTTTTATTTGGATCGGTTATAGCTTTTTGCAAATCATCTAAATTTGATGTGCATTCGGCAATAGCTGTAGCTAATTCCATAATATATGCATCTTTAGCTGTTATAGAAGTCATACGTGGTAACATTTTCTTTTTGGTTAATGTATCAACTTGTACAGCTGAATCAGTTTCTAGACGTTTTGGTGTTTCAATTGTTTCTTTTACGGCAACAGCAGCTACTTTAGCAGCTTGACTGGCTAAACGAGTCGCAATATCAGCTTTAATCATAATCAAACGACTGCTAACATCTTTCCAAAGTAATTGATATTCGGTTATTAAACGTACAATATTGGCAGCATCATTAGTATTCAATCGATTTTGAACATCATTACCTAATGAATCAGTTTCATTTAAATTATTTTCAATTTGTTTAACTTCTCTTTCTAGACGATTAATTTTATTTTGTTGTTCCTCTGGAGAAATTTCATGTGGTTTTGTTAGGTGTTGTAATTGTGTTAACTCAGCGTCAATCTGAGATAGTCCCATAACAATTTTACCGTGATTATTTATAAATTCCCGATAAATTTGCATATCTTTATTCAATTTACCAATAACATCATGAGCTCTTGGAATCAAACTCTTCCACTTGGTAATGGCAACTTTTGATGGACTAAGTAATTTTTGGATATTTTCGGCTTCAAGCCCATCAGTCATAGCTAATTTACCATATAATTGTTCAAAAGATTTCAAAGATGCATCACGATTTTCAATTTGTTTTATTAAAATATCTGTTTTTTCAATGTGTTCTGATATTTTATCTTTTGGTAATTTATCTAAATCTTTTTCTAAATTCAAAAGTTCTGAATCGATATTTTGTAACCATGGTTCATGTTGAGCTGTCGCTTTTTGAATTTCTTGCAATGAATTCCATACACTCATAATCCGTTTCTTACGTTCTGTTGAAAGGTTACAAACTTTTTTCCATTTGCTTTCAATATCTTGGATAGCAGTAGCAATTTGAGCAGTATTAAAGTGAACTTTCCAAGTATCAACATCATTTAATAACATTTCACAGAGATTCAATATTTCACCAATATTACCACTTTCATTTTCTATTTGATGTTGAATTTCTTCATGATCTTTTATTTGTTTTTCGATTATTTCCGGTGTAAATGATTCAAATACTAATGGTTTTGCTATTTGCTGTGTTTCCATTCGGAAAAGCCATTGTCGAATATCAGCTATACGATCTTCTAATCTTAGTATTGTCATTTTAAGATCATTCAATTTATTTGAACGTTGTTTACATAAATATTTTAGACGTTCCCATTGGTCAATTAAACTATCAGTCTTATATTGAACTTCACTACGGATTGTCTCAGAATTTTCTGTATTTTCATTGTACATTGTAAATAATTCCCGGCCAGTCGATAATATCCACTCACGTTCTTTTTGACGTAGTTGCATTTCTGATTCAATTTCTTTTTCTAAATTTTTGATAACGTCCTCTGGATTTCGGATGTGTGGTGCGTTCATTTCACGATCAATACGATTTTCGGTTTCATTCATCCAACGTGAAAGTTTTTCATATCTGGTATTAAAGAAGGTATTAAGTTGTAAACGTTCTTCGATAGTATTTATTAACGTTGATAATTGCATATCAATATCACAATGTTGTTGCCAGAGAATCCAAATCATCTGTCGTATTGACTTCATATCATACGGCGAAATACACTCTTTTAGTTCCTCTTGGATGACATTAAGACTTTCAAGTTCATGCATTAAGTTTGCTATTCGCATTCTTTGATTTCGAAGTAACCCTAAACGTTCTTGAATAGAATTAGCATTTGTTGGCATAGATTCATTTGTATTTTCAATTAATTTATTAACGTCATCAAATTCTGATTTTAATTTGGACACTTTGTTATCATAAGTATTTTTTAAATTATCAATTTTATTGAGAAAACCTTTCCATGTTTCTAAAGCGGCTCTTAAATTATTAATTCTTTGACTAACTGAAGCATGTTCCATACGGATTGAGGTAGCCAATGCATCATCACAGAATTTTAATAAATTACTTTGTTCTTCTTTTATTTGTTGGGCCATATTTTCGCCAACTGGTATATTTTGTAATAATGAGTCAATTTTTTGTTTTAATTTTGGTACCCTTTTTACACTAATATACCTTAATTGCAAATTTGATCTTTCTTTTTCTAATTCTTTTAGCCATTCTTGTAAATTATTTATATCCGAACGATATGTACTCCATGTTGAGATACGATTTTCAATTTCATTATTACGATCCATAATTTTGGATAAAGTTTCATTATGCATATTTGTTAATGAATTAAATTGTTCGGCAACACTTGGATCTGATTCTGAATACATTGATAAAATTGATTGTTGACTAGTTAAGAGATTCTGGTGAATTTCACATAAATGATGATGTTCTTTAAGACTTGAATAATCATCTGGTATGGCACATGATAGGAAAGATTGTACATGTTGTAAATATTGACGCCATAATTTTAATGCTTGTGCGCTATCTTGACTACGTATTAATCTTGATGATAATCTATGATATTCTTGGAAGGTATCACGGAAAATACGTTGCCATAACTCCAAAACTTCAATAATAGATGCTTGTTCCATATCTGAGTTACGATCTTGAAGATCTTTTAGTTGTTCTTCAGTTTTAGTTAATGTTAATAAATGAGATCTTAAGGTATTCAACTGTTGTTCACTTTCATCTTGAGTTTTTGGAGTTCGTTTAATATCCTAAAAAAAAGGAAAAAAATTAATTTTTAAAACATTTTGGATATTGTTATTGTGATAAAATACATAAGAGTTCAATTTGTTAAACTCAAGAGATTAATCTATAATCAAATATTTTTTTTGAAGAAATTACAAAACAACAACATAAACTATTGTAAAACAAAATGAAATTTCAATATCCTTTCAATTATCGATTTAAATTTTTTTTTATAAATACAAAATCCAACATTATAATGCTACAAAAACTTAAATCTAATTATTTTCAAATAATTTTCAATGTTAAATGTGGCCCCCATAGAAACCCAAAAAACCCAAATTAAATTAAAAAAAAAATTGTTGCATATATTTTTATAGTTTAACCACAAACTTCGAAATTGGGTTAAGAACTAAGTTAATTTAATCTTCCTTTCGTAATGAAACTATAATAAAACATTTATTTACTATTTATTATTGATGAGGAGTGGGTTAGAAGGTTTGCGAAAAATTCGAGAATTTATATTGCTAAACAAATTGTTCATATGATTCCTGTACATTTATCAATTGCTTGTTTTGTAACAATATGTGGAGTTTTAGAAGGTCATTATCAGAAACATAACACATTACGATACTATATATAGAAATATATATGCATGTAAAATTAGAAATTTAAATTGAATAGTATAAATTAACAATTAAATTTTCACACAGATATGTATGTACATATATCTATATGAGAATCAACTGCACAAGAAGTGCAATAGAAAATAAATAAAATTAAACTTTCATAAACGTACAAATTAAAGTGGAATTAGTGCGAATCTATACATTGGAATGCTTTGATTTTATTTTTTTTTCTTGGTTCTATTATTTTCTATTTCTTTTTGCAATTATTGTTGAAAAATTTTTTTGTTTAATATTTAGTCACGCAACGATATTTTGTAAAACGTTTTTAGATATGTTTGTATAAATTTACCTATACACACATTTATATTCATGTGCAATACCAGCAAAATATTTTGAGATATTTCACGTGCACGCTAACTGTGTACATACTTATAATTATATTAATAAAATAAGCCACTCTAAAGGAAATTAATGCAATACAAAAAAACGCATGTCTTATAAATTTTTATTTTAATATAGAATAGTAAAAAAAATTTATGAAGAATAATTTGAATTAATTATTTAATTATTGCAAAAAAAAACATTAAAGATTTTAATAGATAAATAATAAGTGTTGTAATATGGATATATTTATAAGATTTGAAATAAATAGTTTAATAATTTGTTGTTCCTTTCTTATTCTTGGATTACCTAAACATTTTATATTATATTTAAGGAATCTATTATAAAAATAATTAAATTATTGATTTTTTATTAGTAGTTTTCATACAAAAAAAAAATAATAATGCATAATAAAAAAATTTCGCAAAATTCTCATAATTTTTGAGATTTTGGTTTTTTAGGATTCTTTCTAAAAAGAATTTTTCCATATAATTTTCGCCTATAACATGTCAAAATAAATAAAAAACATAATATAAAAATTTTATCTATTTAAAAATACTATAAATTTTTGTTATTAAACAAGAAACTAATATTATACATTATATAATATAACAAATTTTTAAACGATACAGAAAATTTAACAATTTAAATTAATGCCAGTGTATTAATAGACAATATATTCCTACATCAGAGAGGATAATAGGTATGACAAATTATTTTACTCCTAAATTTTTATCAAAAAGAAAACAATAATTCTTATGATTTACGAGTATTATGTTCAAAAAAAGAAAAAAAACATAGAAAATTATAGCTGTCTAGCTTATATACCTTTTGAACATTATTGAGGTAGGCTCTAGCTTGTACAACATTTTCATCAAATTCATTACGATCTTTTGCTTGTGTATCAGCAACATCAGCTAATGCTGTTAAACTTTGTTTTATATCTTTCAAACGATGACCAAGTTGATCTAAATCATTTTGTAAAAGATTTGATGCATCTAAGCCAACATCTGTAGCAATTTGTTGAACAATTTCACGTAATTCAGCTAAACGCGTATCTTGTTCTTCAATGGAATCTTGACAATCCTATATATTTTTTATCAAATAAATAAATATTAAAAAATTTATAAATTAAATAATAATGGAAAAATAAAATAAAGAATTAAATTAAATAAGTTCATTAATTATTTTGAGTCTCAATTCATATTTTAAAATATTAAAATTGAATTAATAAATAATTTTAATACTTTTTTATGTAAATTCATTTGAGATAATATATATTATATTTTAATATATGTATGTATAAATTAAATTAACTATTCTAAGTTAATTATGCTAAAGTATTTGTGTATTTGAAAGGTACCCTGCTGAAATAATTTAAATAATTGATGAGCAATTTAATCTCCATATCTCCATAGATGCATACACAATCTTGCATTATCCATATTTAGCTATGCATAATTCAACAATGAAATTTTTAAGTTTAATTTAAAATTTATTTATAAATTTCTATTTTGAATCTTTCAAAATAAAAAATCAGTGTACATTACAAAATATAAATTGATCAAAAACATGATATTAAAAGTATTTATGCCACTTCTTTTTATTACTATTTAATTTTATTTTTAGTATATTTTTTGATTAAGAAAATTTATATTTGTATATTGCCAGGAAATGGGGTTTTATTAGATTTTTATGCAAATGATATTTTAAAACCATTCGAATTTTTAAATTATTATAATTATACGGTGTATAAAAATGACAAATTATAAACCCATTTAGATTATAAGATTAAATATGAAAAACGAAAAATTTTATAAAATTCGAAAGTATATTAAATTTTTAAAAAATGTGATTCATTATTGATTTTATCAATGATTTATTATTGGATCTTTAATGTAATATGCATTACATCATAATTTGATTTTTAACTATTAATATATTTATGACTAATGAGCATAATTTAATTACAATATTTTTGAAATTATGTCAGACCTGCATATTTCGTTAGAAATTGAAGTACTTAAATTTGTAAAATTATAATATATTTTTCAAAAATACTTTTTTGATTATGAGAAAAGAGAGAACGTCTTTATGTTTTCAAAGAAAAAATTTACAATTCACACAAGATTTATAAAGTTTTGTAATGTATTTGTGTATGTATTTTAAAAATAATGATGTCTATGATTTTTCTATCCTATTGAATACGTTTTAATTTACTTGAAGGCCATTAAATTTGATATACTTAAAAATTCTTAAAATTAATTCTTTGTATTGTTTGTAAAAAGTTTTTGAAGAGCCTTCTATACTTAGTTTGAAAGTTGATTGGATGACTAGACCGAAAACAGAAATAGCCAAAAACAGCAGAAAAAAAAAAGAAATTGTAATTTTCTTTCAAAATTAAGCAAATATTGTCATATGGCACTTAATTGAAAAGGGCTTTTCCAGATCTACAACTTTGTTGCATTATTCCATTTCGTGACTCATAACAAATTAATTTTATGCATGAATTCTAAATTTGTACACTTAAAAAATTGTTAATATATTTTAATATACTGCTAAAAATAAATTTAAAATAGTTTTAAAACATTTTCCAACTAAAAGTAAAAAAAGTTCTACATAAAATATTAAAAAATAAAATCGAATTTTATTTTATGCATTACAATAAAAAATATTAAAAAATTTAAAATTATTTTAAATTTGCAAATTAGATTTGAAAAAAATTCAAATGCTTCGATTTTTTTCATTATTTTTATTTTAAACTCTTTACTTCAATAAATTGTAAGTGTAGAAAATAAAAATAAATAAACTGCTTGTATAAAAACATTCTATCTTTTCTATTAAAAATAGTTTATAAAAAATAGATTTACAATATTGTAAAAAAGTGAATTTGTTTTTTTTTTTGCTTTTTTGTTCTGCAATTTAGTTTTTCTTTTTAACAAATAATATTTTTTTTCAAACAAATTTTCTAAACAAAATACAAAAATAAATTGAAACAGAAACAGTCTAGTACTTTTATTTTCAATTTAGAATTAAGGGCTTTGAGGCCAAATATTTGAATTATTTTTTCTACTTTTTAAAAATAGTTCATTTAATTAAAAATGTAAATGATGTTTGCACAAGTATATATATATCTCGTTATGTATATATCTCGTATGTAATGTTTTGTAAGTACGAATGTTTGTGTTATATTTGCTTTAAATTTTATCATGTAAATTAGATCATTAATTATATATTATTGGTTTATTAAACAACAAAGAAAATAGTTAGTCTAAATATGAATTATATATCATATCTGAAAAATTTGCTCTTATAATATTTTTAAATAATATAAGGTAAGTGTTCTATAAGTAAAAGGCAATTGATAAAATTTGCAAAAAAAGATTGGCAAGAATCACCAAAATGAAAACAAATTAAGCAGTTCTTTTTGAAATCTTTATAACATTTAATGCATTTAATAGAGAAACAAATTCAAAAAGAAATTTCTAATTTTTCATAAAATGACATTGATTTTGTAAAAATACACTTACTAAAGAGTTACTTGAACATTATAAGTAGTCAAATATGAAATTCATTGCGATCAGAATAGTACTTAAGTATGTATGTACAAAAATGTATGAGGAACGGCAGTAAATTAATATTTAGACATCAAGATTTTTGCTTAGTAAAAAGTAGAACTTAAACAGGTTATTTTTTTCTTTATAATATTTACGGCGGTAATGATAATTTGAATGTTTTTTATTACGCAGAATTTTTTTATGAGATGTTTTTGACTCTGTATTTTTACTATTACTATTGTCGTTAAATTTCTTTATTCGTCTTTTTAAAATTATGTATTTAAATTTTCTAAATAAAAAAAAATAAAAAAAAATTGTTTCTAGTTCTTGTTTGACTACCAAATATTGAATATATCTTGTAATTTAATCACGTGCCTTAACCAGAATATTATATGTTTGTATGTATTATAATTATATTTATTTGGTTGGGGAACAATTCGCCTATACTTAATTTTAATCTTCATACTATGATGATGTCATACCAAGAAGTTTTTTTCAAATATTTTAATAATGTGGTCGAATTTTATTCTGAAAAAAATTTAGGCGGTAAAAAGATATAGTGTATTTTGTTAAAAACAAAATCTTGATAATTTTTTCTTTCTTTAACTTTCTTTACAATATTATTATTTTTATTGAACTAAATATGGAAAGTGTTACAATCATTAAACGGTTTGTTTTAAAGAAAATAAAAAATAAAGGTGTGTTTTCTATAATATTAATAATTTTTTGATGCCTTTTTACAAAAAATTTTATTATTATGTACCCATATACTTTGTATTTTTAAAATTTTTGATAAAAGATGTGGGTGAAATTATAATTGAAATTGTAGTTAAAATATATTTGGTTTTGGATAAGAATAAAATTTTTCTATTTCAAATTATAGGTAAATACTTTAATTTTAATTTTTATTTATTTAAAACAATAAAAAAAATTGAGAATTCTATTAAATTTTTAATGAAAAAATTATAGCTAATAGATTGTATCAAATATTTTCAACGCTTTATTCGAAATAATAATTAAATACTTAAGCTCATAAAACTTAAGCTTAAAATTTTAATTGTATTTGAATTTTATACAATATTTAATTCTTGCCCTCTATTGAATATTATAAAAGAAATATTTATTTATTTATTTAGTTACAATTCAGCTCAGTTACTAGTATACTCTATTACTATAGAGCTTAGTCTGCTTTCTTAACTCATATTAATTAACAATACATACTAGTAAAATGAACAAATGAAATGTAAATTGAACATAAAAATTATAAACACTCAGTGTATTTAATTGGGAATAAATTTTTAAATATACATATTATAAAAAAAATATTTAAATGTATAATTGTATTTTTAATTGAATTTGGGAATAAAAGAAATAATAAATAAAATGTAATTGATTTTAATCATTTCATCATTTTCGTTTTTAAATTTCAGATCGCCAAAAGTTTTTTAAGCTTTGGGTGCGGTCTCAAAAAACAAAAAATAGGAAAAACAAATAAAAATTTAAATAGGTCGTCATACAGAAAACAAAAATGTAATTGTGTAAATTAAATGATTACAAAATGTAAAAATAATTACAAAATATTATTTCTGAATTATCAATTTTTCTTTTGAATAAAGTTTTAATTAATCGAAGAAGATTAAATTAAAAAGAGTTTTAAAGACATGCGAACTTGTAATATAATTTTTATACTAGGCAATAATGCATTAAGTAAAAATATTTAAATTTTAAAAATATTTTAGAAAACAATAATGTTAAATATGTCACGTGAAGTGATATATGTATATGTATGTTACTTCTGTCAGTAAAAAAGTTAATAAATTCCAATTATTGCTAAATATCTTCCTTGTGGTTTTAATAAAATTTCGACAGAACCACATTATTTAATTATTCATGTGCTTGAGACTCAAAATTAATTTTAATACAATTGATAATATATGAATATTTTGATTTCGTATCTATGTAAAACAAGTTCATTTTAAATGAAATTGGAATTTGAAATAATTAAAAAAAATTCAATAAATTTTAAACTTAGCTTTTACCGTTTTAATTGTCTTACGTTTCTCCTTCTTGCAAAGTGTGAAATAATTTGTTTTCAAGCATGTATGGTATAATAATTTTAATCTAATTATATATGTATGTAGATATGATATATGTACATATTTAGTAATGACAGCATATCAAAATTACAATTAAAAGAAAGTTATTAAGTTATAAATACAAACTTGCATAAAATTATTAATTTGTTAACATTTATTAACGAGTGTAAACCAGATTTTATGTTGATTAATTTGTTACATATTTTATAATAATTATAAATACTAGTTATTAAAATTATTATATTCACGCATTTATACACATTATGTTCAATATCTATAACTGTTTGTGAATTTATTTACAAAATGTGTAACATCAAATTGAATGATAAATGGCTTAAAAAATTTCAATTACATTTATGCATTGATTAATATTTGAAAATTATGATATATTTTTTATTAAATTTTAATGGTCAACTCTGGTTGTTCTCATTCTTTTTTTCTTTAACTTTAAAATAAGCAATTTATTTCAGAATAATACTAACATGGTAACGTAAAGTATTTATTGGTAACTCAAACATTATAGTAGCTTTAACATTAACATTAATCACGGGTCAATTTTTTTATTTCTATTTTATTTTTATTACAGTGTTTAGCTCAAATATATTACAATCAAATTATTACAGTGAAATTGGGTTATTATATAAATTTAATTTTGGAATTTTAACATTGGTAGTCAACATTTATTACTATAATATTTTTGCACATCATAATTTTTGATTATAATCACACCTTAGTATCATACATACATTAAACTCTCAACTATGCATATAGTATATTAATTCATAGAACTCTAACATTTAAGAAAGATAACTTGAACAATATAAGCATAATTAAAATTAATTAATATTTTAAGTGATACAATATTTTTTTGGTAAATAAAACAATTACGTTAAAGTTATCACATTTATATATATGACTTTAATCTGGGATATGTACAAATGTGTAAAGTGTAAATAACCGAAAGTGTTTAATTAATTCTTTCATTCGGTTTCTGAATAAGCTTTTGTTTTTTTTTTGAACAAAAATTTTTGAAGAAAATATTTTTCTTATCTCTTTCATAAATTAACAAAAAATTTTAAAGAAACTTTTTATCTTATAAGCATACATAAAATGTACATAAAAAACAGATAATTTTTAAAGTAAATGTATTTTTTTTGAGTTTACTTTTCTCAAAATACCAAAACCAAAGAAAACAAAGTGAAGACTTTATAAAAAAAAATAACCGCGTATGCTTTGCATGAAGAATGTATAGAAATTTCTATTTCAACTAATAATAATTATCACAATAATTATTGTTATTTCCTTTCTTTTTTGTAACATCAAAAATTTTGTACTATTTACTACAATCACTCTGAACAGCGTTTAGTTATCGGTGCTGGCATACGTTTTCTCTTTAAAATTATAAAATATCAAGATGGTTTTTTTTTTACAATAGTTTTGGACTTATTTTCTTAAAAATGTAGAATAAAATAAAAAAAGATAAAAAAAATTAACAAATTTATAGTTTTCTATTGATTTTTGTTTTTTTTTTTGTTTGCTTTTATAATTTTTACATATTATATTATGTAGATGAGACTCAATAATAATTATAAAAATCGAAGATTATTATTTATGAATTGTCACTTACCTTAACATGTTTTAATGTATCCAATGATGTTGATGTTGAACATGGTTTTTGTAAATTTTCTAATGTTTCCATTTGTTTTTTAGACCAATTTTGTATAACATTTGATGCTTTACGATATTTATCCCATAGCTCAACAGCTCTTTGATATCTTGTACGTAATATATGTAAATTTTCACATGTTTCATTCCATGCAACTAATGCATCTCTAACAGATACTTCAATTTGTTCAGCTATTTCAGAATCACATGTATCAATAAGAGGTTTTGATGAATCTTTAAGATCTTGTAATAAATTTTCACGATTTTCTAGATCACCAGATAATCCCTATATAAAATTTTTTTTATGTTATATAACACTTCATTATAATATATGTATACATTTAACACATTAAAAGCAAAAAAAAAAGAATTATAAAAATTACCAAAAAAAAAATAAATAAATTATTATTTAAAATCTAGTTTTTTTAAAATCACTATGTAATAAAATTATTTATATTTAAAACAATATGTGTTGAGAGGAGAGGAAAGTAAATCAGTGAAATATTTAAGTATCAAGTTATCAATATTACCAATTAGAAAATGAGTAAGCTGTCCATTGAACTTTTATATTATACAAAAAATAATTTACATTAAAGGCTACATGAAAAAAATTATAATTAGTAATTATTTACTTAGCACTTGTGATAGACAAATATGGATTTATATAATACGTATGTAATATGATTAATGATAAGAATATTGTAAGGGATTAATAATGGCGTTATGAAAATGATTTTATATTATTATTGTGGAAGGTAGAGGTAAAAGAGTTATTCTCTCATTTTGTTTTCTTTAATTAAATAACTAACAATTTTTTAATATAGCAAAAATAGCATTTTTTTATAACGCGTTTTGTGTTTGTGTAAATTCTATAATTTTTTTTATTTATTTATATGTTATGTGCGTAACTTTTATATGCATAACAGCTTATTCATAATACTTGTTCACAAAATCATACATGATGAAAAATAACATTGGTAATTAATGGTACTAATTTTGTTTTGGTTTCCTTAATTATGATCAAAATGTAAAATTTTAATTATTTCAAAAAATTAAACACGTTATTTATTTTAAAACCCGTTGTTTTTTTCGTTTTTAATAATTTACACCGTTCTATACCGCAGTTCATCGCGATAAGTTAACTTATACTGAATAGAAGAATAACTCTATTCAGTATGAGTTAACTTATCGCGAGCAATAACAATTTTTTGTTTGCTTTTTTTTTCGTTAAAAAACATTTTAATTTAAATTTTTTGGTGGAGGTAATTTTGTAAAAACAACAATAAAAAATTAAAAAGCTACATTACGTTAAAAAGGGGGAAAAAAGTTAATAATAGAAAAAGTTTATTTTTTTCAATTTCTAATTTTTTCTAATATAAAACATTAATATAAAAAAAGCTTCTTTTATCATATAGCGAATCATAACGAAACAAAAACAAATCATGATAAAAAACAAAACTATTGAATATGGTTTTGGTTTGGTAATTTGGTAATGTTTATAAAAAAAATTAATGCCTACAAGTTTACTTTAATAAACTTTGTAATTCTTTATTATTTTTCTTTTTTACATAAAAGAAAAAGAAAGCACAATATAAACAATTTCGCTTTTGTAAGTTAACCTTCAAAATCCCGACTAATACCACTTTTAAAAGAAGCCGGCCCACATTGTACATTAAGGTGCTTTCATACAACATACTTTTATAATTTTCATAAAATTAAAAGTAATCAAATTTTCAACTTGAATAATTTTCCTGTTGCTCCAGTTTTATCTAGTTAGGTGTTAATCTTACAAATATTTTGAAAATATTTACTTATTACATTTTTATGATTTTTAATTATTTTGAATTTGTATGGATATATAGATTTATTTTACTTTGGTAATTTTTATAAATTAAAATTATACTACTTTAATAAGCTAGATATATATAATTATGGATTTAAGTACAAATAGAACAAAATTATTGGTTACCTCAAGTCTTTCTGTTGCTTTCTTTAAACGTTCATAATCAACTTGCCCGTGAACTTTTAATAATTCCATCATAAAATCGGTTTCTTGAATTGATACGTGTACAATTTCTAATAGTCTTTCATAACGTCCCCATAATGCTGATCGCCCTTGTAATAAAAGCAATATATTTCCACATCGAGTCTCTAAGAACGCATGCTCATCTTGTATATGTGAGATATCACGTTCTAATCTTACAGGCGATACAGACATTCTCAAGCGCATTGGTAAAGTGTGCAATAATTGCCTTAATTTCATTATCTCTTGCCATTGATTAGTATTCAAATTAATAGTAATGTTTTGACATTCTATAATAGCTCGGTCAATAGCTTCGCTACCTAGTTTCTCTGTTGATTCACAATCATCAAGCATTACAGAAACATTAGCTTGGTATTTACGTAATGCTGTTATACCATCTTGAATAGCAATTAAACGATCTTTAAGTAATTTTGCACCTTCTAGTTCTTCAGCAATCTGAGTTGTAATTTTGTGCGACAGTGAAAATAATTCACCAATTTTTTCTGGTTCAGCTGCATTTGGTTCTAATCCGACACGTCCTAATTCATTGCCAATAATACCAACACGACCATTTAATACTTGTATTCGTTCGATGTATAAATTTAATTCATCTTCATTTTTAATAACACCTTTCATACTTGTTATTGTTAGATAAATTTCTTTCAATTCACGCTCTAATAATTGTAGTTTTTCTGGTATTGGAACATCTTGTGCTGAAATGCTGTTTATTATTGTACTTTGAATATTATCGATTTTATTTTCAACACTACGCCATCTGTCCTCCAATTGAGCATGGAATTGACGTTGTAGCATTTCATCAGCTAACGGAATTATTTGTACAGATTGTTCAAAACTATTACCTGCATCTTTTCGAATATTATTATGCATTTCAAATTGAGCTTTAATTTCCCAGAATTGACGCATATGTTCAATAGGTTGTTCTCGTAAATCTTTTGGAATACGAATCTGAGTTAATTCACGTTCAGTATCTTTAACCCAGTTTTCAAGTTTATCTGTTTGTATACAATATTGATTCCACTTTTCAGTGAAAATTAAGAGTCTATGTAAATAAAGAGTGACTTCTTCTCGCAATTTTAAAAGTACTATTAAAGCTTCGTTACTTTCTTCCACTAAATTTGGTGCTTGAATGAGATCTTGAAGTTTATTGGCAATGCTGGAGAGTTGAGTCATTTTGATGTAATGAAAAGATATATCGGTGTTGAGAGACTGATAAAGTGTTGTGTATTGGTCAAAATCAGCTGACGTAACTGCAGATAGATCGGGTACACGCTGTTGAGCAACTTGTAGCCATTGCAGTTCTTCTTTCATACCTATTTTTTATAATAGAACATATTGAAAGTTTGTTAATGACACAACAATTATACATTTCAAATATAATTATAATTAAACAAAAAGAACGTTATAACATATAGCAGATTTACCTTTTTCTAAAACAGTCCATCTGGATGCGGCCAAAGCTAATTCTTGTGCACGAACAGAAGCTTTTTCTAAAATAACTGTGGCTTGATCGTATAATTCTTTGTGTAATGAAGCGTTTCGTAATTTTGTTTCTTCATCGATATTATCTTCTAAACTTTCCAAAATTGCTCTACAATGACTCAAATTGACAAAGAATTTTCTGTGTTTTTGCATTTCTTGGTTTAACTGTTCCATGGAGTTAGCCGAAATTGGAGTTTCAACAAGGTTATCAGCAATACAACAAATGGTTGCGAACTCTTTAAGTGTTTGTTCATAATCGTCTGCCAATAACGATAATTGGAAAATACGTTCTCGCTCTTCATTTATGTTGCGATCAAGCGCTTTACAATTTTCACAAGCTATGTAAATATCATCAGGTATTTTTTTGCCAGGAAAATCTTTATTTAAACCTCTAGCGGTATGTAATAACTCCGCTAATTTCAACATTTCATCTTGATTTTGGGCGTCTAATTCCTCCAGCGCCTTCATTTTCCTATCCAACGGAAGCTCATGAGACAAAAGATTCTCATAACGTTCATGTATATGATAAATGGTAGTAATAACCATTTCTACAGTTGTAATGTATTTTCTTAAACGTTCGCCTTCTTTTTGCTCATCGGATAAACTTTCCTTTGCTACATTTTCAACAGCTTCTAAATGTCCTTTAAGTAATTTGATACTATCTACAATACGTTGTTGACTCTCTGGATCTGATTTACTCTTTGACAAATGAGATTGAAGTTGTGAAATGTTGTCTTTAGCTAAATTAATTTCGTTGCTTAATTGATTATACTCCTCAAGTTTGTTTTCGTCTGGTCTGTCTGCAATTTGCTGTTTGATTAAATAAATTCTGTATTCTATTGTTTCTAGCCAAGTTGATATTTTTTCAATTATTGTTACAGTTGTAGTTTGAGTCATTGTTGGATCATCCTGCTTAATTGCTTTTTGAAGATCACCAAGCGATACATTTATTTCAGAAATTCTCTGTTCGGCTGGCTTGTCGCTCACATTGTCAGACACTGTAGCTAAATTCAATGTATTTATAAATATAGTTGGTTTCTTCTCGGATGAATGTTTTAGGTGTTGAATTCGATCGCCAATAGCATCATTTGTCTTAGTCCACAGTTCTACAACAGTCTGTTCAGGTAGCTTGCTAAGAACGCCTTTCTCAGATGAAATTAAGTCGGCGGAGGAATCACCTAAGTTTTGTGACGAAACTACCTCGACCGTTGAAACCTGTTTCCAAATATCGTCTTCATTTTGCTTTTCTTTATCTGACCTGTCTGCTTGAGATTTTGGAGAAACTTTTTTGACTTCAGATTTAGAATCAGTTACTGAAACTTCTTGTTCCTGAACTTGAGGTTTGATAGTTACAGTAGTCCAATCTTCTTCTTCAACTGGTATTTGATCTGGATATGTTTCATAAGTAGTGCGTTTAGTAATTTCAAGTTGAACACGTGATGGAGCATGTTGAATGTTTTCCTCAGGAACGCCTACTAAAACAGTTTTGTTGGGTTTCACTGGAACTGCTATAATATTAGCGTTTTTCTCGGATTCCAAGAAAATTTTTGTTGCTTCGCAGGGATCTACTCCAGGTGATGTTACCAATGCACTATCAATCTCAACACAAAGGTTAACATCTGGAATTTTTTTGTCTTTACTCTTCTTTTTCGTTCTTTTGTCTTTCGTTTGATCGCCTGGAACAGGTTCACTATGTTCTTTAGGAAGCTCTACTGTCTTAGTGTAAGTTATAACAGTCGGCTCAGCCGCAGGACATTCATCCGGATCAGGTGGTACTGTAAGAGTAGCTTGAATTTCTAAGTCATATTGTTCCGTAGACGTCGCGACTGAAGATTCATCAATATCTTCAATCTTTTCTTCCGGTATTTTCAAGTTCTCTTCCAAAGCAGCATTTTCTTTGAATTTTTCTTGGTCGATTTTGGGATCATCTTCTCGAGGAGTAGTTTGAATTGTAGAATCTATCGTTGTTATGATTTCAGTCAATGTGTGTTGATCAGCTTTTTCAACTGGTTTCTCAGCAGGAATTTTTCCTATAAGTTTATCTAAGATTGGCTCTACAATCACACTTGAAGGAATTTGCGGATCTTGGGGGAGTGTTTGCACTATTTGTTGCTTGGTGTCTATTGTAAATGTTTGACTAGAAATTTCTACCGTATCAGGTTGTACTTGCTCCGCTTCATCATTTATTTCGACCCCCTCAGTTTGGACTTCTTCCGTTAGCTGCTCAACTTGAGGTTTTTCTTCTTCTCTAGGTGTTGTTTGGATTTCTGTTTCGATAGATTCAACTACCAAAGTCTGCGTTTCACCCTCCTGAACTTCGGCTTGCGGTAATCCAAAATCAATGCTAGTTTGCTGCGCTAGTTCTGCTACTGGTGTTGGTGGTTCTGGTGAGGTAGTAACTGAGATTAGTTCTTTAGTTTCTTTTTCTTCTGGCTTAGGTGTAGTTTGTTGTTCAGCATCTTCATATGTAACTTGGTCATGAATACTTTTTATGCTTCTTGCGGTGTCTAAGGGAGATTTATCTTTCCCAGATTCATCTAATGCTAAGCTAGAAACTTTGCTACCAGGACCTTGTTCTTCGTGTTTTTCCTCAGTTATTTTATCAGAAGATACAGGGCTTTCACTACCTTCTTTACTTCCCGATTCCGTCGACTGAGGAACATATGACTCCTCATCTTCTTTAACACGATATTTTTGTTTTTTCTTTTTCTTTCGCTTATTTTTATCAGTTTCATCGTCTTCATCCAATGTAGTTTTCCCATCAGGTTCGTAACCTGTTTCCCGCGCTGTTTCTTTGTCAGAGCTGGAGGTCAGTTTAGTATCAACTACATCAGTTGTTTCTTCAGGAATTCCGGGTACAGCAGCTATCGAATCAGATTCGCTGGAAATTGCAACATCTGCATCTAAAAGCTTTTTCTTTTCTTGTTCTGATGATGTAAGTGTGGTTGAATCACTTACTCCAGTTTCAAATATTTTAACATCAACACGAGTTTTTTGATCTTGCTCGGGTTCCAAAGTAACTTGTACTTTACTCTCTCCTTTCTGATCCTTTGTTGGGGCTGTCATGGTAATCGTTTGTCTTGGAGAATCTAGGGCTGACTCTGCATCAATAAAAAGTTGAGTGGCTGCTCGTAGATCTGTTTTAGGTTTTTTGGTTTTATCTTTAATTTCTTTTGAACCTGTAGATTCTTCTGGTAATTTTTCGATAGCCAAAAGCATTGGATCCTCTACTAGAACCGGCTTGACCTTTTTATCTTTATCTATCTTAGGTTTTTTATCCTTTTTGTCCGGTTTGTCCCTTTTCTCCGTCTTTATTTCTTCTACAATATCGACTTGTGTCTTTATTGGTTCTTGTTTGTCACCCTTTACAACATCTTTGATTTTATCGGAAATAACTTTGCCTTCTATTACTTGGTGTAACTGTTCATCCGTTAGAATTGGAGTTTCTTTTGCCTGAACAGGTGTTACTGGTGTCTGAGGTCTAGATAACTCTTTCTTTTCAAGAACAACTTTAATTTCCAGTTTTTCTGGAGTAACATCCTCTAATTCTAGTGACTTAGGGGGTGACCTTGGGGATTTGTCGTAAGTATAGCTTTCCAAACTCAAAGATGCACCTGTGTCATCATCAACTGGCCAAATTTCTTCGATTTGCTGGATATCTTGTCTTGTAATCGTAACTTTAGTAGCCGGTGAATCGATAGTTTCTTCTTTAGTTTCATCTGGGATTGGATGCTGTGAAAATTCAATTGTTGTAGGTTGTAAATGATGTTCAGTTGGCCAAATTTCTTGAATGTTTTCAAGTGGTTTTTCACTTGGAAGCACTACTGTTGGGGCTGGTTGAATTTCAATAGTTTTCTTAATAATTTCGATACGTGCAAGATCTTTATCATCAGTTGGTGTTGTTGTTGTTGTTATTGTTGAATGTATTTGTTGTGGTTGTATTTCTTGGGTTATTTCTGTAAGTTGAGTATATGTTGGTTGTTGTGTGGTAGTTAGTAGATCATCTACGTGTGGTGCTTTATCAAATGTCAACTCTACTTGTGCTTGATCATATTCAAATACCTTAGGAGTGACCTCTTTTGGAGATGTTGTTTCGACGAGGGCTCCATCTTCAATCATTTTATTGAATTCTTCTTCGGTAACAACTTTTCCATTTACTGTACGTATAACGTTTACATTAACTTTAGGAGGTAGTTCTTCAGTAACTTCAATTTCTTCTGGTTCTTCAACAACTTCTTCAGTAATGTGTTCTTTTCCGTCAATCACAACAACACGTTTAATAATCTTCTTTGTTGTACGTATTATTCTACGAGTAACTTGTTGCACAACAGTGCGAATTTGTGATTGTTGTTCTCCAGGGAGATTTTCTCCATGAATTGGTTCTTGCACTATTGGTTCACCTTCAATAAGAGCTATTTGCATTCTTTCAGGATCTTCAAGGATTTGCTCTTTGCTGGTACGCTTAATTATTGTTTTTGGTATACCATCGTCTCCAATAATAGTTTCGATATTTTCTATTTGTCGTGTAATAGGAGCTTCATCGCTTCCTAATATTGAAGTTTGTTCTTGCGTTCTTTGTATAATTTTTTGTTGCTGTGTTTTAGTTACTTTTTTAACAAGAATACGTTTTGTACCATCAGGATCAATAACAACTTCCGTTGTTGTTGTTTCGTTTGGCTCAACAAAAGTCGTTTCGAATGACTCTGGAATATTTTTCAGTACTAATTCGGTTGATCTATCTACATCTTTTTTAGGTTTTTTGTGATAACGAGCTTCAACTAAAACATCATCGGGAACCTCTGGAATATTTGGGTTTAGTGTCCTATCGATTTGTATTGTTTCTTGACCACTTTGAATTTTTTGTATCACTGAAATATTTTCAGTTGGCTTACGTTCTTTAGCTGTTTGGACTGACATATCCGTTGTTTCGGGAGCTTTCGATACCGATTCCAGTGGGAAACTTGTTTGAGCTTCAACTTCTGCAACTTCGCGATCACTAGGTTTATATTGTAAACTTTCTGATGTTTGCGTTTCAACTGTTATACCAATTTGTTCCCGATCATCAGGTAATGAGGCAACCGAATCAGCTGTATGCTCTGATAATTGTTCTAACTGCTTCTGCCTTTCTAATTCTCGTTCTTTCTCTTCTAGTTCTTTTTGTTTCTCTAATTCCTTTTGTTTTTCTAATTCTTTTTCTATTTCATTTTGTTTTTGTAAGTCTATTGCTTGCTGTTCGAGTATTCGAATACGTTCGGGTATGACTAAAATTTGCTCGTGAAGTATATCTATTATGATTTGTAATTGTTCGGCTAATGGGGATGCTAGTTGACTAACATCTTCGTATTGTTGAAGTTGTTTAGTTTTTTCTAAAAGGTCGATTAGAGATTTTTCTTTTTCTTTTAGATTTCGTAAAACTTCCTCATTAAATTTGATATGCTCTTGTATTTCGTTCTCAGTCTGTGGTTCTCGTTCTTCAAATTGTTTTAATTGAGCTTGTGTTGTTTCTAACCAAATTTCAATTTCATCTAAATGCTTTTTATATCTTTCTAATTCTTGCTGTCGTTTGCGTCTGGCTTCAAGTGCATTCTAAAATCAAGAATTTTTATTAAGATATAATATTTTTTTTTTAAATTTTATTTAATTTACCTCTATTAGATTTGAACTTTGTTGAGATCTTATTATTAATGCATCAATACGGTCCCGTATCGAATGTAACAGTCTTTCTGTTGGAGGATCCGTTGGTAAATTGAGGCTAACTTGTTTTAAGCGATCAGCTTCTTTACGATGTAATTCCAAATTATCCAGGATTAGCTATAAATGAGTATTACAAATGAGGCAAATTTCCAAAAATTGAAGATGAATTTTAAAAGTAATTTAATCATTTAAATTTATAATAAATAAGAATTTTTTTCCTGCCAGAGTATTCCTATATTCCTTTATACAGAACAAAAATTTAAAAAGAAAGTAAAAAAAGTTTTTGTTTTGAAAGTAATGTGTATGTGGTAAATGAAAATTATTTTCAAGTGCCATAAATTAAGGCTTCGTATTTTTAAAATTTTTAAAATAAGAAAAAACAAAAGGAATATGACAGTAAAAGAATTAAGTACGCTATAAAATTTCTTACGTAAAACATTCCATTAATTAATTTAGTTGTATACCTATAATTAAAGTTTAATAATTTATATATTTATTTATATTTATTTAGAATTGTCTGTAAATTACACAAATTAGACGTTTAAAACATTTTTTAAACTATTTTTAATATTAATCATCAATTTTAAATAGAATTTCCATTCATAATAAAAAATACACTATAAATTTTAGTGTATATTAAACTACTGAAAAATTAAATGTTGGTTAATTGAAATTATTACTTAAAATTTATATAATTTGTAAAATTCAATAATTGATTGACTCATGAAAAAAGAGTATTTAATTTAATTTAATTAAGCTTAATATAATTATGTTGATACGGGTTTGTTTTGTTCCTTGTCTTAAATTCTCAGAACGAGTTTAATTAATTAAATTAAATTGAGAAATATTTCATGAACAAGTAACATTAACCATGTTATTCTAATTCATGAATACAAATTTTAATTCTCTTTCTTTTCCTTTTAAAATGGAAGAGTTTTATTTTTGCTATACATTATTTTTCAATATTATTCAATATCTTGTTCTAGTAATCATAAATAATGTCACTGCTTTTTTACATTATAACAGTCATAAGTTATGAAACATCTAGTGAGGTTTATGTCATGTTTGGCCAAAAAAACTTAATTAACATAAACATGACATAAACCTCATTTAGTTTTTTTAACGCCAGTCTTATGATCGTCAAAATGTTATGTAAATATACATTACATTAATATTAATAAATTAATTCATGAATTGTTGTTGTTGATAAAAATGATATCAAATTTTCTCTAAGTCTTAAAATAAAAAGAGATTTTCTCTCTTGTAGTCTTTAAACGGAAAATTAAGAAAAAAAAAGTGATTTTGTTATTTATAAAGCAATTTTTGGTAAATGATTTACGAAAAAGAACAATAGCATTATTTCTTGTCAAATTACTTAATTACTTTTTGTATAATATTATTAGATACATAGTTTATTTGTTTTTTTCTTTTTTTTTTTTAAAAAAGTGAAAAAAAAACTGTAATACTAAAAATAAAAATGTCTGAAATGTAATTTAAGGAAATAATAGCATTCAAAACAATAAAAATCGAAAATCCAACAAATTAAAATAATAATGTTATTTAAATGGTATAAGATACATATAAATATTCGTATCTGTACTCACCTTAAGACCTTGTAGCATACCCTCTAAGCTATTCTGCGATAATGATCCAATTCCTTGCTCAGTGGTTAACAATGACTGAAGTAATTCATCAACTTCTTGTGACAGTGAGTCCTGATTTATTTTTTTTTAATTTAATTTAAAAAGGTTTTTTTTTGTTTTTTAAAGAAAAATTTTCCATATTCATATACAGAGTTATCCAAAGCGCATATCAGTATTCATTTTGAGCATTTTTGGAATTTAGGAAGCATTTTTTGTTTTTTGAAATTTTTTTTCATAATTTGCATAAATTTTTTTTTTTTTAATATTGTAATAAGAATTTTTTTTCAGTCATATAACAAATATAGTTTTATATATATTTGCAGTTATATGAATTTGAAGGCAAAAGAAAGAGATATAAAAAGAAAAAAAATAAACAAAATAAATATAGAAGAAAAAAAATTATATTAGAATTTTATATTTAGAAAATGCCAAAATTAAAAAAAAATTTGTTACGCAAATTTTTTATGAAATGTGAATTTATTTTTTTTTTAATGAAATTTTGAATGTATTTTTATTTAATTTTTATATAATATGATTAATTTTATTGGTTTTTGTTTGTCCTTTTTTTTTAATTTTTTTGGCTTTTCATTCATTTTTAAAAGAAAACAAAAACAGAAAAAATTAAACATTAAATTGAACGAAACACAAAAATAGCCTCTTATTATTTAGTTTAACTATAATATATGTAAATATATGTTTAAAAAAATATATATATTTTGTTTATTATTAGGTTTATATAGGGTTAAAAGTTATTACATATAGGGAAAAAAAGAAATTCTACACAAATACAAAAAAAAAACGCAAGGGGAGGAGAAATACATATATGGTTGCTACAAAAGCTATAAAAACACATTTAAAACAAAAACAAATATTATATGACCTACATACATACATAATATATTATTGAACATATTATGTTTTGCCTATGTTTTGTATTATGGTATAGCTATATGAATAAAAAATCAGTGTTGCAAAGTCAAACGTCACAAGAATATTATGTAAAAACGTAATTATTTGAAATTTAATATTCTTTCAATGTCACCATACTAAAAAAGTTCTTTTTTTTTTTTATTTTTTGAGCAATGAAAACAATATTGAATGCTAAATATTAGAATCTTGAGTTAATAAAAATATGAAGAATTACATGTTTATAAATAAGATCACAAACAAAATTTTTTAGGGACTAATAAAGAGTTTGGCACAGTGCATTACACATATCGCAAAATACTTATGAATTATTAAAAGAAAATATACTTTTTAAATTTTGGCATTTATTTAATAGCTTTTAGTTAAAACTCCTTTATCACCTTCATATTACAAAAATAGAATTTTTTATTTGAAATTTCTTCAAAATTTTTTTTATATATGTAGGAATTAAGATCAGACCGCTATATATTGTTACAATGTAAGAAACCAAAATTTTGTTTTGAACTGTAATTTTCGTTATATATAACAAAAAATATAATATAACGTTTGATATTGCCATTTTGTTACACTGATTAAAAAATATTTTTTTTCTGTATTTCCTTTTTTTATATATAAAGAAATCAAAACCTATAAAACACTTTATGGCAACAAGAAAGGAAAAAAAACAAATGTTAAAAATAATGTAATTTAAATAACAATGCATAAAATTAGCATATACGGTAACACATAATAAAAATAACCTATAAATGATTTTGTATTCGAATAATAAACAAGTATAATCGAATTAATTTTAAATTTTAATTTATGTATTTTTTTAAAAACAAAGAGAAAAAATTAAAAAATAAATTTATTTGCTTTACGATAACAACGATAACGCGATAACAAAATTCACATTTTCAGTTTGGATTAGCAACTTAAACGTTATAGACGTCTTGAAGCGCGAAATACTTTTAAAGTTATGCTTTTCCCTCTGTTGTAGTAAATAAATTCATATATGAATAAACAGTATGAAAAAATTTATATAAGAACAACTAGTAAAGTGCAAAAAAAAAAAATTTTACTGCAAAATATAAATTACGTTAAAAAATTTAGTTTTTTACTTTATGAACTCAAAAAAACTTAAATGCATTTTTTTAAATATTATTGGAATGTGTAAAATTTTTAATAGACTTAATTATGAAATTATTTTTCAAAAAATTGAGGCAGTAGATTTATAAGATTCTCGGATATTAAGATTTAAAACTTTTTTTTTTCAAAAATTTAGAGACAATTTTTGTATATTACTTAATTTCTTAAGAAAAATATCATTAAATTCAATAAATATATTAATAATTTTATTGTAAAAGAATAAGAATACGTAAATCTAAATGAATATTTTCCCGTTCTTATGGATAAAAGAATGTAATAAGTCTTGAACTATATTCTGACGATTATATCTTGATACATGAACCTATATATGTAATTGAATCACTATTATTTTTTTAATATAGAAATATTGTTTTTGCTAAAATCCAATAAATCAAATTCTTTTTTAAATTGAATTCTAAAGAAATTATATACATATACATATATAAAAAATTTAAATACTATACCTTAAATTTTTGGATTTGAAACATTTCATAGCTGCTTTATTACTTTAGTTACAATTAATTTTTCTGGCGTAATTGCTAAAATATGCATAATGTTTTTTGAAAAAGTCAAGGTGACTATAATTTGTTTCTCTTATATGTCAAATTTTTATTTAATTTTTATACATACTTTGTGTTGGGCTTTTAGAAATTAAAAAAAAATACATGAAAGCTTTATAAAATTTATAACTCGACCCAACTTGCTTTTATAAATATTTAGTAAAATCATTGAATTTAAAATCGAACTATAAAATCAACATCTGATAGCAGCACCTACGTAAGTATGTATATAAAAACAACATATTACCTATATAAGTGGCCTATGATTTCGCAGATTTGTCAACGGTTTTCTTAATTTCATTGCTTTTTTGACGGAACTAATTTCTAAAAAGTAAAATTTTCAAGATTCATCAATTAAGGCAAAATTTTTTTATTTTAATTTTTGCTTTGCAGTAAAATTTTTTATAAAAATAACTTCGTAAGAATAACTGAAAGTAATAATCAATTTTTTTTAAATTTAATTTCAGCTTCAAATATTGGGAATTGATTGCTACAAATCAATCGCAATTCTAAAGATTTTGTCTCCTCTTTTATGGAAAACTATTTCATTAAATTTTAATTAATAGAGAAAGTAAGAATATCTTTAAAACCATTCCATATAGTTCAAATAATTTTAAATAATCATATAGGAATTTTTTAATTAATTTTTAAATATAATTAGTGTTGAATTAATTATTAGAAAAAAAAAAATAATATTAAATTTTAATAAAGAAAATTTTGTTTTGTTTTCATTGATCTTTTCATTTTTTAGTATATAGGTATAAAATTATTTTGAAATTTTGAATTAATAAAATTTCGAATGAAAAAATAAAAACGTTTTTGTTATTTTTCCTTATGTGCTTGCCCCTAACTAAATGTGTTTACAAAATATTTTTAAATTTACTTCTTGTTTTATTTGTTTATCAAAAAATTTGGTGTATTTTGCTCTCAATTTTAGTTTTTGATTTTTTTTGTCAAAATATTTATATTTAAAAATCTTGTATAATATCTGTATGTAAATTTGTTTTAAAAATAGAAAAATTATTTCATATCCCTTTTTTAAAAATGTAAATTTATTTAAAAAAAAAAAACAGTTCCTATTAAAAAATGTAAGTAGTAGATGTATGTATGATATATAATAGAGCGAACAAGAGATACAAAGAGAGAGTGAGAGAGAGAGAGAGATGACAAAAAAAAACATCAACTTAATTTATTATTTTAGTTTTTTTTCAAATATTATTCTATATATTTCTATTGCATTCCGAAACATTTATAATTTTTTTTTAATTAAATATGCATTTATTAAAAGTTAACAATTTTTAAATTTTTCCTGACAGAAATTTACAGGAAACAAAAAAAAAAAAGAAATGTTTTACTATATTTTTTTTTAATTAATTAACAATGTTTTAGCAATTTTTTTTTTTTTGAATTATTACTGTTATCTACAAGACAAAACGCTTTTCTTAAGTCGTCTGAAATTAAAATCGCACTCAATCGCTCTCTGTAGAATTTCAAACACCATCTAAATTTTTGCTCAAATCATATTTGAGCAAAAATGACATTAACTAACTTTTAAGTGAGTTTCTTTATGTGAGAGCTAAGATAATTTATTAATTAAAAAATTTAAATTTAGCACTTTACCGACGTTTTGGCTTGTAGGTATACAGATTGATATGCGTACGAATATAATTATTACAATTTAACAAATATATTACACAAATTAATTATATAATAATGTATGTATATATATTATATAAAGAGAAGAATTTTCAAAACATTTTTTAGTTATTTTATTTTGTTTTCTTTTTAAAGAAAAACTAAAGCGTTTATTAAGGAAGACGTATATAATCATAAATTATTATTATATTTTTCATTCAAATTAATTTTATTATATAAAAAAAATATTTAATTCTATTTCTTTTTTTTTTACATACTTTTATTTTAATTTTATTTGAACAGGCAAAAAATTTTTAACAGAGAATATAATACATTATTAATTTTACAAATATATAAAGGTTAACATAACAAAAGTAGAGGAAGAATTTGGGTATATTAAAAAAAAAAAACAAAAAAATATGGAATTCAATTTTAATTATTATATGTGTATAAATTTATTTTTCATTAATTTTCTATCTAATAATAATCATAGGTAACATTAATTATTGTTAAAAATAAAGTTTAGGATATAAAATGAAATATTACTATTTAAATACATATGCACATATACATATGTACTTACACATTTTTGTAAAATATTTATTGTACAGTTGTATTTTTTTATTATAGTACAAAATAACATGTAATTTACAAACATGAGGAAAAACTGAAACAACAGTAAATTCTTTCATAAATAAAAACAACATGAATTTATCACAATACTAATATAAAGAGGCTGTTTTAAGGCACATGATATGTGTTCAGTTCAAATAAATTATTTGAGAGTAAAATCAAAAACTATCTAAAAAAATGAGTAATTAT